GGGACTATGTCTCTCAGCTGGCCTGGGAACGCCTTGGGGTCCCCCCGGACGAGCTGGAGGAAGTGTGTGTGGATAGGGAAGTCTGGGCGTCTCTGCTTAGACTGCTGCCCCCGCGACCCGGCAACGGATAAAGCGGAAGAAAATGGATGGATGGAAATGCTTGATGATTTTTTCGCTGCCCTGTCCACTTCCAGTTGGTTGAAGTTCTGGTCTGAGGTTCAAGACATTCTTACATTTTTGTAATGACTATCAAAAAGCTAACAAAGATGATTAATCATACTTGAGCAATAAGGGGAAAATCCTTGTGGCATACCCAATTTTAGGCCCTGTTTAGACGGAGACACTGCAGAGACACTGCAAAGCAATTGGCAAAAAATCACAGGGCTCCTGCACAGCGACAACCACGGAAGTTTTTCCATGGTCAGTAGTGGGCAGTGGCCAGTAGCGGGCCACTGCCCACTACACACAACACACGCGACCCCCAGCCCCCCTAGCAGTATAATCACTTCCTCAACAACATCCTCCTCAGGCCACTGCAAAAATGTGAAAGAATACACCAACATCATTCTGCATTTAACAGTAGCTGCGAAAACAGAAACTGAAACTACAGCTTTGCGTGGTTTCATTTGGACGAACAAAGGAGTAGAATTCTCCTCCGTGTAGCGCTCGAAGCACACGTAGCATTAGTTGTTCCGTTGCCATTGTTGTTTTTGTTTGTTCTCGGCCCCATAGATCCCTTCCCCTTGGCTTGCAGCCTCGCTCAAGCCCACTCGAGAGTCCTTAGTCAGATATGTTTTTTGTGTTTGAACTGTTTGATTCTCTGGTCTGTGTTGGCGATTTTTAACGATTTTGTTTAGTCCTCTGAGAGAACTACTGTTGTGATTTAGGGCTATACAAGATTACACTGAATTGAATTGAATTAAAATAGATTTTATTTTGTAATAATGTTAGTCAAATTGATGCTTTTGGAACTGGAACAAGTATTTGACACGTAACTTGTGAGGTACCACAAAGGTCAATACTGGGACCCACATTATTCATTATGAATGAAATATGCAAAGTATCAGAATGAATGTAATTCATACTCTTTGCTGATGACACAAAACGTTATGTGAGCTGGTGATGACATTTACAAACTTGTCATGATAATAAAAAATTAAAACTACATCTTTATTTGTAAAAGCTATATAACCGCCAATGGAATAAGTTGACGGCTAAAAATTCAAATTCAAATAATACTAGATGAAAAGATTTCTTGGAAACCACACATAAGATACCTGAGGACAAAGTTGCTAAGTGCCCATTGCTAAGGCCATTAGGTTTGATTTGTTCTACATCATCTTGTGTTGAGTAAGTGAAGGGGGTTTGGAAGTATAAACCCTAAGCCCTTTTCAAAACACGTATTTTTGTGTCTGTTTTTTCTTTTGTAGCTTAGGTCCTGGATCTATAGCCCATCCGTCCGTGTAGGAGCGGATCCCTCTCTCAATATGTGGGTCTCCCCAGGTTTCTCACTTATTTTTCCACTGGGTTTTTGTGAGTTTTTTCTTGCCGAAGCAGGAGGGTCTGTTGGACAGTTAGTGTCCACCTTTAAGGACTGTAGTGAGGACACCTTAGCATTCTACAACATGTATGTGTCGGTGGGTGCAAAATGGGTGGTGGGTTTTAATATGGTTTTATTTATATTTTATGCATGTTGTGTTGTTTGTGAGTGTTTTTAACATTGATTTTTAACTTGCACCACCTGAAGCACCCCGGCTCCCCACGTGACAATTAGAACACCTGTGCCATGGTACAAAAGGAGATGGGGAGGGGGCGGAGCAAGGAGACAGCAGAGAACGGAGATGTGGGCCAGACGGGCGTGGGGAGAGCCCCGTGGTCTGGCGGCCCAGGCCGTGGCCAGAAGGGTTTTTAGCCTCGGTTTTAGCTTTTTAGCCCGTCTTTTTATAGCCTAGGGTTTTATTGTTTTAATTACTGTTTAATGTATTTGATAACAAATCGTTTTTAATTTGCTTTTAACCCAGTGGTCTCCTTTTTAAACCCGGGTCCAAAGAACCTGCTTTTACACGTGTGACATATGGACATTTATGAATATTCATGGGCATTAGTCTCTCTCTATGGACCAATTCATATGTGTATATTTTGTGTCTTAACTGTTGATTCTCTTATCTGTGTTGGTGATTTCAATGGTTTTGTTAAGTCCTCTGAGATGACTGCTGTTGTGATTTAGGGCTATACAAGAATAAGTTGTTGTTGTTGTTGTTGTTTTGTCTGAAATTGGACAGGTTTTGAATTTTTTTGAAATGATTAGATGATTTCTATTTCTGAGTGAAATACGTCACTTCCAATATTCTGTATTTACATTTTCTGAGTATCTAAAACTTGTAGAGGCCTTTCCTGTTGTAAAACAGCCAGATCTTTGTCCTTAAATCCGTTCCTCTTACTCAACATATCAGCGGACACAGCTGTCGACAACAGATAGACAGACATCCTCTGAAGATATTGCAGCAATGTAAGGAGATGATTCACCAGATTATTAATTATATTGCTAAAAAACCTAAAGATTAATGTAATTTTGATTATTTTATTTTGTCTCATAATTGTTCAACATCTTATTCATAAACTACTGTCTGTTTGTTGCATTTTTCTACTTCTAATCTCCCATTGAGATACTGATAATGCATTTGTGTAGCAGTGCTATCAGTTCATGTCTCAATGAAAGACAAATCCATCCCTGTTTAGACGTCCTTCACAAAGATAATGCATGCACACACGCCTTTACAGCACAACACCACACAGTACAGAGTGACCTTGAATTTAGCATCTGCAACACCCAGAAAGAAATACAGCTCCAGTGAAGTTGTCAGCAAATGTGAACATAGACTTAGGGTATTCATGTTTCATGTTCTGTATTTCATCTGAACATGAAATACTGAACATAAATGAGAGAGTGAGTGGATGGTGTTGATTGGAGGTTGATGCTCCAGTGTGTTCGGGGATTCGCTTCTGTCATCACCGTGTGTGGAACTCTGAACATTGTAAAGCGTTTTGGGAGACCTTGGTCTGTAAAATGCGCTATATAAATAAGCATTACTTACTTACTTACTTAGTTGCATGAAAAAAGAAAGTTCAACAGTGATTTGGAAGAAAGAATTAAATCTTATCATTTTCCTCACCAATGACTATAAAATGCCAGTCCATGTTTGGGAGACTGTAAAAAGGATGTGTATGACTGACTTCCTATGTCTATGTACAGGATGTCTGCAGCTCAGATAGTGTTCACATCTCATGTATAGAGATATAACTGAATTGGGGGCGGGCTTAGTTTTATCTCAAGTAAAAGTGCTTTGTGTGACCTTGGTCCATGAAATAAACTATATAAATAAAGATTACTTACTTCCTTACTTAAGTATAGAAATAAGACATCGAATGATAAATTAATAATATTGTATTTTCTTAGTTTGTCACACACAAAGTTTGTTGTAACATTATCTTACATATGTCACGGCTGAACCTACTTGAAAAGCACCACCTGCCGTGTCCCGTGCGGATGAATTTGTGCAACTTGACATGAACAATTTAGTTTTAATATAGTTTTTGTGTATAGATTTTTTTTTTTAATCCAAGCACTGGAGCATAAAAGCCATGATGCTTGTGCCAAACAGGAATGGTTGACTCGTAGATGGGAATGCTGGGATGTAGAAAACTTTAGTCCCAGTTTAGTTGGTAGGAGCTGGAGGTATCACTTTATGAGTCTCTCCACCCCCGGCTGAAGTCAGTGGGACAGACAGCCAAAGGATTTTCCAGAGGATGTGAAAGCTGGAGGTTGGGATTCATTCTCTTTTGAACTGAAGACTGTTGCTGAGCTACAGATCTAGGCTTATATAGGATTTTATGTAAAAGTCCCGATCACTGGCGTCATCATGTTCCAAAATCAAATACTTCTTGAAGCCACACTGTCCACTGAGACAAATGACCGTTCCATTCACAAAAATGCCCAGGACGATCAGTGACTGGGGATGAATGAAGTCTGCGAGAGTGGCTTTCTGAGCACGTAACTGGCCGGGTGGCCGGGACAGACGAGCGTAGGGGACAGAGAGGAGTGATTCTCCAGATGAGTTCTAATATGTGAGACGGTGCATCCTAAAGAGACGTTTTCTCATGGGCCCACTCCATGAATACAAATTCCTCTTAGCTGGAAGGACAAATGCACCTTGCTTAAAACCATAGTAGATTTATTCCAAGTTCTATCCAATCACAAATCACAAAACTCGTGACTTCATGTAGGAGCGTATGAGTCATCCATTCAAAGCTTTCTCTTGTAAGTGATTAAGTATTTCTTTTGTTGTGGCATTGTCTAGCCAACCCAATATCTTAATAAACTCAAAATCAATTTGTTTAAAGCAGTTAAGCGTATTTGGATTGAATTGGACTAGACTACCATTTACTTTGATTTACCAACTGAATGCTAAATGTTGATGGATTCCAACTTTTCAAAAAACACATCTAATGAGATTTAAGATGTGTGTAACCTATTCCATTCAATCTATAGGTCCTTTTGCACACAGGGAAATAGATGGATTACTATTTTTATGAGTAGTGTAAGATGATTAACAGTCTCCTAAGGCTTTCAGACAGATTCTGGTGACATCACTTCTGGGGAGAGTTAAAATAAACAAAAAGTCCATTTCATTAAAGCCAATTTACTAACTAGACAAAAGTGTGTAGCTGCATGTGAGAGAGAGAGAATGGGGTGAGAGAGGAAAGTGGGTGGAGATACAAAAGGCAGAACAGAGAAGAGAGGACACCACTGACAAAGTAGGGGACCTGGAGTTAGTTACTGCTGGTGATGCAGACAGCGTCAGAGTAGTTTGAACTAGCGGGCAATAGGTGCAGAGGCAAGGAGAGGGAGGTGCATGAAGGCAGGTCACCCAGACAGGAAGAAGCTGGTCAGGAGTAGCATGTTTATCTGGCAACACTGACAACAGATAAACTGCAGGAACATGGAGAAAGCACCAATGAGTTTTGCTCTTATACCCTGGAGCCACAGAAAACCCTGGTATTGTCTTCCCTGAGTGAGGAAGACCAGATCAACAGAAGAATCAAAGACTACGTGAAAAGTCTACTTTGCTCTGTCCGGACGAGTAGGAGTGACAGACGAGGGATCTTAACACTGGATCTCAAGGCTAAACCATGGACTCTGCATACATCCCATCACACCTGGACGTGAGTATTACACATGCACACACACACACACACACACACACACACACACACCCACACACACCCACATACATGTACACTTCTCTGCCTGTCAAACCACAAGCCACAGAAGCAGTGCTGGTCAAACCATTAGTCACTCTTGGGAGAAACACACACATACACATACACACACATTGCTGGCACACTATTGCTCAATCAAAAACCCTGTCCGGTAAGCAACATGTCCAGAAATAATGCTCCAGTTATGAGTTCAAAGACCATAACGTAAGTCAGCACGTAGCCCCTGCCCGCCCCCTCCTGAATTGGCCCTCAGTGTTAATGCTACACTAATGTAGAAACCAGAGGCGTGTTTTTGTTCTGTATTTCACATTGATTTAACAACTGCAGCTATGATTTTGCAAGTGTCAAGATTTTCATATAAGTTTAGTTAGTGTTGAGTATTGCTACATTTGCTACACCCAGCACCATGCTGAAAACTGCTAATATAAAATGTCCTGTTTATTCAAAGTAGTGTATTGGTTATTAACAATACTATTAAACTGCCATAATGAACTTTCCACATGCAGGGACACACAGTATGTCAGCATATACATGTATTTTGTCTAAGTTATTAGCCGGTTAATTGGTCCATATGGGATAGATTAGACTGCTGTTGTAAAATTCTCCAATAAAACCATACAGCGCATATACCTGGAAAATCATGATTTCATCTGTCACCCCTGAGTGAACAGAGCCATTATGCATTTACTTAGAGCCAAAGGTTAGAGGGAATAAAGTAACCCCACAATTAATTATGACAACTGTAGTTTTGCATTCTGGGAACATGTTTTTATAATGCACATCTGCAGCATATACAGTGGACATGTAGCATATAGGAGTCCAGCTGACATATGTGCTCACTGGGAGAGAATGTGAACCTTTTTGCATTGAGGAGGGGAACAATATTTTAAGAGAGCATTTATAGGAGAGAGAGATATCGGCAATAGCGAGTGGAGGAATTTGGAAAGAGGAAAAGAAAGACGGGAAGAACAACAGGAAGAGAAAGTGGAGGGACCAGGCGTAACATGAAGACAGCAGCAGTGGATAAATCAGTGACTGCTGTGACATTCTGGACCTTCTGGCCCAGCAACACTGAACCATACTCTTCCGCAAAAACACCATTCATTTACAAGAGGAAAAATCCCTTTATACAGAAGCCAAAATTGGACAAAATGGATATGTACCAATGATTTTTTTATAGAACCATAAAACCGGATATAACAAGATACGTACATATATATAAAAAGAAATAACACATTGGGGGAGCAGAGTTCAAGGAATGTTTGGAGGAAAAGGAAAGAGGAAATGGGATTTGAAATAGATAAAAAGCTGGATCCGGGGGCAACATGACAAAAGCAGAGGTGACACACAGACATTTGAGGTCAGAGGTTTTAATTAGTAAAGATCAACGGTGCTGCACCCAGTATACTGTCTGCTTACTCTGTCAGGGCAATTAAATGTATTCATACATGTGTGCACTGTGCACATTGCATGCCTCAAGTTATGAATAATCTAAGGACTCAATCAACTTACATTCTAGCGTTAGTTGTAATAGTTACTCTAAGAAAGGTTTAAGGCTTTTGGTCAAACAGAATTGGCGTGGGTGTTACCGTGGGTGTTACCCTCACATTTACTAAATCTACTGAGCAAAAGTTCCTTATAGACATGTTGACATATGCAACACAAAGTGAACTTATAGTGTTAAAGTGAGCTTAAGTCAATAATGACCCCAAGGAAGGATCACTGCATTGTATCTTATTCATGTGAAGAGCTTCAGCTACCACCATTCATCTCCAAATTCAGAGAGGCAGCTATTTGTGAAGAAGAATGTACAGCACAATGTGTATTGTAATGTTAAGTGGGTTTTCCAGAACAAGCATCCATTTTTTGACCTACAGATTCTGAATAACAATGATTACAAACGTAGGACCATCAAAGTCAAAAGTAACTGCACAACACAGTCTTTTAGTGCTATCCAACCTTTTTTAATTGAATTATTGAGCTCGTGAAAATTAACAATACTGTCTTCCACAAAATACTTTGAATTTTACAGTTTCTAGACTTAGTCTCATAAACATTACACAGTACACTCAAGCCAACCATAACACAGACCTCCAGTGAGAACAGCTGTATGTCAAAGACAAACAGGGCCTCTGTCATTGAGACAGTTGGGGGCAGGACACACCCTGGGCCTATTTATGTAAACCTTTGAACCTGGCAGGTGGTTTGTAGGTGAGGACAGTGCAGGAGATGTAGACCATGCTGCTGCTGTTCTTAATGTGCTTCACAAAGCCGTCCCAGAGGCAGAGGCTGTCCACAACATGAACTAATCTGTAATAATCTTCTTGTGGAGTGGCCTCAGGTGAAATTGCCCTGGGTGTGGCTCTTGGTTTAATCGACACCTAGCAGTAATCCCACGCTCGTTTACCCTTTGAACGCCTGGTCTGTCTATGCAAAAGCAAATGCACATAAAAAATACACACACCTTCAGTGACCTCTTCTTCACCTGTTCTCTGGCAGCCATGTGGTGTGATTATGTGTTTATATGGTCGTAAAGGGTGTTATCATAAACATTGAGGCTAATCGATTCAGAGTCCTTTACAAACAGAGATAACAAGGAGTGAAGACAAGATATTGAAGCTATCACAAAGACATTGTTGAAAATTCTTTCAAAACATAATACAATGCACTTATTACTGCATATGTGGTTTAGCCTCACCACTTCAACAAATGCAGTCATAATGACAAGTACATCTGTACTTGTCATGTTGCTGCTAAAAGCAGAAATACAGATAGGAATGTTACACCTTTTTTCAGTTGATCAAAACAACCCTTTTTTATAGCCGTGATTCTAGCGAGATAAAAATATGGGTTTTTTCTCTTAAACAATGTTAAAATTTGCATGGTGACTGAAAAATAGCAATCACTTCTCAACAAGACTGTCCTGGGTTAAAATCCTGAACAGCACAAGACTCTTCTGTGGATAGAAAAGAGATTCTGAAACCTCAGCGGGACTTTCCTGGTTAAATAATCATAAAGTAAATAAATATTTAACTTAATGTGAAACTACAACACAACAATGAATTATGGTTGTGTCAGGACCCTGGAAGTCCATTAAAGCACTGCAGTCTTCAGACTTTGATTGATTCAACATCTTTCACTGCTACACCACGATCTTGTCCCTTCAGTGCATGTTTCTATTACAGGGAAATGCTAATTTCTCAGGCCATCCTTTCCTTTCACAAATGATATACAGGTATAGGCCCCAAGAGAAAAAAAAGTCATAAATTAGGATAAACAAAAAAGCAAACTTGTGCTGTTACCGCAGCAATTCATAACAACAACAACTTCATATGGATATAACTGGACAGTAAATTTCCTGTCCTTCGTGAAGGCTGAAGACTAATGAGAAACTAGTGTGTCCAGGAAGAATGAGACATCCTCATGATAAACAGTCAAGCTTTGCATGACCTATGCTTTTTGCAGATTTTTTGAACAGTAATTCAAATCATTTTATCAGTACTTGACTTTATTATCCCGACTGTATGCCATTTGCTTTATTTGACATTTGTCCTTGGGTCTGTAGGTTCACCATGCTCCTTGCTAACCTGCTGCTCCTCATGGTCCTGCTGCTACCTCTGCCCTCATCAGGTCGCCACAGTGGACAAACCACCCACATTGACCATGACGAGTCCAGCTCAGTATTGGCGCCCAGTGTGGTTAATTCTATTCAGACTCTTCTGCTGAGCCGCCTAGGCCTCAAGTCCAAACCTGAGCCTCGTCCTGGGGTCCAAGTTCCCCGCTACCTGCTGGACCTATACCGCTACCATCAGCAACAATACCACCTGCTGGAGGACCGGGCCTTCAGCTTCCCCTCCCACCACATCCAGCAAGCCAACACAGTACGCAGCTTCCACCACTCTGGTACGTTTCCTGCTTTGAATAAGTTGAGCCTTATTCCTAAAGCTCTCACATGTTTTTGACTTTTGTTAAATACATGACAGACACAATTCAACTTCTCAATAATCTTATAAAAGGGAACTATCATGCGCATGGACATGTAAATGTAAGAGCACCCACCAAAAATTACACTTCCATTAAACCCACCAATAAAATAAATTTATCAACGTTTATTTAGTAAAGTACATAAAGTGCTTCATAATACAACATATAGTATTATATGTAATACATATGGTAAAAAACTAACCCAATGACCAAAGACCCATCAAACCAATCACCCAACAGACCCACCTCAAACAGACCCACCCACACATCAGAGGAATCATTGTAAATGCAAAAATATTCAACTGAGAACAATAATTCGAGACATATTGAAACTAATTCAACGGGGGTCTTTCTTGCAGAGCCATTTGCTGATGCTACAGAAGAGGACCACAAGAGTGTACGCATCTCTTTCAACATCTCGTCCATTCCACAGGATGAAACACTGCTCTCTGCTGAGCTCAGGCTCCTGAGAAATGACAGGGCCACTCTGGGCCCCTGGCCCCTAAGACTGAAACTGTACCTATCTGAAACCCTCAAGGATCCAAATCCTTTGCTGATTGAGAGTCGTTTACTTGGTCATGATCAAGCTGAAAGTTTGTGGGAGGTGTTTAGCCTCAGCTCAGAGTTCCTCTCTGGACCTGGCAGGGTAGACTTTGTGCTGGAGTTCCATTCAGAAAATAAAAGCTCACTTCATGACCATAACAAAACATTGGATGTCGACCAGGATGATAGAAAGGGTCATTTGAGGGTACGCAGGTCTGTGGAGCAGGACGAGTACAGCTGGACTCAAGAGAGGCCTCTGTTGGTGACCTATAGCCATGACGGCCGTGGAGAGCCATTAGTGAAACATGGCAGAAGAAATTCTAGCATATTAAAGAAAATGAGAGGGAGAAAAGGAACCAAAGAAAGGAATAGAAATAGTAGCACGGACCATTTTAAAGACAAGGCAAAAACCAAAAAAGCAAGCCCAAGTTGGGCAGGCAATAAAGGAGAGCTTAGTTGGGGTGATAGAAGAGTCAAACGAAATGGTGGGCGTGCTTCCAAACTAAAGCGTCTCTCCCGCAACAGGTGCCGACGCCATAATCTCTATGTAGATTTCAATGACGTTGGATGGCACAGGTGGATTATTGCTCCAAGTGGCTATGACGCCTTCTTCTGCCTGGGTGAGTGCCGCTTCCCTCTAGCCGATCATATGAACTCTTCCAGCCATGCCATGGTGCAAACCTTGGTGAACTCTGTCAATGGAGCAGTGCCTCGAGCCTGCTGTGTTCCCACCTCCCTCAGTCCCATCGCCCTTCTCTATCTGGACCCCCAAGACCGAGTGGTACTGAAGAACTACCAGGACATGGTGGTTGAGGGCTGCGGCTGCCAATAATGAGCAGTAGCACTGACTGGAGTGGAGAGCCTGACTGATAACACTTCAAGCAACAATCCAGTGAGAATGAGAGCTGAATGTAGCAATGAAAAGAATATATATAAGTCATTGTCCAAAGTAAAAGGATTGAATTCTGAAAGATTAGTGCAAAAGTGTAAGGAGGAAAAAAACATCAACAGTATTGCCAAATGATATTACTAACTTAAGTAGTGGTGCATTAGTTTACATATTTATAAAGATGACGGTCACTGAAAAGAAGCCATGGCCTTTGCAAAAGATTCACTCATATTTCTACATGAACAGCCAAACTGCCAAGCCTTAGCATCACCTAATGCTTTGCAAGATATTATTATTGAAGAAGCTAGCAATTATCACCAGCAACATGACAATGCCACCAGCGTGGGATCGACCAGTGTCTTAACTGAGGGTGAACACTTTCAAATAATGTTCAAAAACACCCTTTACATACGAGCTATTTAAAAACGTGATATTTTAATACTAAAGAGGTATTATATTATTGTTTGAATGTACCACTATATTATTATTTAAATGTTTTTGTACATTTCTGTTGCAGTCATTAGATTGTTGTCTTGTGATTATGTATAATTTAAAAGACACATTCTATATTTAAATATTAGCTATATGTTGTATTTAATCTTTAAAGTATTTAAGATACCTGCACTCAACAGATATTACAGCAAATCTAGAGCTTTGTATTAAGTCTGTGTACACATTGTAATCACTGCACAGTTCAATGTACAACATGATAGCAGACAAATGTGGTGTTGTCATTAAAAGCTCAACTAACAAATAAAAGGAAAACTCTGTGTTGTAGCTGCTGAAGTGTAAAACAGGTGTCTTTGCTTGTTGTGTGCATGTGCCAGACTTTAGTGCCTTCTATCAGGGGCTATAAAGATGTTCTCTGCTGAGCTAAATCATTCTTTTGTTGTGTTGAATTTCTTTGACAGTGGAAACTTCTTGTAAAATGTTCAACAATATACCTCTATTAAAGAGAGCAAGCAGCACAAGTGTCATGACTTTTTGTATAGCACCTGCTATTTCTGAAAAAACAACAAAATCTTCCAAAAAATATGATGAGATATACATGCAAAATTGAAATAAATTCTGAATAACCTGTATATTCAAGAAGCTAGATGTGTGCAACACACACACACACACACACACACACACACACACACACACACACACACACACACATATACACAGACAGACACATACACACACACACACACACACAGAGACATACGCACACACTTAAATATTATTGTATCTACTATTAATCATGTGTTTTTAATTAAATGTTTCTTGTTTGTGCACTGCAACACTGACATCTTCCCACTGTGGTACTACTAAAGGTTCTTTTATCTTGTGTTTATCAAAATAAAGAAAAAAGACATTTGCAAGTATACTAAAACGTGTTGGAATAGTTGTTCACCAAGCCAAGGTCATGTGGGACCCCAAATGGTTGTGGCTCCAAGCTCTCCAGTCGAAACATCGAAACCAGTCTTCAATCACTGTAACCCCTTAAGTGCACTAAACCACAGTTATATGTGTATATACTGTGTCACGCAGTAAAATAATAGTGCTCCAAATTATTACAGCAGATGTCAATGTATCCTCCTCTTGAGCCTTGTTGCTGCTGAGTTGGTGGTTTCATTTTGAAACATATAAAGCAGATACTGCTGGAGCTTCACCTCAGAGTCTTGATAACAAACAGATCTAATGCATAATAGAGAAAACCTGGAGGAGAGACTTGGGCAGAGAGGCAGGTGCAGTGTATCAAAACAACTGCCGGAAGTTTCCTTATTGAGAAAGCCCGCACACTGTCTCACATGTGTATTTTATGAAGCCATATGGACCGGTTGTTAAAGGCTATACTTCCTACAAGTCCTAACATCCACACACCATCCATAAAATCTAATCACATGGCAATTTATCTTCATTCAGCTACAAATGTTGTGTCCGCTGTGAGTGCTCCCTGTTAACTGAAGGATGAAAAAAATTGTTTTCACAGGTGCCCTGCAATGTGGATACTTTTCCACATCGGTAGAATTTTTATTCATTCTGTTCCCCTATAGTGTGTACCGCTTCTCTCCAAGTCTGAACCTTTGTGGTCAATATGAAGCCTGCAACTTCACTGTCGGATGAAATCACATAAGTGGACAGCAGTGACAAAAAATATATATATTATGCCACTTTAAAGGGGGGGAGTACTTTTTAATTGAACTCAAGTTCAATTACAAGTGAGTAAGTAATCCAATTAATAAAGTACTTCCTTTGCACAAATAATCACTATTCTTTTCTTGAATGAAAATCCTAACGCAGAGAGAAACCTGCTATTCAAATATCATCCAACAACATGCAAACAAAAAGCTGGTCAGTAGCTGGTCAGTAGTCAGCAGTAATAGTTTTTCTCCTCACAAAATGTTTTTTTTCCTTCGGCTTCTCCTTTATTTCAACACTAGCTTTCTTATGACCTATTGCCATATTTCTGTAGTGCATGGCTAATATTTACCCCATGTTCAGATTGCCCCAGTGCAGCTGCAGAAGCTCCCCCAGAGTCGTCCTGGGGCACAATTCAAATCAGTAGTGGCCTTGCTAGAGCTGTGAGTTTGGGTACCCACGTATTGGTAGATTTGCCGTTTTTTACCATATTCTTTCCATTCCCAGATGATGGATTGAACAGTGCCCTGCGAGATGTGCAAATCTTGGGAAATGTTATATAACCTTGCCATTTAAACTTCACCCCAACTCCCTGGGCCCTTCATTATGCCGTTTCATGACCGATACATATACAGTACGTAGAACCATCACAGAACAGCTCTAATCATACTAAGAGTAGATTACACACAGGTAGGATTTTTTAACTTTCACTTCACAGTTGTCGGTTTCTTTGTTGTGGTTTGTCAAAAACGTTTAACCCACAGTACATATGTTTTAGGTTCCCCATGAATGCTAAAGAGATATTTGAACATGCCTTTCCCTGCATGTGTCCGCTGTGTCCTTAATCAAGAGGTCCATTGCTGCGTACATCATTTGCATCTGTCGACTCATTAGCCAAGCATCAGCAAAGGAGAGAGGATGAGCCTGTGCCGAGGTAGAAGAAGGAGGAGGGTATTCAAGCGATGAAGGAAGAGAGTAATGATGAAAGGAGGGGGTACAGCTGCTGCTCTGTTTATACGGGGGACTTCGCTCTTCTCCAGATGTTGAACAGTGGGCGGAAGCAGAGATGTGCAGCAGAGGACAGGGGAGAGAAACGAGTGCAAGAGCTCAGGCCACTGCAGACTTGACTCATCCAAACGTGCTTTATGAGCTGCTCAGTGTGCCATCAAAAATGCCAATCAAAACTCATCTCAGAGTAAACAGGAAGGAGACGGAAATTTAAATCATTGATCCTTGTGAAAAGCAATACAGCAAATGCTTTAATTAATGTTTTTTCTCTTTTCTAGAACATTCAGAGGAAACCCAAACTCACCAAAATATTGTTCATTTTCTAAAATAAATGAACAAAATGTTGTCCAAAATGTGAAACACTTGCAATATAGAAAGCTAAAAACATTGACTAATATTAAACAAATATAAGTAATAATTGAGCTGAAGTAAATATCTAGTTTTGAATGTAGTTGAGAGGATTTTAAGATTAAAATCTAAAAGCTTTTTGAAAAAGTTCAAAACAAAAAACGATTTCTTTTAAAACACCAGTGATTAAAATATTACAACATTGGTGTGATTTAGAATTAAAATATTATTCAGTATTTGGGAATGCAAGTAGATTCCATGCATAATTGTGCATCTTGCTGGACACATTAATTTGATTAACAAACAACCAAAAAGGTAATCCACGGGTTACTTCGGTTTAGCACCAATAAAATTGTTGAGTTAACAAAGCTTGGATATGTGCATCTGAAGAGTGCGATCACAGGAACCGAAGTATAACCGTTATGGGTCGGTTCCCAATGAAAATTCATACGCCCATACTCTTTTATCCTTTCTAACAGAATGCTTTGCACAAATCTATTTTCAAAATATTGATTTGGTGCCAAATTACTCTATTACAATAGCACATGTGTGAGTGGAAACAGGGCCTGTAACAGGCTTGTGAAGAATTGGTCCATCAGTGAGCCGTGGTACACAGCGCTCCGGAGATACATTAATGGAAGAGGAAGAAGAGAAAAATCAGAAAGTGGAGAGGAGGGGGAGGCCTGGCATAAAGATCAGATTAGCACTTTTAAAACATCTGTGAAGTTGTCTGTCCCAAACTACAAACTCCCGAAGGATTTTGATCTGATAACTTCTATTTCCAAATCCTCCTTCCTTTTCTCTGATCTTCTTTTTTCAATGCATGTTATAAACACACACAGTACTTCACCTGTCAGTCTGCTGTTATCGGTACAGTGGAGTCCTGGAGACTGCATTTTATCTTGGTGTTGGGAAAGTATAACCACATAAACACATGCAACTTCATAATACCAATAGTGTAAAATATAAATAAACATACATAGAACAGATAAATATAAATAAAATTAAACCATTTATAAGGAGGGCTGCAGTCCATATTAGGAAATGTGTGTCAATTGTAAATGATTATGAAAGGGGCAAGTAATAAGCGTTTTTTTTCCCCTTTTTGCTCCTTTTCAATAGTGTTGTGGGACAAAAATTATGTATTTGTAATATGTAATGCAGTGTTACCGCCCACAATTGAAATAACTAGATACATTTTAAAAAGGAAATTTAAATCCCTCTTTTTGACATAAAAGGTTGTAAAGGTATGGTCCGCTCTTATCTCCAAAATGCATATCATATCAATCTGACCAAGCACTTGAAATTATAGACTTAGAGTCAAGTATGGAGGCAGCGCTAACAAGTATTTTTGCTTTGGAATCAGCTCACTATCCACACAGTCTCTATATTCAAGGCAGGTTTAAAACTTTCCTCTTTGAATTAGTACATGGCTGGCTAAGAATTAGTAAAAGGACCTCACATGTAGGTATTTGTTTGTAGGTTGAAGCACAGCCACATTTGTCAGTGTTGTCCATGGAGGGATACAGTGTCAATTGAGACTGAAGTGTGAGACTTGATATAGGGCGGCAGTAGCTCAGTTGGTAGAGCGTTGGCCTTTGAGCCAGAAGGTCGTGGGTTCAAGCCCCGCTCAAGACCTTCACCATCAACTCCCACTGACTACTATCGTTGTGTCCTTGGCAAGACACTTAACCTCTGGGAACACCAGCCACAGTGGGGCGGCTGCGGCTGTAAAGCGCCAAACTGCCGTTGTGTCCTTAGGCAAGACACTTCACCCCCATTGCCTAGAATGAGTCTGGTGTGTGTGTGAATGGTTGGTGGTGGTCGGAGGGGCCGATGGCGCATACTGGTTGCCTCGCTTCTGTCAGTGTGCCCCAGGGCAGCTGTGGCTACAGCAGTAGTTTATCACCACCGTGTATGGAGTGAATGAATAATGACACATGTGAAGCGTCTTTGAGTGTCCAGAAAAGCGCTATATAAAACCGATGCATCATCATCATCATAATGTGTCTTCTTTTAGACATGCAGACTATCACCAGCTGTATATGAGAGATTCTGATGATTTTTTTTCAAATGGTCCTCCAGCCTGTAGCTCCATGACATATTTACGATATATTTCCTTCTACTCTACACTGTGAGGCAGTGTTAGGCCAGTAATTACACTTCTTTGGGATTACTTTATAAAATAATAATCTACTTAAATGTCACCCTGCTTTCAGGCTGGAGCTCAGTTAGGGGTTTCAGACAGGGACCCCCAACATGCTGGGTTGGGTATGGTATATATACAACTATACAGCATATGGAAGAAACATTTATGACATATCCACTTGCAAGAAAATAGCAGAGAAATAGATGTGCCAGATTGCCACTTTTTACTCATAGGTTCTCAAGGAAGCAAGCAGGGAATGGGAAACTCCCCAAAGCACAGACAGTGGAAAATGACTTTAATTTAAATAAAGTGTGCAAAACTGTATGCATTTTTGTGTGGGATGATTGGAGTGAATGGGTAAAAGTAAGAGAAAAACAGATTAATAGTCTTTAGGATGTTTAAGTATTTAAAGTTTAAGGAACAGGTGGAAATAACCAATGAGTGGGTGGTGGGAGGAAACTTGTTTTTGGCAATGACGTGGCAGCTTCTTTTCTTCTGATAGAAATCCACACAAAATGGTGCACTCTTCCACATCCACTCCCAAACCTTTATACATCCCAAGGTTTTGTCCTGTGTTTTACTGGTGACATGTTTTCATGAGGGAGCTATCACAGTTGTACCAGGAACACAAGGAAAGATAGAGTGCTGTGTTCAAAATGATAAAATTAAAACGCCCATAGCTCGGCCACCACTGACGAACTTAATTTACTTAGATTACTTTTTTTAATCAATTTATTTGTTTCATACTGCGGCTTATTTCAGTCTTTCAGGTCCTGAAGTATTTTTTTCCCAGTTCTGTCCTACCTGAAGTCCAAAACGTCTCTCTACCTGGGCCCTCTACAGTTAGCCTTCAGACCCCATACGTCGTTTTTATTTTAATTTTATCACTATTATCATATGCTTGTGGGCTCGGACTAATTGCAGGTTCTAAAATTAGCAAAGCCTGGGCAAAAACCACAATTAGTGCCCAACATTTTCTGAATTTTCACATTTTCCAAAAGTGCACAAAAAGTGAGCTTAGAATGTCTTTAACTATTAAGAAATGAGCGAAAATATAAAATAGAATCATCAATACAGCAAAATTATATTTATTGAAGCATTGGGAGAAATAAGCGTATCAGTCTCTAAATGTAAAGTCAATAATCAGACAGAGCCGCATAAGGAACAGGGTGCACAGCTGCTTTAATCGCAGGATACTGAACATTATAAAATAAATCTTGTTAGAAGATCTGGTTTTGCCTTCAAAGGTAATTATAATCAGATCTTCCGATGACTTCCTCTGTCTTTTCTTTCATGTTCATCCCTCAGTCTGAAAAATACTACAAAAGTCAGAGTTACTAGCTACTGTTGCTAATAAATAGAGAGGTTTTGTTCAGACAAAGACTCTCCTGAGGACTGTACAGGATGAAAGTCTTGGCAATAAGTGCTGCAGACAGAGAAGTGTTTTGGAAATGAACAGAGTCCACACTTAGCATTGGAGGGAACTGTGTGACTGCCATCTCTAAATCCAGTTCTGTCCTCCACTTATCAGGGAAATAGGGAATGGTGAATTTACAACATTCTACCGTCCTGGGGACAACCTTCTGGGATCTTTTCATACTTTAACATTGATTCAAATAACAATCCCTGTAGGTAAATGGAAATCAGACATAAAGATATAATGGAACACTGTCACTGGAATTCACAAGTTTAAACAAATCATTTGAAAAAACAAAAAATAACATTGTCCCTGCTTTGCTATGGCAATAACACAATAAGGAATACAGGCCCAAACTTGTCATTCTAAGACGTAAGAGAATTCAAAGACTGAATTCCCATTGTTTTGCAGTCTCTATTATAGATATTCTTGGTGATTATTCAGCGAGTAGGCTTATAGTGGATTGTAAGGAAGGGTCTGGATTCTGGATCACAGACTGGACCCCACAGGGACATGATAAGGGGTTGTGAAATTATAATGAAGTACTACATCATATGTATTTATCTGAAGTACAATGTTAGTGAAAATAGATCAAACATGTACAGTAAGTGAATACTAGAATTCATAATTCAAAAAGGTACATCTAACTTAATCTGATGATTAGTCCTAAATGTCCAAACGTGTATGGACATTTATCAACATTCATGGACAATGTGTGTTTTTGTGTGTCTTAAATATTGATTCTCTGATCTGTGTTGGTGATTTCAGTGGTTTTGTTAAGTCCTCTGAGATGACTTCTGTTGTGATTTAGGGCTATACAATAAGAAATTGAACTGTATTGTATTGTATTGTATGATTGAAAGTACAGTATGAATGCTTTCTATCTTGTATAAGGGTCTCTGAATAATTTGGGAACCCGACATTAGTATGGAACTCTGCTGCCCCCTGTTGCAAATTCCTTGCATGAGATACAAGAAACAAGACACAACTCGTTTTCATTTGAAGTAACTTTTGACACTCTTTTGCTGAGTTGTCTTGAATTGAATTGTATTCAAAGATGTTGACCCTTCAACTGAATTGCTTTTTAATTATATCCTTGTGTTCTTGTAATTGTAGGTATAACTCACTTGACATGTCTTCTCGTGGCTATGTCTTATCTAGACGTTAAAAGTCTAGATAAGACTATAAGACTATATATGATATATACCGACATCAAGACTATTAGACGTAGACGTATAAAGTATAAAGTATAATATTTATATATATATATATATATATATATATATAATATATATATATATATATATATATATATATATATATATATATATATATATATATATATATATATATATATATATATATATATATATATATATATATATATATATATATTATATATATAGACTTTATAACTAATGTAGGTCTGTATTAGCTAAATGTGATTCTTTCAACATCGACACGTATGAGCACGCCACGCTGCGTCTGCTCAACGTAACCCCGTGGGCAGCTACGTGCTGACGTAGGCCGTGTGAACAACAAACAGTTGTTGGACTTCCACTAGCTGCTGCGAAGGACCCTGACAAAAACAGCCCCACGCACTTTTCCTCTACGGGGAGACAGTGCCGCGGTCTGAACGCCCTGGATGCCCGTTTCTGAGGAAGTATCCGGGCTGCAGTGGGCAGGTGTAGCTCGGAGCATCTGTCGGTCCTGTTAGCCGCAGAAACATGCTCCTGTGTGGACAGTGACGCCTGTTTTTCCCCGCTGCCGCCGCTGCTCTGGAGCGATGCACCACAGAGAGTGAACAAGACACTGCACTTGGAAATATTTACTTCCCACTGAAGAATGGACCTAAACACTGGTGTCGAAGCAACCCCAGGAACAGGGGTGGGAATGCGACTGTATGTAGGCCTGGATATCGCGGTTGTGAAACTACTTTAGCTCGCTAGCATAGGCTCACTTATTTCATGCAAATGAATCGGTTTGTGTCTAGCCGTAAGCTCATGTTGCTAGCGTAGTAGAGGTGGCCAAAGCTACCTGTACATTGTGATTGGACTTCCCAAAGTCCCTTGATTATTGTTTGGACATTTTGACAGTCAGTTTATATTTAGTTATGAGTCCCTCTACAATTAATGAAAAGGATGACCAAAAGATTATGCCGTGTATTTGTACTGTGGATCTTTAAGGACAGTCTATTTGGCTCCTTATTACTGATTTCATACGTTGCTTTAGAATGACTTAAACGGTCTTTGAATAAGCTGTGTTGATTAAACTTGAATTGTAAGGATCTGAATGCCTGCACATCAGTGAGACAAAGCAGACGATAAGCCCCTCAGGTCCAAGTTGGTTCAAAGTTACTGTTTGACTAAAGTCTTTTTTTGGCCCAGTTACATTGCCCCTTATTTGGAAATGAAACATGAATATTAAGGAGCAGTGTTTAGATGTGTGCAATATAAAGACAAATGACCAAGATGATGCCATTTCAGACAGGGTCATACCCTGTATTTCAGAACTAATGATGGACTTTAATATTGATAAACAAACTATCAATCCAACTGATACCACCAACCTTTATCTAATGCCTCATCTTACGGACAACATCCAGGGCACGGAGGAGGACAACCACAAGGATCTAGAGGGAAGAGAAATAGATGAGGTCAACGGAAATTGTAAAAGTAGTACACAAAACCCACCTCTGGTAGAAAATCCCTCTAATGAAGTGATATCAAATGCAGAGCTGATGGACTCTGTTGGAGTTTCTGTCAAAAAAAAGAAGGACAATGAGTTAATCTCAGGAGAAAGCAATGATGGTGGGGACATGGACATTGGTTTGGATCTCAGTCTCAATGAAACTGGTGTTTTGGAGGCAGAATCTTCAGATATAACACAGTCACATAATGCCTTAGAATCAAAGCTCTGTACCCAGGATGCCCAGGTTCTGAGCACAAAAGAAAGTTCAGTATCGGGTGAGATCCAAACCTCGAGCACAGCACTCCCCTCCACAGAGCAGACGGGGCCCTCCACAGAGCAGACAGGGCCCTCCACAGAGCAGACAGGGCCCTCCACAGAGCAGACGGGGCCCTCCACAGAGCAGACGGGGCCCTCCACAGAGCAGACGGGGCCCTCCACAGAGCAGACGGGGCCCTCCACAGAGGAGACGGGGCCCTCCACAGAGGAGACTGGGCCCTCCACAGAGGAGACGGGGCCCTCCACAGAGGAGACGGGGCCCTCCACAGAGCAGACGGAGTTACCGGCAGAGGAGGAAACCGACAAACTTAAAACCAGCGGTAAAAGAGTGACATTCCCTTCTGACGAGGACATCGTATCTGGAGCTGTGGAGCCCAAAGACCCCTGGAGACATGGTAACTGCTTCTGTGTTTATGAATTCCTTGTTTTAATGTTGTGCCTGTCCAAACATGTTTTTACCTAGAGCTAAGATAATTTGATTTGCAGTCATGCTCTTAGTATACAATAAGAGAACTGGGCAAAAGTTTACCACTCCTTGAGGTGTGCCATTATCACAGTGGCTACCTGTTTGTTAAGTTAACAGACTGCTATACAGACTCTCATTCGAAAACGGTGGCCCAGCTGTTTTAGAAGCAATTCACCAGGATTATGTTTCTTACAAAGATTGATGATTTTAATATATTGGTGTGAATCAATGTGGATTTCTTTTTTAAAGATTTAAATAGTTTTAAAGTTATCCATCACAGATGCAGATGCTCTGGAATTCCAAATCAAACAATCAGAACACAGGAAATGCAGTAATAAAACAAACACATGGGAGACATTGGTCCAAACATAGAGCATGGAACAATGCAAGATAAGCGCAGACTGCCTTGTGCTGCTGTCAAGGGGGTATTATGCCCTGACACCAAACCCTCAAAAATAATGTCTCGCAGAAATAACTGCTATATGTTATTTTAGGTCGATTTTAGAACTGTAATGTTTTCATATGTAGTGTGTACGGATCCTTTCAACATGGGGCTGTGCATTATGCAGCAACATGAGGTGTGGAGAGATTAAGTACTTATTGATAAACATCTTCTACATTTTAGTGCCGAATTTTGCCACAGTTGAAAAATTGGTGCTTTACATTGTGTTTGGAAGTGCACTTGATGTGAAGTATGAAGCTCAAGGCGAACATAATTGTCTTATGAAGTATGAATTGGCTTTGATTTGAGGCAACAAAGTGTCGAAAGCCACTGTAACCACATCTCAAACTTCCTGCCAGAGATACAATACCCAGTAGCATGATTCCTAAGAAGATGCTATATGTTAGCATTGACTAATTTTTATTCCGGGTCCACCCCCGTCGGCCCAGGGTGGTATTGCAAGTATGTCAGCGCACGTTAGGGCTGGGCGATATGGCTGAAAACTATATCACAATATAAGTAATTCATATCGGGCGATAACTATATATATTGATTGTTTTTTATTTATTTTTTTAAATGTAAATAAATACATTTGTCGTGTCGGCTAACACATGCTGCTCTGTGACTGGGTGCAGCTATGACTGCCACCCCCCCGACCCAGAAATGGATTAAGGGGAAGAAAATGGATGGATGGATGGATGGCTAACACATGTTAGCAGCCTTGTTTACAGTCACAGGGGAATGAGGCTGGAGCCAAATGTTCACAAGCAGTCTCCCCCACTTTAGTCCTGGTTTAATCCTCGTTTAGTCCTGGTTTAGCACCTGTTTTCGAGTGTCCTGTGTCCCCGTGGCGGCTCCGGAAAGTTAATCTCTTGTTTTTGCCGAATGCATCGAGTCTCTGCCTCTCCCGCGCCGCACATGCTGTTCCTCGCATGGACGTGTTTAACCATTGACACGGCACTGAGACACGATCTTTAGATCCAGGGCTATTATGATAGATCCATGATCCATGGACGCTACGCATGGTGCGGTTGTTATTTTTCATTCCCAAAAAGTTTTGCGGTTTGTAGTCGGCTGTGATAGGTCGAGAAGTCTCTGCCTACATCCCCCAGAATGCCGCGCGCTTCTGACTCGGCTTTACTTCCTGTGTTTCGTTCCTGTTTTTTCGAACGGAGTGAAGTTAAACTATCGAAAGTTCTATCGACCCCGTTCTCTATTGATATCGAACATGTGTCTATCGCGATATATATTGTTATCGTTTTTTCGCCCAAGCCTAGCGCACGTCATTTTGGCCACTTTTGAGCCGGGACCCGCCCCCAGTGGTTCACACAGAGAATGTGCCAGCAACAAGTGTAGGGTCCGAGGACAGTGAATTGGTGGGTCGTTTTGACATGCTATCCCGCTCAATGCCGCTGAGTGTGAAAATGCTTCAGTTGGTCTCACTTTGAGCTCTGGCAATGCCCCTGGAGCACACACAGCTCCGCAGACAGAGCAGCAGAGAGAGACCATGCGCCTCTCAAATCAAACCTACTGTAACAAGTCATCTGATTCTCACAGCAACTTTTTGTGTGATGCCATAACTGCAGGATCTAGTTATTTTTGTTGTCAAATGTGCCTCAGTGTGTCAGTGAGAGAAAGGACTATTTTATTCCCATGTAAACTGTTAATTGGATGTTTTGAGTCCAATTGCAGCCACTTGATAAGTTCTAAAGCATGACACCTACAAAGATGAATAAACTATTTTTTTTGGGGTCATATATAATTATATATATTAGGGCTGCAACTAACGACATTTTAATAGTCGACTAGTTACCAACTATTGAAACGATTAGTCGACTAATCGGATAATTATTTTTTTCTTCTTATATTTAGCATGAAGTTTAATTATGTGGCAAATGATTAAAAAAACCTCAAGAAAGATGGGTGCTTCAATGAAAAACGCGTCTTTTATTCTACTTTGCTGCTTGTTCATACAAAAAGTGAATAAAAATGTCCTATTTAAGACCAATTTGGAACAGTGGTCAGTATAGACCATTGCTTCTCAATTATTTTTGGCCAGGCCCCCCTTAGGTACAGGAAAACATTTTGCACCCTCCTTCTTAAATCTTTTGAGCTAAAAAATCCGCTCTCTGCCCAAAAAGTAAAATATTGACTTACATGGTTCTTTCTTAATTATGCAAAAAACAAGACTTCTATTGTGGGTTTTTTGTCATTGTTATTTATTTTACGTTCGGGCACTACCAAGATGCATTATGAATGCAAGGGAAATTTAGGTACCCCAGCTTTAATGTAGTGAGTTTTAGTTTCTGGGATACAGGAGGAGACACGGGGGACACTTCCAGAGGCTCACATAGTTCAGCTGTATTTCACACAGCGCTGTATTTATTGCGTCCACATGTTGCGCAAAGAGCCGCACTTTTCCTGTCCGCGCCTGTCACATTATGGCTTCGCTTTGGCCGCGCTGTTATCAAAGCATCTTCACAGAAGCTTTGCAAACCTTGCAAGTAAACTTTTTATTTGCCGTATCCAGACTACAGTGCTCTCAAACTTTAGAAGTTTTTCTACACGGAGCTGATGGACGCCGCCTTTACTGTTTACTTTTTTACGCTCGATAAATGCTCTTGCGCATGTGCGACTCCCGGCAGAGATTGTGAGATGGGGGATGCCTCACTCTGTTGGAAAAACACGTCTGGCGACAATAGTCGACAATGGAATTCATTGTCGACTATTTCTATTATCGATTATTGTCGAGAAATCGTTGCAGCCCTAATGTATATAGATAACATCCACAGTATTTCCTCCTTTGCTTCATTGGAAATACACTTTGAGAAATGCTACTTTTTTGTTGGAGACCTTCTTATCACTACCAGCCATGAGTAACAATAGGAGGTGATTCCATGAATCCTAAGGGTTTTCTGCTGCCAAACTGGATTCACTTGATTCAACTTGATTGGTTTTACTACACTAAAAGACAAACTCGTAGTGATGCAATCCCTTTTATTACTAACAAAAGCTTGGGGCCAGGCCACATTTCTCACATCCTGATAATCCTAGTCCTGTCAGTAAAGCACTTTCCTTGTTTCATGATTTATTGTGTATTAGATATTACCACATTTTTTTGGTATAATCGCCATGAAAAACCAATGGTTCTGTCTAGGTGAATGGCATCCACCAAAGGCTTTCTTGGTACCAGGTTTTGTGACTTTTTGACTTTCGATATGTTGTGTACAATGGCTCTGTACCAAGTTACACATTTGCCTCAGAGAATGGACAGAAGCTCAGCCTCAGAGAAAGGCTCCAACTGCCAAAAGGTTAATCTTTATATAATATAATTTGTTGATAGATTATTCACTATTGTTATAGTTGTCAACTAATTGGTAATTAGTGATTGATTAAGAATGAACCTGCTTAGAAGAGGTTTTATATCCCAGATAATTCAATAATGAATAAAGAATTAAATGAAAATGGGTTTACAGTATTCTTAATGAATCATCTGTAACAAGTCCTCTCTATGAAGAGGTTCCCCATGGGGCATCACATGAGCACACATGTACACCCAAAAACAATTGTTCTGGATGTGCCAGATTTACTGATGAGCGTGTCCCAGTCCTTCTGTGACGGTCAGCTGTCCTGTATGAATGACGCTGCTGTCGCCATCCAAAACACTACAGTGTGAAATGGCAGAGAACAGCGCTCGAGATCAGCCTGTGGTATTTTCGGCTCTGGCACTTGCATGTTAAATAGGAGTTGGCTGCATTTGCGTGTCATATCCACAGAATGTTTGGTTTCTTGAGGCCTGTAAAGGCTTCAGACTTGGATTTGTATCGTTCTTACTAGTGCTGACACAATCAATCAAAAACTTAAAAGCTTTGATTTTTAATGATTAATTGGTTGATTCTGAAGTGATTTTGATGTTTAGTCCTCCCCAAGACAAGCATCAACATCTGGAGATGTGCTCCTGACAAGAGTCTCTGTGGGAATAGAAAAATGGCTCAAATGTAGAGGACAAATTTCCCTAAGGGACAATAAAGTATACATTAATTAACCTTAACCTTGAAAAGTATGTTGCAGTTACACAAATGGCACAAAGGATGTTTGTCAATGAGGTTTTCAAATTTGTTTATGTAGCAACTTTCTCAGAAGAAGTTTTCATCCATTTCCTCACATGCGTCTGTCCAAAAGGTGCTGACTGGCTCTTCCAAAGGGAACCACGGATAAACTCTGCTTTGCTCAGACCGCATACTCTGCTCTGCTCTGCTCTCCTCGTCACCTCCTACGAATCGCCTGACGGCACACAAAGACCACTGACCAGCTGTGACTTTCTATATTTTGACTTAAAGATTCAGGGGGTGAGATCAGAATGACGGTCAATCATTTTACCATCACTACATGATCATTGAAGATAGTGGGGCTGATGGGTCTTAATCAGGGCTATAGAGTGACTATGACGATAGGGCTGTAGCTATCTAGGAGTTTTGTTATCCACTATTCTACACAAAGTATTACCTTTTTAAGCAACTGATTTTTTCACAAACAATCCTATAATATGATTTACATTACATTTTAGACATTGATCACCGCCGCCGGTCCTGGCAGTTTTGGTACCAGGCGAAAACATTTGTGTTTAAATCTAGTGTTGGACTTGGTTCTGTCCAGTTGTTTCTCATATTTTGAAGTTGTTGAAATCATCCAATTAATTGAGGCTTTTTGTAATTTATTAAATCAATCAGTTTGATGAATCCGTCTGATAATTGTGTTTACCTGCCACTGCCAGCTTAGGCACTGGAAAAATGGAGTCTGGACACCCAGGGGGGTCGTGGGGCTTGAACTGAGGGCTTCAAGATGATTTGTTATAACATACAGTAATACCTAGACACATAATGTAACAATTTTATTTTTATATTTAACCTTAATTAACCGGGAAAGTCCCATTGAGATTAAGAACCTCTTTTGTGTTGCTTCTTTCATGATTGCTACTTCAATTTTTGTTATGTAGTGGGAGCCACAAATCGCGGGTCAGGTTTGTAATCTGGGTTTTTTTTGGGGGTCCCTGTTTGAAAAGTGTGGGGATTTCTGGCTTAAGGTGTTGGCTCTGGTCAGTGAGGAGAATGATATGCCCACAAGTTTTGATATTTTCTGAAGTAGATCTCAAACACTACAAGACTCTGGGATAAACCATGTGACATAAGCCCATAAATTCAGATGAATGAACGGACTAAAATAACCTACACAACTATCATCATCAAGAAACAGTCTTTAAATCACCTCAGTATAACTCCACCCCAGATATTTTTTTTCATGTCCAATACGTTTTTTGTAATCGGTGCTTGATCCCATTCAGGCCTTTTTAACTTTCTTCACTCTGTGTACACAGACTTTGATTATGAGAGGGTCAGAACCTGTGCGGGTCCCGGCGCACTGAGAAAGTGCGTAAAACTAATGACATACTCGGACCTCGGAGCACTGCGAGTAGGAGTGCGGGGGCGGTGGGGTGTGCGGAAGCTTTCTGCACTATTTTTGCCGGACTCCGCAGCGCTCTGCTCCAGTCTACTGTCGATTGTCAGCTGTCTTCTCAATGATCCGTTGACCGGAGTCAGTGTATGTTACAAACCAAAGTTGTAGTCTGTGTACAACAGGCGTTTGTTCCACCCCCCCCTGTCCAACAGACTGGGCAACGACACAAAAGAGCAAGTAAAGACTCATCTGCAGATACTAGTGCCGGCTCTCTACCGACTCTACTAACTGCATTATCACCGTTGTACTTTGAACGTGCACAGTAGTGTGATTCATCATCCTTCTCCTCCTTACTTTTAAATCAATCACCTCTTGTCACATCCTAATCCTGTATACGGAGTTGTCTTGATATCCCTAGCCCCAAACCTCACCTTCCTTCAGGAAATGTTTACAAACTTGCACAACAGCAGCTCTGTACAATAACACGTTACAAGGACACAGTGTTCAAATGCACAGACTGTACCAATGCGCCACACTGCCCAAATATTGGATGTGCACACATTTTGGGTTTATTCACAGGATTCCTGACATTTATTGAGTGCAATTTGCCTGAGAAGAACAAAACCTAGTATAGTTTTTAGTGAAGTTTATATTAATAGCTACCCTGACAATTAGAGATTAGAGATCTTCCACAAATCCATTAAGTGTGCTGTTTGTGTCAGACACATGTTGAGCTTACAAGACTCAAGGAACACTTTGGAAGGCTTTAGGCACTTTTGAACAGCCTGTTGTATTTATGATTATTGTAAGAAATATAAAAATAACACCCCTCAGTATTATGCTGCACAGGGGGTGTTTTTTCAGCTCTTGATTTATCCCTTTTCTATAGTAACTTGCTATATCCAAAATCCGAATATTCTTTTTGATATATATACACTAAAAAGATACAATAAAGATACTAATTCCTAGACTTTAGGGGTGTAGGTAATATTAATAATGGATAGAGCTTGGATATAGAATGTGTCACTATTTTCTAGACCCTAAAGTGGTGTGTCATATGACAGAAGTTGGGCCCTGCAGCTTTGGGAACAAAGCCCTCTTTTAGTCAACTCAATAAGGTTCTCTTCCCAATCATTCATAGAAGTTCAATTTGTGTTGAAGTACATTCATTGTCATGTTTCAAATAAAGCCCTAAGCCTCCGTTTTTGTGTTTTGCAGCTCAAAATGTGACCGTGGAGGAGATCTTGTCTTCATACAAAGTGGCCTGTCAGAAACTTACATGTAAACCTCTGCCCAAAGTGCTCAAACAGATTCAGGTAATTGCCTAAACAGTTCTGTCTGTCATCTAGGAACATGTATTTTTTTCAATGCTGCTCTTATATGACAGGGAGCTAAGTTATTCCTATGAAAACTTGTTTGTATGAGTTTTTGTTGCATAAAGTTTGAATAAGTGATCAGGTGATTGTTCTATTATTGTGCTTTCAGCCATTTAGCCAGAATGGTCATGAGCTCAGTAATCCCTCTGTGAGCACTGCCTCCTGCACCACACAGTTTCCTCTGTTTTATCAGTGTTTCCAATCAGTCCTCTCAGAATAAATACAGTATCAACTTCTTTAAGAAAAAAAAGGACAAAACGATCTCTTTCACTGTGATTGTTGTGTGGTTGTTTTTCTTGTATAACATCACACCTTTGTCTTCCACAAAACAAGTTCATGTGACACAGGTCCAACCTTAACTCTCATTAAAGTGGTTCTCACCCCCGCTCCTCTGAGCTTACGTTACTCACATTTCCTGTTCAAATCTTCCTCTAAATGGGCGTAGCCTGGAGGACTGAAGGGGGCGTGAACGAGACTGGGCCGTTTACATTGCTCTGGGCGGGGGGCTGCTGACGTCAGGTCCAACTTGCAGACGTCAGGTCCAACTTCTGTGCCAGTGTTGGCGCCAGATTCAAAATTCAAATGTAGTAATACAGGTCGCCAGCAGATGGCGCCTCACAGACGGTTTTAGGCAGAAAGTCTAACTTTCAACTAATTTGCACCAAAGTGACAAGATTATGACCAGGATATGTAGACAACACTATTGGACACTCATTTATACCGTTTATCAGCAAAAAAAAGTGGATTTGAGGGTGAGTTGTCCTTTAACTCTCATTTACCCTGTACCTGTTGCTACAGCCACAAAGAAATAAGTATTTATTCTTAAATAGATGTCAGCAAGGCAAGCTGCATTAGTTTTTCTAAATGCTTTCTTTATAAGTAGACTCTACACGTGGCACTTCGCCAGCCCCAGCCACAGGTTATGTATTGGCCGCCCACTTGTTTGGTTGTGTTTATGAGAGTGGCTCTTTAGCAGCTGTGTGTTGAATGCTCCTCATGGACTCTACTGGAACTTTTGGAAAACCTGTGTCACTTCCTCATCTCCCTGAGGCCTGGAGTTGCTGCCACCTGCTCCACACGGTGAAAGCCTAAAGTGAAACTAAAACGACAAACCAGTGCATAAAAAAAGTCTAAAGAAAGAAACCACTTTTGCATCATATATATTTGCGAGTGGAGAGTTACTCAAATTAAATATTTTGTTGTGCCCGTGCAGTAACAAAGGGAAATGTCAGAGCCTCTCAGTAAATACACCGTGACATGAGGCTGAAGGTCACTGGGTTTACTGTGAATGGACCAGACAGAAAACCAGAGACACCTTTGGTCTTCATCATATATTGTCATGTCTAACATTCATACTGTATAGGAAAACTGCATGTGATTTATTTTAGATTACAACATTTATAACATATTTTCTGCACCTTATTTCGTTTAGAAATATTGCCCAGTGTGATAAGCCCATACATTTTTTCTTTTATAAAAACAGGACTAGTGTTTTCATATTATATATCATTACTCTCTGTTTCGATTCCCCTGTAATAGCACCGTATTTGTATGTACTGTAGTCCTCACCTGGACGCCATCTGCTGGCCTTATTCTGTTGTGCACAACCAGCAGTTGAGCTCCTGTCTCACAGTCACAGCTTAGATAAACGAGCTTACTTATTAAAGTAAATTATAGGAGCCTTGCTCAGAAGCTAATATGTTCAAACAGATTTGAAGAATGTGTTCAGATGCTTATTCCTTGACCTTTTGGTTTCTACAGGAACTAAAAGAGTTCACGCAACGAAATGAATGCTTGGATCTAAAAGGTAAGGGTTAACTATGTGTTGACATGAAACATTGCATTCACTTGGTGTGTGTTTGTTTACAGGCGAGAAGCTGGACTACAAATCCTGTGAATCTCTTGAGGAAATCTTGAAGCGGGTCCAGTTTAAAGTGATAGATCTTGAACAGACAAACCTGGATGAAGATGTAAGCGTTACTAGGTTCTTTTGTTGTGCGGAGTAATTAAGTTATGCTTTGTCTGTAATGGAAAAATTTTCACTGTTTTCTGGCCCTCATTAGATAAAGGCAAAGTAGATAAGGATACATTAACCTGTAACATTACAATACTCTTTACTGCATTTACAAAGTATGGAACCCTGTGTTATTGCATTTAGATTCAATTCCATTTATTTCTGTAGAGCCCTAAATCACACAACAATCAATCAAACAACAGATCAGAGTTTTACAATCAAACAGTTCAAACACAGAAAGTGCAAACAACAAACACATAGAGGTCATTGGTCCATAGGGGGCGGGATAACCACTGTCTACATAAGTTAACAAATGTCCATAAAAGTACAGTGATATATTACTTCAGTGTACAATATCAAAAAAACACACACATTTGTTTGGTCTGTACGAGTTGGCCCGGAAATGTAAATGAAATGGCAGCAGTGAGTCATTGGGTGAGTCACCATGTTTTCAATCTGTAACAAGCATTTTCTTTATATCCGGAACCATAAACTGGCCAATAGTTAATGTTTGATAGCGTCTTGTGAGAAGGTGCTGTCAAACCTCACTTCTAACACAAGGAAGCCACTGGCTTCCTGTGGCTCAGAGGATAGACTTTAAAACAGCTCTGCTTGTTACAAGTCTCTCCATGGCCTCGCACTATTGTATATTAGTGACATGTTAGTCCCATATGAACCAGACCGGACTCTGAGGAGCACAGGGACTGGACTCCTGTTAGTGCCCAGAGTCAGGACTAAACATGGGGAGGCCGCATTTCAGATTTATGCTGCTAAAATCTGGAACAATCTTCCTGAAGATGTGAGACAGGCCTTGTCGCTGACAATGTTTAAAACCAGGTTAAAAAAATTTCTCTTTAGCTGTGCATACAACTGAGGGATTTTATATTTATATCTTTATTTCAATGTGATTATTGTGGATTTTAAGGCTATCTTGTCAGTACTTTGAGTTGCCTTGTGTATGAATTGTGCTATACATATAAACTTGCCTTGCCTAGCACAAGCCCAAAACCTGGACCTTGAAATCATTATACATTTCAAAACATTGAAAGTATGATATTTTTAGAATGTTTTTATTACCACTTTACTTTCACCACTTCTCACACAAACACGTCAAGCTATTAAAATCAGAAGTTCATGATAGTATTTTAATCTGTTTTATTTCCTTCTAGGGTGCATCCGCTCTGTTTGATATGATTGAGTATTACGAGTCTGCGACACACCTGAATATCTCTTTCAACAAGCACATTGGCACACGGGGATGGCAGGCTGCAGCGCACATGATGAGAAAGGTGAGCACTGCAGAGTTCATGGAAATAAGATTTATTTTTGTCCCCAACATATTTGATCTCGAGAATACATGACCAATGAAGTAAAAGATGACCAGAATATGTACTCCTTCTACTAAGTGGAAAAAGTGGGAAATTCAATTCTGCTACATTTAAAGTCTAATTCAGGGGTGTCAAGTTGGTTACGGAAAGGGCCTGGGATAATTGAAGGTATGCAGTATTTGACTGGAGAAATTGACAAAAGAAATTCAATGGCAATACTTTTGTTTTAGAAAGTAGAGAACTGTCCTGATCATGACATCATAATGTATTAATTGTAGTGTGCCAAGTTTGAGATGGAAGGCCCTTTTTTGGTTCAAGCTTGAGAATAAATTACATGACATGAAAAGATCAGTTTTATTTATGTCCTTGCAGCCATTTTATGTTCTTACAAAGGATGTATTTGTGCAAGTTCAATTCAATTATTTTTGTATAGCCCTATATCATAACAGCAGTTGTCTCAGAGGACTTGGTTTTGTATGGTATGTACTTAATTTGAGCAGGGACAGTGTACAATTAAACATGAACACAAAGGAGAGATGTATTGTACCAGGTTATAGCAAAGAGGCTAATTTCCACCTGTAGTCCCTGGGCAGGTTGATGTTATATTAATTTAAACAGATTCTAATGTAGATAGATACATACAGTACATGACCGTGTCTTACATTTACAGACTTTAAATATCACTATAAATCATTCACAATTTTTTTAAATTAATACTAATAAATACAGTTCCCCAACTGTCGCTTCACAAACATCCGATCAGAGAATCAAACGGTTTGAACAAAGGAAATAACCAGCACATAGTAGCCATTAGTCCATTGGGCGCAGATGAGCAATGTCCATAAATGTTAAAAATGTTCATAAAGTTCCTCTTATTAGTGTGGATTGAGTAAAAACCAGCTCCAGGTGATGACTCGTAACGATGTTGTTAATAACATGTGCAGACATAACGGATCTGAGCTCTGGATTCTTTGTAATCTTTGACTTTACATGTTTAAGAGATCCTTTATTCAACGTTGCGTCACAAGTTAAAGAACCTGCGGGAGCTTCACTCGGCTGTTTCTCTTTCAGACGAGCTCTCTGCAGTATCTGGACGCCCGTAACACCCCTCTTCTGGACCACTCGGCTCCGTTTGTTGCCAGAGCGCTGCGGATCAGCGGCAGCCTGGCAGTGCTCCATCTGGAGAACGCGGGGTTATCTGGCAGGCCACTCATGTTACTCGGTTAGTCGCGTTACTGTGAGCAGTTTATTTGTGTAGCTTTTGCGCTCATCTCTAACCTCTTGTTCTTAGCTACGGCTTTAAAGATGAACATGAACCTGCGGGAGCTTTACCTGGCTGACAACAAGCTCAATGGCCTCCAAGACTCTGCTCAACTGGGAAATCTGCTGAAGTTTAATTACAACATTCAGATCCTGGACTTGCGCAACAACCACATCCTTGACTCTGGTAAGCATTATTATGTGTGATTGAGGAAGATAAAGTTTCTGTATATATCACTTTATATGTTTGTTGTTTAACAGGTTTGGCCTATATTTGTGAAGGACTCAAAGAGCAGAGGAAAGGTCTTGTCACTTTAGTGCTATGGAACAACCAGCTCACCCACAATGGCATGGGCTACCTCGCTGCTGCACTGGTGCGTCAGACACACTCGGCCTATTTTTAACTTCCTCTTGTTTGAATAACTTGTATTTCAGGAGAAAACTGTAAAATATCACATCTAAACAGGTGCTTTATTGCTGTTTATAAATGAAGCTCAATGCTCTGTAGAATTTGCTAACAGGCTTATGAAAGGCGCTTTATAAATGAAGATTTACCAATGATAAATATTTGGTTCCTCAAAGTACCTGGGCTTGTAATTACACACCAAGCAAAACGTTCTATAATAGTAATCTTTGTATCTATTTTTATTAGCCATAATATGTCTTGATCTTGTCAAAGGCATTTTTATTATTAGCAGTCATTTGAACATTCTTATCTTACCATAAGAGTTTCAGAGTCATGCATGAAGGCTGACTAAGGCTCCTACCTCTGTGTCTTTGCCTCATGTGTTTCCAGCCTTGCACACAGAGCCTGGAGACTCTGAACCTGGGTCATAACTCTGTGGGTAATGAAGGTGTCCACAAACTTAAAGATGGGTTGATCGGCAACCGCTCTGTCCTGAGACTGGGCCTGGCTTCCACCAAATTGTCCTGTGAAGGTACAGTCCACATTTTGTCTTAAACGTAAAGATATTGTTTTGGATTTTTATGATGAATAAACAGAACGTGGCATTTTTTCATAAAATTGTGGGCTGCAAATGTGTCTGTAACTATCAATAACACTTACGTAATTTTAAATAAATGGGAGTCAAAACCCAAGGCTTGCAACTTTATTCTGTCTGGCATATTAAACCTTATTTCAAAGTACATCAATATTTTATTCTAAGCATTGGACACAATAAGTAATAATTATTTAAAAACATGTTTCTTTGAATTGATCCACTAAACTCCCTTCCCTTTGGTCCAGTTTTGGTTCAATACAACTGCACTATTTTTGTTCAGAAAAAAGACAATTCTGTATTCTATGAAAGTCATGAAAAAAATGTAAGTACCTCTAAATCATAAAAATCCTTGATAACTTGAGGCATGTATTGTGAATTATGTTCTGAGGGACCTGGTGGTTCCGAACTCTCTTCAACACTGGCTTTCTTTTTTCCACTCTTCCACAATGGCCTGATTTGTGTAGCACATGACTAGTAGTGATCCCATCTGCAGCTGAGCGGAGGGAAACTGTATATGTCTACAGCTCCACCAGAGTTACCATGGTCTTCTTGTCTGCATCCCTCATCGGTCCTGTTAAAATAGGGTTAGGTTTATAGCTCTTTCAGTGTGAGATGTTTTAAAGCCTGGGATCTTTGTAGAAACTTAACATGTTTAAGTTAACATGTTCTCATGATTTTCATGTGTCATGACGCTGCTTAGTGACCAATATTCTCCTAACAAACCTCAGAGACCATCAACCGATGTAATTATACTCTATTAGATTATTCTCAGGACTCTACTCAGAAGTTTCCTGATGATTGTCCGTTCAGCAAACACCAGTAAATTTCTAAAGGTCATCCGTTGCACTCAGTCAGCCTGGCTGAATACTTTACTACACTTTTTTGTTTTTGTATTTTAATCAATTAAATAATGTACAATTTAGATTTAACTTCACAAGTGTTTGCTACCTTGTCTTGGTTTTTCATTACTTGTCATAAAAGTTGAAAAGTCTTTGGGATTTGATTACCTTTTGAAGGCACCATGAAGCTTCTCATGTTATATTACAATGGTCCCAGTGTCTATCCTTTTTCTTTCTCGTTGTGTCCTGTCAGCTTAGTTTTGTTATTTTATTTTTTATTCTTATTGTTTATTTTATGATTGACTTTGCAGCCCTTTGTACCATTGTTTTTCAAAATTGCTATACAATTTACACTTTATTATTATCAAGCATGTGTCTTTGTACTATTTCTCCAGTCAGACTGCATTTTCCATAAATTCTTTTCCTTGTTTACAGGAGCAGTAGCTGTAGCAGAGTTCATTGCAGAGAGTCCCAGGTTGCTGCGTCTCGACCTGCGGGAGAATGAGATTAAAACCGGGGGACTCATGGCTCTTTCTCTCGCTCTTAAAGTCAACACCTCTCTGCTGCGCCTAGACTTGGATCGAGAACCAAAAAAAGAAACGGTGAGAGAAAGGACAGTGCAATAAACAATATGTATCAATAATATTATTTAAGCTGATAACAAAGCGATTGCTTTATGTCTGTCCTATAGGTAAAAAGCTTCATTGAAACGCAGCGTGCTCTGCTGTCAGAGATCCAGAATGGATGTAAAAGAAACTTTATTCTGGCTAAAGAAAAGGAGGAGAATGAGCAGAAGATGAGGCAGTCTGCAAGTATGGCTGAGATCGCCACTGAGGACGGCACTGGAGTAGAGGAAGAGGAGGCTCAGAGATCGGAAGACCAAGATCAGGGACCAAAGAAAGACGAGGAGAAAATAGAGAGTGAACCAGAGGCAGGGAGCGAATCAGAGAAAAACCCTGTGAAAGAGGAGCCTCTGAAAGCTGTGGACTCTGACTCAGACACTGAGGATGAAGAGGAGGTGGTCTCTAGTGTCTCTGCAGCACTTCCTGCCCCATCAGTCAATCTTGTACCTCATCCTCCTCTTCCTCCTCCTCCCCCTCCTCCCCCCACCACTGATGTAGGCCAGAGTATCCATTCCAACATCACAGTCACAGAGGCTGCTGCCCCCGCTGTCACTCCGCCTTCTCCAGGGCGCTGCATTTCAGTGTCCAGTCCAGGACGGGGGCACAAGATCTTTCTGGTGACCCGAGTAGAGAGTCCTCCCGAGCAACAGCAAGTGCAACCTTTCAGTAAGAGGGAAAACCTCTCCAAAACACCTGCAAACACTGACACAACTCCAAACGTAGAAAGCGCAAGGACTTCTGCTTTGTATGCAGAGCAAGGTCCAGTAGCAACACCTAAAGCTCCGCAAACCAGCACGCTGACGTCAGAGTCGGTCAGTCATTCGACCGAAGACACAACACGAAGCACTTTAAACACTACACATTTACAAGAAAGCACACAGGGGGCAGATACCCCAGCAGAGCACACTAAGACACTGACCAAGGACACAACAGAGAGCACTAAAGAAAAGCAGTCTGAAGCCGCCTGTGTAGAGCAGCTGGATCGTGATACATGTGAGCAACAACAGCCACTCGCTCAAACAGTACTAGACAAAGAGCAGGAGATGTCAGACGACGGTCAACTAAGGACTGTTCAAGAACTCTGTGCAAAAGTAGCTCTTGAAAACCTGGAAACACCGCAGGTTGAGCTGGAGACTGTGCAGTGCAATGAAGAGCAGGCACCAGCCACAGAGATGCAGGAGTCAAAGCCACAGCCGGAGGAGGCAGACGATGGCTCCGGCGAAAGCTCTGCAGACGAGTGCTTCAGTGAGGCCCTTACCGGAGAAGAGGGGGACGTCTCTGCCGTTCTGCCCAATGGTCTAAAGTCAGAGTTCTCCCTCCATTTGCTGGACTCCGATGGCCCCAAGCCTGTCAGCTGTGTCATGGAGCACGGTGAGGTGTTTGATAGTGCGGATATTCTGTTTTTGTTCTGAAACACTCATCATGTTGTCTTTATGTCCCTGTGCAGTGAGTGTCAGCTGTGGGCAAGAGTTGGAAGAGCTGCTGCTAGAAGCCAGTTTAGACACAGGGAAGGATGCGCCATGAGCTTTAAGGTGAGATGAACACACAAGACCATGTATAACATTTTTCAAGGTATTTTTGTATAGCCCTAAATCACAACAGCTCAGAAGACTTTACAAAGCTGTTAATTCGCCCAAAACTGATCAGAGAATCAAACAGTTCAAACGCAGGAAATGCACTGATAAAAACACATAGAGCCATTGGTTCATAAGGGGCAGAGACCAATGTCCATACACAAAAACTGAGCCTTTATTTGTTATAATGTTGATAACTGGCTCGCAGCTGTAAAAACCCCAGATAAAACATTAGAATATGTTGAAAAGTGACATAATCATCAAAATCATTACAAACTAATGCTTAGAATGTCACTTTGTGTTTATATCTATATCTATATATACAGTACAGACCAAAAGTTTGGACACACCTTCTCATTCAAAGAGTTTTTTTATTTTCATGATTATGAAAATTGTAGATGCACACTGAAGGCATCAAAACTATGAATTAACTCATGTGGAATTATGTACATACTTTAAAAAAAGTATGAAACAACTGAAAATAAGTCTTTTTTTTCTAGGTTCTTCAAAGTAGCACATTTTGCTCTGATTACTGCTTTGCTCACTCTTGGCATTCTCTTGATAAGCTTCAAGACGTAGTGACCTGAAATGGTCTGAGTTCCCACATTTGCTTAGCACTTGTTGGCCCTTTTGCCTTCACTCTGTGGTCCAGCTTACCCCAAAACCATCTGGATTGGGTTCAGGTCCGGTGACTGTAGAGGCCAGTCATCTGGCCCAGCACCCACCACTCCCCTTATTGGTCAAAGAGCCCTTACACAGCCTGGATATGAATCTACAGTCAATAATCATGAAAAGAAAGAACACTCATTGAATGAGAAAGTGTGTCCAAACTTTTGGTCTGTACTGTATATATTTTTTTGCGAGTTTCAGCTTTATGCCTTCAAATCCAAGTAATAGTTTCTTGCTCTGGAAACTAGGGCTGGACGATATGGCAAAAAAGTAAAATCTCGATTTTATTTCCCGCTTCGGACAATTTTGATTTTAAATCGATTTTCATTAAAGTCACCAAAGACAGACTATGCCCATAAAAATATGTTTTGATTTTCCGCTCAATATTCAAATTTCAAAACTATTTTTAATTTGTTTCCCCCAATACGTATTATAAAAGTCTTGTACAGACTCGGCTGATATTGCAAGTATAATTAATTTGCTGCTGGAACTCTCACAGTATCCTTCATTCGATTTCACGATTTTCACATTTTTCACAAATTCGAAGCTGATGAATTGCCTAAATTCGATTTATTGCCCAGCCCTACTGGAAAGAGTTCAGTTTTTCACTCTTGCTCAGAAAATGTCTCCCAGCACAAAGTGTCAAATAGTGACAAGGAGAAATGGATAATTTAATAATTATTATTATAAGGGGAAGGCCGCATGTTGTGTTTTTGTTACTCTTTTTGTTGGGACGAACAGTGTAACTTAACATATGACTTGTCAGAATTCACAATGCTCTATTTTTAACTAGTACTACAGCAAATGAAGGGAATGGGTTTCTATCATATGTGATGCAATAGATGTGATTGTCGACAAATTGACTCCTATTTCTATGATTATCATTTGTGTCAGCTTTGCTCTTAAACAGATTTGAAAACACTCCTTTTCTTTGTTGCCGCAGGGACTACAAGGATGAAAGAGAACAATTCTGTAACCGCACCGTGACTGGTTCCTCTAATATCTTAAGAACATTTTCTTAATAAAAGCCTCTACAATAAGGGACTGAGGTCAAGCTACAACAAACCCCAACGGCTTTACTGATTCAAGTATAAACTACAGCTACAAAAACGAAACACTTTAACACTGGAGACAAAGGAAGATCTAAAAACTGACAACAAAAACATGGAGAACAGGAGCAGCCGTCAAGATGCAAGTGGACAAAACACTAACCAAAGACTGTCTGCACACGACCACTTGCTCTGATGGAGCGTTTTAACTGTCATTGGCTTAATATTGCTGAATGCTGGACTTGGGAGTGGGCTGGTTTTAAACAGGCCTAGAGCTGTATCTGTCTCCTTAGATGTCCACATTTTCAGTGTCTCCCTTCTGTCTCACCAGAGGAATTGAGTTTCTTGTTCTTCCCTCAGGAATCCACCCCCAAACCCCCCATAAGCAGCGATTCAGCTTATTCATTTGCTTGGAAAATAACAATATAACCCAATACCAACGTTTAAAGAGCAATAGAAAGAAATCTGTTTTGATATTTACGATTTAATCTTGTCTCGATCGCTTGTCATTGTTGTTGGCATTATAAAGAAAAGGTGTCTTGATCTCTGTCGTTCTGACCCTGGTCCTCCATCTGTCCTATTTTTGTCATAACTCAGCTGTTGCCTTCAAAACGCCACCAATGTCATTTTTCTTTGGTTACTTCACATAATCACATATTTTTTATTTATTTATAGATTTTTGGACCTTTTCCGATTTCCTTTTCACATTCTTTCGCTTGGGGGTTGTTTGATGTCCATTTTAGATTCAAACTGTACGGATATTAGGCTTTGATTTTATTTTTTTTAATTTTTTTTGGGATGGGTGTTGGACAAATTTATTTTTGAGTGGTTAATTATTGTTTGCGCTTGGGGTTGGGGTGCAGTTACAACAATAAACAGCAGAAATTAGTAACATACGGTCTTTTTTAACTGCAGGGTTTGTCTGTGGCCACAAGAGGGCGCTGGAATGAGCACTTGTGAGGCCTGAGCGCGAAACTTCCTAATTCCTGCTTACTGTCCTACTACTGTGTGAGAGCGCTCAGCTTTTCTGCGCCTAAAATCCACATCATTGTGCTACCCCCACTCTATGTAATGCTTTAATTTTTAGATTTTTTTTTAAATAATAATTTTCATAACTTAATTAAATGTGCTGGTAATCACAAAGAAATGTATGGCAAATTTGTTCCTCCAATAAATGCATGTACTGACTTATTTTACTAGGTCTTTTTTTTATTTCAGTTTGAATGAAAGCGCTGGGTGGATTCAGATCGAGGGGAAAATCAGAAGATGGTTGTTCCATTTCATTTTGTATCATCGGCATGTGTCACTCTCACAATCCCAAATTTGACACGTTGAAACCTAAACTTGCTTGTGTCCATCTTCCTCCCACAGGCACCACTTCCATAGTCCTTTAAACCAACAGAATCCATAAAACCATACTTTAAACCCCCCTCAGCCCCTTCCCCAGGTAATCAATAAAACCAGCCGAAACACAATCCCTGGTTCACATATTCTCACAGCTCTGGTTTGAGGATATTCATTTGAAATAGTATACAGAACCTCTAAAGTAGGGGTCAACCTTTCTGATGGCACCCTCAAAACAAGTTGTTGTGCTAATTTATCTACTTTTTCTCAAAAAATATCTGTCAAAAAACTATTTTGAACAAAGTGGGGCAGAAATGTATTTAGTCAGCCACCGATTGTGCAAGTTCTCCCACTTTTGAAATACGAAGGAGACATGTAATTTTCATCACAGGTATAACCCAACTTTGAGAGAATGAAGAAAAAAAAATTCCAGAATATCACTGATCCGATTATTAAAGAGAATTTGCAAATTATGGCGGAAAATAAGTATTTGGTCACCTACAAACAAGCAAGATTTGTGGCCCTCACAGACCTGTAACACTTTTACTGAAGAAGGCCCTTCATGGCCAAAAATTGTTGCATATCCCTGTACATTAAAGGATTTTTATTTTAATGTCAAGAGTGCTTCATATCTTTTACTATTTGGATTATGTTGGGACTAAACCAAAACTGGGTCAAAGTTAAAGGATTGGCTAATGATTCATTTTAAATTCACTTTTTAATCACACGCCACAGTAGCTCGTATTAACCCTCCCAAGAAGCTACAGGTTAATGGTAATAGTTCAAATCATTTTAGGAGGCACTAAAAGTGATCCGGCCCTAATGTGATTTTCTGTCGATACAACGAACAATTTCTATTTTCTGTTGGGTCATGCTGTGGACTCATTCAGGGCCACAGTGAAAAGGAGGGGCCATGGGAGACACTCAGAGCTGTGAGTTTGGCTGTAAGTCTCAGCGCAGAAGTCAAACTTCTCATACTTTTAGGTTCATATCAGTTTTTACAAAACTAGTTTGTATCCAATTTCCCTTCACTTTCATGTTGCTTGACTCAACTGCAGCTGCCTTGAGAATTATAAACATGACCATTTTGTTGTTTCCTTAAACCAATGCAAAATCAAATGATCCAATACTCACACCACAATTCAATAAATTCGAATAAGGTTTGTGTGTAATGAAATCTCAAGGATCTTTAAAAATGTGTGTAAATTACATGTTAGAATCCTCATTTCACTTCTACACGACCTTCTGTAGCTTCAAAGAGACCAGTCACTCCCAGAAGTCTAGTAATCGGGCTTAGTGGCTCTCCCATCATAATGTGAGGTGATTATGTAATTCAGGCAGCACAATGAGGATCTGATCAGATAGAATTAGCCTCAGTCTGAAAGTGGGTGGGCCAGTTGATGTTCCTCCGAGGTATTTCTCCCACCATGGGGCTTAAGCAGGGAATGCAAACAGAACGAAAGCCGACAGGAGGATGCTGCACCCTCACATGACTCCGAACACGGGGAGAGTGGGAGCACCTTAAGGACCTCTCATGCCACACTGCTGGCCCTGACTGCTACCAGGACGCTTCACATTCACAGGTAATTACACATGGTTATTCTATCGGACTTACTGGTAAGCAAGAGAGGGACGTACAGCAAATTGATCTTGTGTACTCTACTGAACTTTACAGTATATTTGCACTGAGTTTAAATGATCTTTGTGATATCTCCTCCTTGTATTTTTGCTATCTTCAATGTGCTATTTGTGATTTTATGGTGTCTGTTTTAAAACGTTTGCTATTGTGAAAAAATAAATTTAACTTTGGGGATCTTGTCAACCACCTAAAGTGTTCATTTAGATGTGATATTTTTAATCCTTTGACTTATTGCTTATTATTGCTGTAATAGTGCTTGAATAACTATATTTAGGCCTACAAATTATTGCACAGGCAACTTTCTATTTTGGTTTCAGTCTGAATAAGCCTATCTAATCTATTTTATTGGCCTCATAAGGGCCAATAAAATAGTTCAGGTGTTCCCAAAAGTTTCCCATCACAGTACTAACCATGTCCTGCCCTGCTTAGATTACAACCACACAATAGACTCTCAACCGTCGACTTCTTCCATGTTTCTGTACATGAATATTTTCAGATATGTATCACGTTTTTCTCGTCTATGGTTCTTTTAAACCCTCTCTGAAAGTGATAACAACTACTCTGTTAAAACTAAAAAATAGAGGTAAAAAGTGCTCCAATAAAATTAATGAAGTATTTTTCTTGGTTTCAATATATTTTGACCCCACAAGTTTATAGGATCAAGCACAGGGGCATTGTGTTTCTCATTTCAACAATAAATGTGTTGTGTGTGCTTGTTTTAAGACATTTTAGACTTGGCTCATCCAAGACTTAAAACTTGGGAGATTAGTGCCTTTTCCCCTTTTATTCCTTTTCAGATCATTCAACTTGATTTGAATTGCTTTTACTGATTTTTTATTGATTGTTTTTATGTTTTACGTTTTTTTATTGTGCAGCATTTTTATCCGTTTATATCAATTGGTTGTGCTGTATTTTGGAAACTGTATCTATGACCCGTGCTATATAGATAAAGTGTGATGGATTATTTTGAAAACATATATGTAAAGAAAGTTTGTAGGTTATTATGACCACCCCAACTAAACCGCACACTAAAACAGTAAACAGTTTGCCTTAGTAAATGTTGGATGCCTGCTTCTGCCCTTACAACCTTGTGAACCAACTTTAGAATCACTTTATAATTTCAACTCTTTATAACTTGACTGTAAGACATCTATTGTGTGTATTTATTTCATAATTCTGTTTTTAAAAGCAAATTCCTTGTTTGTGATTTTCTTGTTCATTACTTCCTTATTATTAAACATTATTCTGGCAGAGGTGATACAGTAATACAATAGAACAATATGTGCATAACATGGGGATATTGGGCAATTAAGACAGAAGATCAGAGGAGCTAACAGACTTTTACGACAAAAGGAGTTTGACAGAGACACACTTTTGCATAGGCAGGCTTGAGCAGTCTTAAAGAGTACTTTCTAAAATATTATCTAAATGGTATTTTAAATGGGAATTTACTGTCACTGACCATGGCAATAAAAGATACTGATTCTCATAGTGGTTCTGTGTTCCGTTGTTCCGTGCGCAGTGACCATGAGGGGGCGCTACTGGACTGAGGTTGGAGCCATCGCTGCGCTGCTGCTGAGTGGGATAGTTGTCAGTCAGATCTGCGGATCGTCCATCGCGGTGCTGGACGGCTTCCACACCATGTTTCTGCTGCTAAATACTGTGTACACGTCACTGTCACATCAGTGGCCCTCTTCCGGGTTGCACTACAGCAGCATACGTGCACAGCCTGTGGGGGTCTTCTTGTCTTACCTGGTGCTGCTCACACTAAACACTATTTACCTGAATGAGAGCTGCACTGCTGTGATAGAGCCCGCTGCAGCGCAGCGCCCCCTGCTGCTCGTGGCCGCAGGTGCAGTCAGTCTGACTCTGAAGATGCTTCTTGTTGTCCTCCACTGGCCTCGCAGTCAGAGCAGGAGAGGAGAGCCGCCGCCAGAGCCTCACATTGAGGTCAACCACAGGGGTAACAAGCCGAGAACACTTTAAACATATTGTCAGACTAACACAGACTGCAGAGCCAAATCAATCACACTGTATTCCAGAGGATGCAAAACAACTAAAGTAGGCTATAGACAGCAAGCACGTACTTTTATATGCATTTTCCGTCAGTAACAGACTACATGTACTATTATATGTGTAAAACTATTTGTATGATTGTATGAAGAAGTATGTTGATTCTTGTCTCCATTGGTAAGTAACTTATTTATCAAATGAAAAGAGTAGAAAGTACATGTCTTTAAAAGTAAAGAGTAAAATACTCCTTACTTTTAAAAAAAACACATACATGTACGACTGCGTAGAAATACATTTGAACAGTACTTATTTAGACACTTATTTAGTCTACTTTGTTTGTTTTGTCTATATTTGATATCAAAGAAGTTACTTCATCAGCTGTGTGTTTCATACCACAGCTGAAGAGACGGCCCAGGCTGAGCAGGGTGCAGTGCTCAACAACAACACAGAGTGTAAAGGCTCTCTGGACAATCCAACTCTTATCATCATTAACACTGAGGCTCTTGTTGAAGCCAGGACACAGCATCAAACCAACGGAACACGTGGACAACACTCAAGTATGATTTCAAAAAGTGCATTACACACCATGAATGACATACTACCAAGAGCATCGTGACACATGTTTATTTTAGATGGCGAAACTCCACCTAAAGACGAAACTCCTCCTGAAATCAAGGGCGCACCACACAGCCTGTCTTCATGTTTGCTCCACATCTGTGAGACCCTCCTCACTCCAATCCTAGTCCTGGTGTACGGCCTGTTCACGCTGAGCTTCAACTCCAAGTGTCACAACTCCAAACTGTGTCCACTTCTGATTTATTTGGATCCAATGCTATCATTGTTGGCTGCTGTCTTGTTAATTTCAAAATCAATACCACAGGTCAGTCTGTTGAACACATTCAAACACTTTGAAAACAATTAAAAGCTATCTTGTTGACGTGTTTGTTGCACAGGTCTTTAGATATGGACAGATACTTTTACTGGGCACTCCTTGTCACCTCTCTGTGGCGGAGATTGGAAAGAAGATTGCGGATGTCCAAGGAGTCAAGACGTTACATGAGCTCCATGTGTGGAAACTTGCAGAGGGGTTTATAGTGGCCTCAGTCCATGTACAATGCTGCACTTCTTTACAGAACAGGTGACGAAGCAAACTCTGTTTGATGTATCTATTCTTTAACTAGTCCTGTTCCTTATATCTGCTGTTACGCCCTGTGCAGGTGTCCAGACGTGGTGCTGGAGGTCACCAAAGTGTTGCAGGGTGTGGGGGTGACCTGCAGCACTGTTCAGCCCGAGTTCAGAGACCAGGAGACCTCAGCAGACTCCTGCGGTCTCGCCTGTGGAGAGACATGTACTCAGAACATGTGCTGCTCTCAACTAGAAGAACAACACAAAACGACTCGAAGAACAAAGGAAGAGGCCTCTCCAGATCAACACTTGCACACTCATGTTGTGAGATAATTAAAAGAACATGAAAATCATACAAAACGACTTTTTGTGCCCTCTAAATGAAGGTTGACTGCTGAGACAAAACATACTACAAGGGTGCATTTGATGCTTATTATGAAATAAATTATAATATAGAACACATTGTTAATTGTTCTAAAAGTGCAACAATTAAACAGTACATTTTGTTTTTTTAAATAAATAAAAGGTGGGAGAATCAGGAAGACAATCATATCTAAATATTTACAACATGGGTGGGACATAATGATGGAGTTCTTGTACAAGGCAAGTTTGCTTTACTTACTTGAGAAAGAAAATGGTTTCAGAATTATGAGAAATAAGGACAATGGCCCTTGAGATAAACAATATTACAGTCACAAGGTCCACTTCACTTCTATTTTGACCAACCAATCACAGCTGAGCTGTTTTGCATAGACTTACTTGTGACAAAAAAACAATAGCACAGATCTGTAGAACTCTTTGTTGGTTTAATTTGAATAAACACAGTTTCAAAGTGTATCAAGCCTTTAGGGTCAAGTCAACAAAGATCATAAAGAATGAAATAAGTGAAACATGTTTTAACCATGACTGAGGTTGAGTCTAACTAGCGTACTGTATATAATAGCTGATTTTCCTCTTTCTAAATGCCCGGATGAGCCTCGGTGGTCCGGGGTGCAGGCTTCAAACCTGTAGCTGCTTAGCGGCAGAGTGGTTCAATTCCACCTTTCGGGCGGAAGGTTCATGTATATTTCTCTCTTTACATTTAATGAACATGTTTATATTTATGCTGATGCTAGTCTGAATATTATTCGAAAAATAACTGTTGTGAAAATTATCCAAAAAAATGTTTCACTGCGATTATCAATGGCAAATAAATAATGTATAGCAAAAGGATAACATAATAATAATCTTTTATCAGGAACAAACCTGGAACAAACCGTAGCGATGGGGAAAAAAGTTCTGCATAACGCCACTTCCTGAGGGATTTACTGACAGCTGTTGGCAGCCAATGCCCAGCGTGGAATTAGGAAGTGGGCGGGTTCAATGTAGCGGAAGTCTGTGCAGTCGAACAGCGTGCCCTTGTGTTGTCACAAAATAGACACTGACGGAAATATATGATCTAATGTTATTTCTGGTAAGATATCTGTTCCATGTGCATGTCCTCGTTATGTTTGTTTGTGCATGGTTGCTTATCTAGTCGGGCCAGCTCATTCTTCTGAAGTAAATGCAATAGGTATCGGTCATTTGCATTCAGGTTGTAATTTTACGTGTATTCGACCACATTGACATTATTTTGTAAGCACATGTTTATAATGTGTGTGTTAAGTAACTCTATGGCGTTAAGTAACTCGTTATAGTATCCTATAATTATCACAATTCACCGGGTAAACACTTCACAATCCATAAAACAAACCTCGTCAGTTTACTACAAACACAAATAACAATTAAAACACAACGTTCAGAGATCAAATAACTACAGCTCTGTTGTTCATATTTTATTTTGTCCTCAGAAGGATGCCACTTCATAAATACCCTCCAAAACTCTGGAATGCATTGAAACTGACTCAGGGCATTTATGCTCGTTTACCCAAACATTATCTCAAATCGTTGGAGGCAAAAGAGCCCTCTCACGTTCACTTCAGGCCACTGGGAGTGGAGTACAAGCTCAACCCAAAGACTGGGCAAAGGGAGCGGGTGCAGGACGTTCCAATCCCTGTGTACTACCCTCCGCAGTCCCAGGATGGTCTCTGGAGTGGTGAGGGCTGGATTTCAGGATACAGATATGCAAACAATGATAAGGTATTTCAACAAAACCATAACTACTATGTGAACCCATGTTTATGAATGCATTATGCCTATAATCTCTTTTTCAGATGTCAAATCGTTTAAAGAAGACATGGAAACCACAGCTGTTCAAGAGAGAGCTTTACAGTGAAATCCTTGATCACAAATTCACTATTACAGTCACAGCTCGCACTCTCAACTTGATTGATGCAGCATTTGGCTTCGACTTTTACATTCTAAAGGTAAAACAACATATTTTCACTTCAATATCCATACATTATGTGGCTTGTCAAGTAACACCTGCTTTCTACAGACTCCAAAAGAAGACCTCAACTCCAAGCTGGGTATGGATTTGAAGAGGGCAATGTTACTACGTCTAGCGCGCAAGGATCTTTATCCCCAAGACTCTGTCAAGAGAGAGAAGGTTTACAATAAGTACAAGGTATATTTTTTTTACTGACAGTGGTTCTCAAACCTATCACAAAAATACAACCACATAGATGTCCTTTTCAACGTACCACGAGACATAAAACAGGCTATTGCACAATTAAGTGATGACAAATAAAATCTAAAACACGATCTGAGTAAGTATTTGTTGGATTGAGGTCGAGGCTGTGTGTGCTCGAATCATTTTGAAATGCACAATAGCCTGGAAACTCAGGCAGAACAGTTCACATGGATTTGGACCAATCACAGAAGGACTACTGGCGGCAGCAGACGTGAAGCTTCCCTCGTGTTTAACTTCCACAAACAGCAAAAATTGTTCAGCCTCATTGTGTAAAAATGTTGTTTCGCATTGTTTGCCCTTCTAAGTTTGCTGTTTGCCAAGCTACACATAAATGTCATTTTTTTAAAGAATATATGTAATGAGCTAGGGGCGACAGTAGCTCAGTTGGTAGAGCATTGGCCTTAAGGCCAGAAGGTCGTGGGTTCATTTCCCACCTCTGCACCTTCTCCACCGACTCCCACTGATGACTGCTGTCGTTGTGTCCTTGGGCAAGACACTTAACCCCACTTTGCCCAAAAGCCCCCACTGAAAGATCAAGGCTATGCTCACACTCAGAGAGCAGCCGTCCTCCTGTGGACTCACCACCTGCAGAGGGTCAGTGAGGGGCTGGTGCTATGAGACTTGGGTGGCATCTCTGACTGCCACCCCCCTGACCCAGAAATGGATTAAAGGGAAGAAAATGGATGGATGGATGGATGGATGTAATGAGCTGTGACAGTAGTCACTTCAGGATTTGAATAGATTAAAATCAAACTCATCCTAAATATTGGGGAAATTGATGTTTCTTTTTTATGATCTTCTCTATTTTTCTATTATTTCGTAGAGGAGTAATATTTCTACATAATTTTGTTTCATGTGAAAACTGTAGTTGTTGAGAATAGTAAGAAACTGTTTATTCTGTTGGAGCAGCAGTTCGAGATCCCTGAGGAGGAGGCAGAGTGGGTGGGCCTGAGTCTGGAAGAAGCGGTCGAAAAGCAGCGGCAGCTTGAGCACAAGGTTCTGTCTTTATTTTAACAGTTGTAGAAAACTGCCTTTGTTCTTCCTGACATTTAACCACTTTTGTGTTTCTCTGTTTAGGAGCCTGAACCACTTTTCAAAGCCTGTGTGGACAAACTGGTCGAGGAGCTGCATATTCAGAAACTGTTGGAGCCGCATCTGACAGAGAAGAACTGAATGTGTTTGGGACATACTGTTGAACTGTAAATACACTTTAGTATAATAAACAATGCTTTATTTAAACCTTGGCACCGGTATCTATTGGATTACACAATTCACACAATTTGTCTAGTGCAGCACTTAATTTCAATCTAATCTACACTTAAATACGCTCACACGTGACTGTCCCTTTAATTCATTGAGCACAGACCAACTCTCACATGTTTCATGTATTTTCTGTCTGATGGGGAATCCCATGGGTGTGATCAGGTAGAATACCCGGCCACCAGGAAACAAATGCATGAATACTATTGGCACGGCAAATGAAAATCAGAAATCCCCTGACTAAAGATAACTATAATGACCTGTTAACACCTCTTTGCCTTGTCTGGTGTGTAATATTATAGTCACGTCAGTACAAATAAATGTGTGAGAGATGAGGAAAATGTAGTCTGTGATAAATATAATGTAGCACAGTGAAAAGTTATAAAATGTAAAACAAGATATTTCATGAACAAAAACATGTAAAATGTATTTCTCCAAATGTTGTCATTTCCATGCTTTAAATTCACTATATTGGGCCACATTAATATGAGTTTTATCAAAAATGGCCCATCTGTGCCACTGGAAAAAGGTTGTGTATTATAGACTGATCATTGCTCATAGAAACAATGAATGACGAAGCCTTTAAAGTTATAGTATCGAAGCAAAGCAGCAATTTTTGATACACTGTTTTATTAGAATTCCAAACAAAGCACGATGAAATATTTACAGTGTTGCCATGAAAAGTCTGAACTTTGGTTTTAAGTCAGGAAAAAATACAACACTAAATCAGTACCAGGTAAGACATTTTTGTCACAAAGTTGATTCCAGGATTATCTAATTCTCCAAGAGAGTATTCTACTTTGCAGTACACACAACATGACGTCTGATGGTGAGACCTTGACCAGCAAGGCTTGGCTAACTTTAAAACGAGAAAAACATACACTTGCGTTCATACAACTGCAGTTCAGGGGCATACATTTATACACAGGCAAAATCCTCTCATAAAGTGCTTATCTGGTAGAATATCATTTAGCCTGTTAATCTACATCGACAGGTGATTTAAGGGTAGTGACCATTCTTCATAGTTTTTTGTAGCTTGTTTTGTGACTCATCATAGCTCATCTTCAGTCTTTACCTGGACCAAAGGGGCGGAGCTGTCCATGTCAGATGACCCGGTATGACTTTCATTGACAAGCATGTTAAACTGCAAATCATTATAATGAGAAAAATCCTGGAAGTACGGACCAGAGTTCATATCCAGGCTTGTGAAAGTGGCATTCGCATCAGGCCCCTGGTCAAAGCCAGAAGGAAGAGAGGCCGAAAAATTAGGGTCAGATAATATGTCCATAAATCCTGGCATGTCCAGCAGCTGATTGATGAGAGAGCTCTCCTCGGGGGCCATGTTGGAGCACTGTGGTTCCATGTAGCACACTTCTCCTTGAAATGGACCAGAGTGCGCAGGACGAAGCAGCTCTTCTGAAGACGATCCCAGAGGGTTTGGAGGAATGTGGAACGGCTCCGCAGCAGAAGTGGTCTTTTCTAGAGAAGGAACAGTTATTTGGTTACACAATCATGTTAGAATAATAAACAAAGATGACTTACCTGATGTACACGGCCTTTCCGTGTAGTTCATGTCAGATTTGATTTTTTTACGCTTAACTTCATAAGGATCTGTAACAGAATTGAGTTAGTATTTATTTAGTTAGGAATAGCATTCGTGTCTCTGTTATATGAATGAATAGTTGTTTAAAATGGAAACATTATCTGACCTGAATTGCAGGGTCTGTATATAAAGGTCACTGGTTCACTCTCCATCTGGTCTGAGACGCGGCGCAGACTCAAGCTGACCTCCACCTCCTCTGTGATGTTCTGGTCCTGATATGGAGGCGTCTTGAACACGATGCCCACCTGGCGATGGACGTCTGTTTGTGCAAACTCTCCATTTGCTTTCCATGAGTCTCGTCGGAAGACAATTTCAATGTCATCTGAGCAGGACCATCAGAGAAGGTGACATCACAGCATAGATCGCTTACATCACCCACTAAGGCGCTTTTTTTTAACAACCAATGTAGTTAACAACATTCTTGTGTTCAAAATGTAGAAAACAGGTATGACTTTACTTGAAGAAGTGTATGCTAAAATGGTTTGGTGATAAACTGTACGTAATAAGGTGGATTAATATCACTTCTATGTGCACATTCAACAGGCTTAGTGTGCAATTTTTAATTTCATGTAGGGAATTCACTGTTTGGGTAACAATATTTTGGTGCAGAAAACTGGCACAGTATTTTACAATCCATCCAATTTGAACTCTACTTTGACTTTGAAAAATCAAACGTTCTCATGCCACAGCAAAATAGAGAATTCCTGTTTCTCTGACTTGATTAAAGGAAATGCAACGTATTTCCTTTAATTTTACGTTACAACGTATGTAACGTCTGCTTGGGAAGTCCCATTCAGGGTTTATCAACGACCATGTGATGTTTAAAGAATGAACTGGGCAGGTGTCGGACCAACCACACGGGTAACTGCCTCTCCAGACTTCCCTTTCCTGTTGCATTTATATGATTTCGGAAACTTCGAAAACACTGTTCAAATAATCATCTTGAAGAATAAGGGTTTGAAGCCTTTCCAATTTACAAGTGTTGATGTCGCTGTTGAATAATCTGCTCCCATTCATTTTATCAGACTGATGTAAACATGTCTGTGTTTCTGAGGTCACAGGAGCACACTTTTAACCATGGGCTCCAGCTGCCAGCTCATTTTTCCAACTTTATTTTACAAAAGCGGGAGCAAGATGCAAAGATCCAAGTCATCCTTTCTTATTATTGGTTTGAAGGCAGATTGTATGTTTCATTCATTCATACATGGATTTCATGATGTAGTATTCTTGTTGCTCTGGAATTGTGTACCTGTATCTTAATGTTTGTTTTTAGAGTTTTCTGAGATTTATATTTGCATCATATTGCATGTTTTAACTCATTCACTGCCCATGACGACAAAAGTCGTTCTATTGTATAGTGACGCTCACTGCCCAAGACGACTTAGACGACTTTTTCGTGTTATTACACGGGAGGCTGCAGTAATGTCTGGCGCACCTTGTTAATGACCCACAACACTGATATATAGTGCAAATGTACCTGTAATGATAAATCACCACCAGTAGGATGCAGTATTGCACCACAGGAGAGGTCATAAGTCAGTGGAGAGAAGGAGGAGGAGTGTGGGATCTTTGGACAGCGTGCTGCTGTAGCAGAGCGTGCTTCTGTAGCAGAGCGTGCGAGCATTGAGACAGATCAGCGATCTAGTTTAGCGATAGTATAGTAAGAGTGATGGCGAAAAAGAATAGTTATAAGCAGTATACACTGCTTCAGGGATTGACTCGCGGATCAGTGAGTGAGGTCGAGAGGGGAGAGAGCGGAGACCCCGGTGGAGGTCCGTCTCTGCAGCCACATTTGCGCGGAGCAAGAGCCCCGAGCAGAGACACGCCCTCCGCCTCTCTCAGCGTATCAGCTGCTGCTGTTACTGATGCCTCAGATTCGTTCAGCAAACCTGATCATGATTTATCGGACACACTCACAAACACTCACACGCACTCACTCACTCACTCACGCACACAGACACACACTCGCACACTGACATCACTCGCACACTGACATTCACACACACAGACACTCACTCACACAGACACTCACTCACACAGACACTCACTCGCACACTGACATTCACATGCTTCATTCTATTTTATACATCTATAGTTTTATTGATCTTTGTGTTGTTGTTGTTTGACGTTTTGGTTGATGGTATAGAAGAAAGTTAAATTTTCTATCTGTGAATAAATTGCCAACAATTTGCCATCAAAAGTATTATTTCAGAGTCATGTTTTTATAATTTTTGTAATGGAACAAGTGTGGAGATGTTTTGAGTTGTCACTAAAGCAGCAAAAATGCATCTAAAAGTCTCTTTTCTGCTTGATATGTTCCTGTTTACATACAGCTCCTTTTCTCTGTTTTCTTGCTCAGACCAGGTGTTATGGGTGAAAGTATGCTTTGTTCTATGGCGAATAACGCAAGAACGGTAAGAGGTAGAAACAAACTGTTTTTTTCAGAGTAAAGCAGAGAGGTGAATCTTTAATTTGGTGCCCTTGGTGTTTACATCGTCTAAAAAATGAATATTCTGTGGCACTTCAAAGTTGGGTCAAATCACCTGAAATTGCTGGCAGAATGCACTTCTCAAATCTGAAAATGCCTGGCAGTCAGTGAGTTAATGTTGTCCAAGACCTGTGGCTGGGTGCGTTTTATGTTTGTTAGGAAAAAAATAGATGATAAAAAATATGATAAAAACATGTTTAGTTAACATTTGTTACAATCTCCACACAATAACAAACTTCTCACCTTTCTGCACCTTGTCACACAGCATGTACACCTCCGTCTTGCCAGTGCACGGCCCTCGATCCAGGTTTAGTCTTGTGATTTTTAGCTGGGATGTGGTTGTAGCCTCTAAAATTCACACAGATAAACAGCTTAAGCGTGAAGCTTCAATACAACGTTTTCGGCCTCCATGAGCTCTGTGGTTACTTTTATCATAGATGGGCTTCGACACGACTGGCTTGAGGCAGTCCTTTTTGCCGTCCTCCCACTCAAGTTCACATTGGAAGCACAGGCGAACCACATTCATGTCGATGTCTTCAATACCCCTTGAATTGTCAGCTACGAATGCAAAAGACGCCTGGTCAGTGTCACTGGCAGCTGATGGTGAAATACAGAATTGGCAGAAAAGGGCTACTTTCAAATGGGTCGATATTCAGACTCCTCCGCTTTTGTAGTGATGCCTCCAACTCTTTCCTCCTCACACACTGAATACCAAGGTTGGCAAAACTGAAATAATTATGTTAGGTTAAAGCTGTAGAAATGGGGAGCAGGTAATTGTAAAAAAAAAAAAAAAAGGATTACCTGTGTCTACGGCTGACATTAGGATTAAACGTAACGACACAAATTCCTGAACCGTGCGGACAGTCTTTTCCGACGAGGCAGTGTGGGTGCGGCCGGTGAGGGATGTCTTTGGTCACAAGAGAAACTGTGACTTTCACCTTCTTGATGTGGTCAGTTGGACCCTGGATCTAAACAAAAATATACATCATCAATACATAACATTTTACTTTGACCGAAACTCATGACATAAAATTGGTTCCATGCTCAAACAGTTCAGGTCCATCACTCGTTTTGAGATTCGTCACATCTTTGAATTTGACTTTTACAGACGGAAAAAGAGAACAACTCTGACTCAGACGATCAGTATCAGACTAAAGATTAAAATTATTATTCAAAAGGCTTTTTCTCACAAGTGTGCGAAAGATAATATGTTTTAGAATAAGAGGAAGACAGCATATTGTGTCCTGATTGGTTCACAACATTTTCTTTTGGGAAAATGTATTATCTGTGCAATTAAAAAGTTAGGCACCCCAACTTTATTTAATTATAAATACAGTAAAGACCTTTTTTCTTATCTTTCAAATAGCAAAAGGTGATGCAAAGGTAATTACTTTTTTGTGTGAGTATATTTATCACTAATGAAGAAAAATAAAAAACAGCTGATCCATTCTCTTTCCATTCACAAGTGTAGAATTTCTTTAAGGCTGCCATCTTGGCTTTGTCAGCATGGCATACAGAGGTGTGGCAGCTGTGGGAAGGGGCATTAGATTACCCAATCTTCAAAACATACCAAAACTAATGTGGGTCAAAGTGTCACTCTTAATGCTGAAGAAGCCATCCATCCATCCATCCATTTTCTACCCTTTAATCCATTTCTGGGTCAGGGGGGTGGCAATCAGAGATGCCACCCAAGTCTCACAGCACCAGCCCCTCACTGACCCTCTGCAGGTGGTGAGTCCACAGGAGGACGGCTGCTCTCTGAGTGTGAGCATAGCCTTGATCTTTCAGTGGGGGCTTTGGGCAAAGTGGGGTTAAGTGTCTTGCCCAAGGACACAACGACAGCAGTCATCAGTGGGAGTCGGTGGAGAAGGTGCAGAGGTGGGAATTGAACCCACGACCTTCTGGCCTTAAGGCCAATGCTCTACCAACTGAGCTACTGTCGCCCTGAAGAAGCCAATTAGAGCTAACTCGCACAAGAACCAAATTTTGTAGGAAGCAACGGCCTAGCAACCCAGGGACCAATGAGAAGAGGCGCTGGTTCTTTTCCACTCTTGAGCTGAAGTCGAATTCAATTGGTACTAGAGTTCATAACAGTAAATAATTCTAAAGTCTAAAATGGTGAGTGTGACATACTGTAAACGATTCCAGAGCTAGAGGATTTCACTTTTCAATATCAGTGGATAGGAGCAAACTTATAAGGCTTCATCGAGGGAGTGGGTTACCATTGTCGATCTAAATACGGTCTATGTCTGAGATCTATGAATCCCATACAGAGGAGAAGGGGCAGACCTCTATGGCAGGCTGCGTCTTGCTGGACTCGGTGCTGGACGTTCCCAGGATGCTCCCAGCTGACCGGCCCTCACACTCGTATCGGAACCTCATGCCTCTGTCTTTGGGCTCCTCCACCACCACCAGGGAAGGCCTCTCCAGGACTCGCTCCAGCAGCTCAGTACCAGGCAGACAGCGGGAGGGAGGAGTCGCCATCATGTCCCGGCTGGAACTACTTAAAGGCTGCACCAAGTTATACGCTGCCTGAGGGGAAAATGTTTTAAATGTTTTAAAAATACAGCTTTGCCAAGTTCTGTGTTTATTCAACTGGGCTTTCAACAAACAGTTTTTGTCATACACAATGTTTCAAAATGGATTTTATGGCCCTATTTTACACTGGCAGTCTTCCGTTACACCACAGACCATCTGCTTTTCCTGCTCTAGCTCAAGTCAAACTAGTTTCACTTTGCCGTTTGCTTGAACACACTGATGACTACAATAGTTATGTAAGGGAGGCCATTGTAAAGCATCAATATATTGGTCCGCAATTTTCTTCGCAAGCTCAAAGAAAAATAAGGCCAGAATGAAAAAAAACAAAAGCTCTAACCTGTTACAGTCCAGGAAAAGAAAGTTGGAGCTCAGAAAAGCGCTGCTTTGTGCTTAGGAGCCATTCTTGAGCTGTGAGGTCATACTTCACACTATTCTTCTCAACCACTGATGTCAAGCAGCCAGAAAACCATTTATCACAAATATATGTTAGCTTTGTGGTCTGAGAGCTAAAGAAAAGCCCAGCGCTCTGAAACAGCAAACAGGAAATCGGAAGCTCCACTCTCTGACTGAATCGACCAATTGGAGAAGTGGAACAAAGAATGCAACCTTTAACCTCCAGTGGGTTTGGCTTGTAAACAAAAGGGATGACAAACCGAAAGTAGAGTGTCGTATTTCAACCCTTATTTATGGTAGTTGGAGATCATGTTTTAAGACCAGCAGCAAACCAATCTCATAATTACACTATCATTATTCCCTCATACAGGCACCCGTCTCCTCACTGTGACAGTAAACCACGTGACTTTGGGAAAATGACAAGTGACATGTTAACCACAGTGTGGTGACAATATTCAAATATAAAACTCTTGATATTAACGAATAAACTCATTACCTGAGTAGGGATATTAAACTGTTTTTTGACATGCCTGTAATCTTTTAAAACACAAAGATTTAGTCAAATAAATGTATTTTTCTCAACCAGGTTCCTCAGGTTCTAAAGCATTTTGTAATTGTGATACTGATTCTAGTTTTAGCAAAAATGTATATCTTTTGACAACCCTTGTTAATTAGGCACCGCACCATACGAGACGACAGCATCAGCTAAGCATCCGCCTGGAAAAGCTTCTACTCTGATAATGTTCAAATCCAGGTTGAAAACAGTTCTGCTGTTTTGCTGTATATGACTCACTCTTTTTAATGTATAGTTGCACCTGATTATCCATTTTTCTGTGGTATGCCCTTGACAATACTTTTGCTGTGTCATAATAAACATAAATAGCTTACACTGGAGCCTCTTGCCACCAGCCTGGGTTTGCAGACATCAGGGCTTTGTGACTGCTGCTGGATGTGGGTCCCAGGCTGAGAGGGTCTGGGGAGGGAGGGCAGAGGCTGGTCCCTTTGCTCATTGAGGATTTTAAAGAGAATATCTGTTGGTTGAAACAGTTTCAATTGATGATTGATTACACATGTATTTCCTTATCTGCCTGTAGTCTTACCAATTTCAGCAAGCTTATGATCTAGGAAGAAACAAAAAAACCAAAAAAATGTAACAGGATAAAGTTAAACAAGGAAAGTTTCTCTATTTATGAATGAAATGTGGCATGCAGACTCACCTGTGGCCTTGTGGTCCGGGGGCCTTGACAGGGACAACGGATCTGCCTCCCAGGACAATTCATGCATAGTGTCTAAAGAATAACACAACACTTTGATAACACTAAAGAGGCTTGTAGCTGTTTTAAGTTGCTTTCAGTGGAGGGGAAATAAACATATTTAAGAATTTGAGAAGAAGCGAAAGTGACAGTTCACAATAAGCAGAAACGTGTTTAGTTCAAGCTAAAGGCATCAGACCTACCAGAATTAGAGTTCTCCTTTAATCCTTGTCATACCAGACATTCAGCAAATGTGAGAAAAGTGTTTGTTGGGAGAGATGAAGCAGACAGCAGAGACCAAGGCGCAGTTTGACATGTGTGAAATGGAGTGATGGTGGTTCCCTGAGCAGTCCCTGACAGGCTGAACATGCCATGGAAATCCCCACAGCGACACGCCCCCTCCCGGCCTCATCACCCCGCATAGAACCAGATCAGCGAGGATCCTTTTTACAACGTGGCCTACATATGCATAAAGAATACCCCCTTCCTTACCTTAGTTTACACGGACCTTTAATGAGACCCTAGAATATTCTCACAAGATCAGAAACTTATTGCCACCAAGGTCCATGTTACAGGAATAGGACAGAGAAGGAGGATTCGTTTCATGAATTTGGACGAGGCCATGAACACAGTGCAGTGACCCCTGCTGACTGCAACTAGTTACAAACGGGGATTTAAGTCAAGTGAAAGTAAAAGGTTCAAATGTCAGAATTGGAAAAACTACCTCACAAACGCAGAGACTCATTTAAATCACACTTATTTTAATATAAACATGGATGTTCAAAATTTAAAGTTAACAATAAACCCTTTCAGATTTCCAGCGCTCAACATAGAACAGACCCTGAATCTTCAGCCATGAAACCATCTTTGTTGGAGAATATAAATTTGACCTACCAATGAGATTAAGACTTTCAAATTGTTATAAACTCTTCAGGACATTTGTAACCTAACAAGTTAGTGACAATATTGTGTTAAAAATTGGTAAATAAATAAATATAACAGCCTTGTTTATTATGTTTTGAACATGATCCATTTATTTTAAAAGATGGTATTCACTGTCTGATGGCGGGTGTTGGAGAACACGTCTCGGCTCAGGACACTTCCAGTTTCTTCCAGTGTAACTCACCAGGTGGGTGTGGAATGAAAAATATTCACAATTAATCTACATAAAGAACATTTGCCCTTTGCCTTCTTCAAAGTATAAAAAAGTGGTCTAACTGAAAAAGTTTGCCCTCTCAACTTTTATCCCAACAACACGCCATTCTCCTTGAAATCATACAAACAACAGTACATCACATTTTACTTCACTTGAACTGCAAAAAGGGCTGGATGAGAACAAAAATAAAAACGTATCAAGTCTACACAGATTATGATTCTCTGTGAATCAACACAGAAGCCACTGGGAAAAAGTTGTACTGCTTTTTTAACTTGGTGTCCATGACTGCTATCAGTCTCTCGCTCTCTTGCCTCATATGAGTCCTCTTCCCGCACAGCGCTCAGGCCGCGTGAGGCAGATCAAGTGGTACTAATGCTTTAATCATTCTTCTTCTCTCCATCTGATTTGTCGGCGATTGCTGTTGCCTCAGAGGACGTTACTTCTCCTGCTGCAGTGTTGTTCTGGGTCGGGTCCACTCCACTGGTGCCAAACTCATTGACTCTGTTGGGATCCACTCGATAGATCCAGCGCTGATACAGGTAAATGAAAAAGACCACATCTACAAAAAACACACAAATAATAAATGCGTTGACTACATTTAAACATGTTGCTTTATCATTATGTATGGATTGTGTTAGGATTTCAGGATCAACACAGCCATTTCCTATGGGTAAAAAAACAAACTATTCAATTCAACAATTCAAAATAGACTGCAACAGAATTAATGCTGTGATTGTGAATGTTTTTTTTTACTATGGTGTGGTCTGCAGTACTGACTATTGGTGTCTCAAACAGTCTGGAAGTTAATCTTTGTTATACACCTGCTCAAAGAATATTTATTTATCAATTATATCTTTCTGTAAAATGGTGCCATAAATGGCACCATTTTGCAATTGGAGGGCGACAGTAGCTCAGTTGGTAGAGCATTGGCCTTGAGCCCAGAAGGTCGTGGGTTCAATTCCCACCTCTGCACCTTCACCGACTCCCACTGATGACTGCTGTCGTTGTGTCCTTGGGCAAGACACTTAACCCCACTTTGCCCAAAGCCCCCACTGAAAGATCAAGGCTATGCTCACACTCAGAGAGCAGCCGTCCTCCTGTGGACTCACCACCTGCAGAGAGTCAGTGAGGGGCTGGTGCTATGAGACTTGGGTGGCATCTCTGACTCTGACTGTCACCCCCCTGACCCAGAAATGGATTAAAGGGTAGAAAATGGATGGATGGATGGGTGCCATAAATGATCCTCCTGAGACAGTTGCTGGACATAGTAATGAGTTGTACCGTCTCTGAGGCATCCTATCCTGTACATCATGGGCATCTTGATGACGAAGGCAAACAGATCATCGATGAAGGTGTTGAGGGCTTTGTATGTCAGCATCCTCCATGGGAGGTGTGCCACAGACTTCATTTTGTAGTTGATGAAAAGCTGTGGTGTCATGGTGATAAAACCTAAGACAAGAAAGTCAGATAAAAGCAGAAACACACCAACATTAACTGTCAAATATGAATAATCCAGGTGGAATCAACTGCACTTACCAAAAGTTAACAAGAATCCATAAAGCATACTGAGTACCCAGGAGTACCAGCCTTTGTGCTCTACATACAATAAACTGTAGACCGCATAGCAGCCAAACAGAGGATACAGACACCAGGACAGGTATTTAAATGCCATCTGGGGAATAGGGCACGAGAGATTAGTACACAGAAAAGGGAAACATGCCATTTATACTTTTGACGTACATCATCGTAGATCTTGGTTGAGGACTGCACATATGTTGATTTGTCTGTCAATACCAATTTCGGAATCAATCCAGCGATTTTGTTTTCTCTATCCAACTGGTAAGAAAAATTGCGTGAATTAGTTTTTGGCACAATGTTGAAAGTTCAGCTAAAGGATTGCAAAATACCACTAACTTTGACGTCCATGACCTTGGTGATTTTCCATAGGTCAATAAGAAGGCCAATGAAGACGCTGACTTGAACAACAAAGTTTGTTTCGTTGTCCAGGATGTACAGCAGTACCACTAATGACTGGAACACACCAAAGGTAATCGATCGTACTGACAAGCCTTCCAAAGACTGCCGGCTGTTCCAAAACTGGATATCTGTAACAATAAAACACATACATTAGGACGATTACAATACAGCTACAACAGAACTCGAAAACTTACCATTTTTAAAAGCTAAAAACTCAAAAATGCTGTGCACAATTGACACCACAATAGTCAGTCCAAGGAGATATGGGTTGGTCTCCAGAAGGGCCACCTTTAAATACAGAAAAGTTAGTTTAGTTGCACTGTAATGTTGCTTTATTGACAATGAAGACAAGTGTAAACCTTGACAGAATCTTGATCTTCATCAGACTGTTCATACGTGTCCTCAGGAAGGAAGTTCCATGGCGAGCGTGCGTTTTGGGCTGCGTACAGCTGCCACCTCCACAGAGAGAGAGGACAGAAGGCGAGGCGAAGGGGGAGCTTCGTCAGAGTGTCATTGATGGGATAGTAGTCCTTTTGAAGGTTCCAGTAGTCATTGAAGTAAACAATCGGGTAATAGTCACCACTCACGGCATCAAACTTAACATCTGAAAAACAGAAGTGTGAACTCATTAGTTACTGCAGACATGAAGTGTGTGTCGTCTATGGTCCTTACGTTGATCAAGAGGAGGAGGAACAGAGCCTTTGACCCAAGCTGTGTGATCATCTACCATGTTGATGGTGAGATTGGGATGCCAATGGGAAATGACCTCTACTGGTCCATGACTCTCGGCCCGCTTAAAACAAAAGGAAAAAATTACATCATTATATCTAATGACATTTTCAATATACATGATATTGGTAATGGTATACTATATAAATCGGTACAGAATTACTTTATTTACCTTTATCATCTCAGGATCTGCTTCAGTCTCCCCCGTGAGTAAGTTCTTAGTCTTGAGAAACTTCCTCCGTTTGAACTTATTTAGCACTAGAACACAAGTAGTCATATGAAAACAAAATCTATTCTAATTTAGTAGTGAATAATAGGTGCAAAAACATAGACTTTAAGACATGCTTACTTCTTGATGCATGAACTGTTGCTAGTCTGCGATACTGCCCCTTACGTTTTGGGTCTGGATGGAACCCACTTTTGGTGAAGTATACGTGTATGTAAAGAGAACCATTTTTCTGTACTTCCTGAACAAAAAGAAAACCCGTCAGTGCTCATGAAAGCTGTTTGATTCCCAGGTGTCCATCCAGCAGTGTAGACCTCATATTGATTAGACTGGTACATTGACAGGGAAATTACTTGTATTTACAAGTAATACTGACCTGGATGCAAGAGTTGTCCAGAGAAGGTTATAAGTTATGGGTATGTTACCATAGAGATCTTTCCTGATTGAAAGTTCTTATGGTTCCCCTGAATGACCTTGCTAAGAGTCTAAACATGCTCAGTGTGTACCTCTGGGATGTCAATCTCCTTGTTGTGCTCATAACATCCGTCTCCACTCTCTCCTAGGGTCCAGTCTCCATAGACCAGATCCCTGTGGAACCAGAACAGGGCGTCCGTATTGTTGAAGTCGGCGAAAACTTCTTCTTGGGAAAGAAAGACGTACATGTCCTGTGGCAAAGTGAGGAATGAAATTGATACAATGTTGCCAAAATCCAAATATGTATCCTTACATGAATGCAAACATGTTAACATGGGAAATACCATGAGTGTTTCCTTGGCAAAGAGGTTTCTGCTGGGAACTCTGGGTGCCCCGGCTGGAGTGTTGGGGTCAGGTGTAGATGGGCCTCTTCGAAACCAACTACTAATGGCCCATATAATAAAAATTCTACAAAAGAAAAACACATTCCAAACAGGGAGCAGTTTTAAATGTAAAAAGTTCATTATGTTTTCTTATGTTTATTACGTAGAAGGTTCTTTTAATAAGACAAAAATATAATGTGGCTAGTACTGTTTAATCACCCGACATCTTTCGGCAGTAGTCCTTCGCCAAAGGTGACATGTGGTGAGACACATCTTATCAGCTGTGAACCAAAAACGTAGGACTCACTTCTCCAGAAACCACAGCGCTGCAGGGGGCGTGTCTCCTCTAATAAAGGTGGAGGTCTACCGCCGAAACATGTAGCTTTTTTTAGATTTGTCTTATTAAAAGAACTTTCTAAGCATTAAGGACCAGTATTCCTTACTTAGATTTAGGACAGCAACTATTGGTCAACGTAATCGACTACAGCAGCTATTGTTCAACGGATATTGTTATTGTTGACGCATCACACCAAATTCTTTTTGGAGGAATGCACCAATACAACTATAACTGATTATCACCACAGCACTGGATGCAGAGGTTTTATCCCAGAGGCAAATTATTTGAATGTGTGTATAATGAACTACAATTCCCTTATTTAGGCTGCGCTTAGCAACAATTATAACCACACACGCATCCACGGCCCAGCAAAGAGATAGCACAGACAAACATGAGTGCGGGAGGCTGTGCTCGGGGTCCAGGGAAAATAGGTCTAATCATTCTGACGAGTCATCACAGCTCACCCACTGTGCGCTGAAGTTTCTTGGTTCGTCCTGAGACATATTCATCTCGCTAAAGTACAGCTGTACTTTTTTATTAATTATTTTTTTTCAATTAAATAATAAATCGATTTCTGAATATTCTAGACAAAAAAACATTTAATCCGGCTTGCACATGCGCCTCTTATTTACAAAACCTATTTTGATGTCTTCTGTGTAATTAACAAATGCACTTTATGGAATGGATGAATATACACTCGGGCACTGCACTATTATTATATAGGCCTACATACAAACTGTACAGTTGCTTTAAAAAATATTATACGGCTCCTCACAGCAGCAGTAGAACGCTCCATTGATTTGAATGTAATTTCAAAACGTTCTACCGGTCATTATTTTCTATAACGGACCTCTCAAAAAAATAATGACCGCTGCCCATGGCAACGCACTCTGCTTGTCTTTCAAATGCGTGGATAACTCCGCAAGTAGTTCCGGCCACTCCGGAGCTAGCCACACTCAATCAACACACTTAAATGTTAATCGGAGAATACTTATACATTCTTCACACACGTGGACGGAAATTTTCAGAATTTTCTGGTCTTGTCTTCATGACAAAAATACTATTTCTCTGCGTCAAAAAGCGATCGTGAAAAACCCGGAAGTAGTTCCGGCCGCTCAATAAACGCAAATGCCAATCAATCAACGCAATGAAATATTAATCGGAGAGTAATTTATACATATACAGTCTTAATACAAGTGCACGGAAGTTTTCAGAATTTTCCGTTCACTTTTTCATGACAAAAACACTGATGTAATGCGAGAAAAGGCGATCCCGAAAAACCCGGAAGTAGATACCGGCACATTTTTGGACACATTTGCAGAGGATCGAATTATGGATTTAGGTTAGGTTTATGTTTGGGTCACTCACCGCTGATGTTCAGAATTCTTTGTTCAGTTTTCATGCAGTTCCAGAGAGTTCTAGTTTGGAAGTTGCCAGCCTAACTGTTGCTAGCATAGCCACGGGAAAGCCTTTGGGAACTATTTTATTTTCTGTCATTAAATAAACCTTTCGGCATTCCTAAAAATGGACTGAAGTTTATGTTGTGTGTTTATGTTGTGGGCGGAAGCAGACCCCTCCGCTGCGCGTCGGGGTCCGCTTCGCCCTGTCGGTACTTATTTTCCGATAATGACCTGCGTAATATACGTTATCCCTTACACAATCATTGACACGGGTCCAATCAACTCTCCAAACATTCACATTGTGGGTGTTAGTATTAGATAGCAATATGGCCTACGTGCAGGACTGTACAAGGACTCTACAAGGACTCCATGTTATGACTATGATTTGACTGTCTCTTTGTGACACGTATGTCTTTCGATGTGTGACGTGACAATGACTATATAAACTGTGTACTGCCTTTATTCTGTCTGAGAGAAAGAAACAAAGTAAACCAGTGGAACTTGAGAGAAACTTAAATAAACTTCCAGAGTTTGGCACACCACGATCCGTCTCTGTCTGTTGAATCCTAACAGATTTGGTGGAGGATGTGCGGCTCAGTGTGTGCCATTTTCTGGATCTTTTTGAGGGAGTTTGCTTTGTTTCTTTTCCTCTGTGTGAGAGACCGGCATGCTGCGTCTGGGAGCGGAGATTCCAGCAGGCTGGAAGAGCTGTTCCTGGATGCTTCTTGTCGCTTCTGTCACTTTTGTTTTTTAAATTGAATATTCCGACGCGGAAAAGAGGTTGGCAGACCTCTCGGACAGTCCTTGGTACCTGTTTGACAAGAATAAGGTAAGCAGACACCTTTTTATATGTAAAGTCTGCATAATTGGATACTAGCTAAATTTTGGTCTGTTTTTGAGGTCTGTCGAACTCTCTAAATTGTGTTCAAATAAGTGAGGATCCATAAAGTGTATAGGATCCATAAAGTGTTGGCCATAAAGTGTATAGGATCCATAAAGTGTTGGCCATAAAGTGTATAGGATCCATAAAGTGTTGGCCATAAAGTGTATAGGATCCATAAAGTGTTGGCCATAAGTGAGGATCCTAAGTGAAACCATGGTGTAAAATTAAAAGCAATTTTTAAAAAAAGGGAAACGTGTGAAGGAGGCCTTTTGTCACAAAAAGTTTTGTAATTAACCAATTCCAAGCTTGATAAATGACAAAAGTAAAGAAGCAACAATATTTCAGTGATCACGGTTTAAATTACATACAGAAAAAAGGAGTTTTTGGAGTGAACAGAGTTCACCGGAGAATGCAGAGTTTTATCTAAAGTTGAGCTATGAGAGCTTTCGTGAGTTATTTACATTTTTTGCCGAGTTATATCTACAGTTAAGCTATGAGAGGGTTGTATCCAACAGTTGTTTTTGTTTTTTAGAAAGAGATTTTGAGTTTAAACTAGTTTGCTACCTCGATAAAATAGTGTGGAAAGTGTGGAAAGTGATCACTTCTAGACTTAGATGACAAAAGTATAAACTACAAGTTATATTCGCTTAACAAAGTAATCTTGAAAGTTATTCTTTCTGTTTTGGCATTTTTGCTAAAACACTACTTTCTGTCTGTGTGTGTGCGTCGCACTATCTTGCTGCCGTTGTCAGGGAAACGGCCCCCTCCTTCGCTGCTCTGGCTCTGAATCAGAGCTACTTTTAGGATTTTGGCTTTTATTAAGTTTTTAAATTTGCGAAATTTGCCATTTGAACATTGTGTTATGACACAGTTAAACGTTTTTAAACACCATTAGTGAATAAGTTTTGAATATTATATGTTTTTGAAACCCAAATATTAGTGCTAAAGCTTTGCTTTTCTTTTTAAATCTGCTGCTTATTTTTGAGTCCATTATTGTCTCTCTGATATATTTCATAGCTGTTTGTGAGAATTTTTTCATGTATTTTTTATTTTAGTTACAAAAGCCGTTTCAAACATTTAAATTAGAATCTGTGTAAAAAGTGATTATTGATCATAGACTTCGTCTAAAAAGAAAGAGGAAATTAGGATTAGCTGTAAAAGTATTATATTATTAAGTTAAACTCTACCCAATTCACCTTGCAAGTGGCGACTTTTGTTTTTGTTTGCCACAAATGCCACAGCAGAGGAGACTGGCTCTAAAATGTGCTCCAATTCATATTGACTTCATTTGAAAAATGCTGCAATTATTTTAAATTAGTAGAATAAATGCTGAGATAAATGTTCAAGTGTAAAAGGGAAAGTCCATAAAGTGAAACCCAAGGACGCATAGATAATTAAACACAGTACAAAAGTACATAATACATATTTTAAAGGTTGAAGTTTTAAGAGATTTGAGTCTTGTTTTTTTTATTAAGAGAGTTTCTGGTCTTAAAAGTGTCATCATTAGTAAGATAATAAGTAATCTTTATTTACATAGCGCTTGGAAAGCCAAGAGCGCTACAAAATTGTTTTGACTTTAGAGAGAAAAACAATCTCATTCACAATATCTGTTGTTTTTAATTTGACTATAAGGTTGTGTTCCAGGACCAAGGGCACACACTGTACAGGGTCACTGGACTGCAGGACACTGGACAGCAAAGCCCACCCAGGCACAGGTCACAGATCAAAGAGCAAAGGGAAATGCCACCTCCTTGCCCCTCCCCACGCCACTCCAGAGCTGAGTGGGTGTGAAAGAGACCGGGGTAGAGAGAGGTTTCTGGAGACGTGATGGGTGGAGGCCTCAGGTAGAGACCTGAATGAGAGGTGAGAGTGTGTCCAGTTGGTTTACATCACCACAGTGTGACCTTTGACACCTGCAGGTGGTTGAAGGAGTCTGGAGACACAACCCCAAAATTCACACACACACACACACACACATTCATACCCTCACACATTCACATTTACATATAGATACATGAAAAAGCAGAACATGAGAAAAAGCATTAAAAGTTTACTCCAATGTAAACAAATATTTTTAATTGTCTATCACTTGAATCTTTATTTGAATCAGTATTTTTGAGACCAGAAATGTTCATTTGAATTCTATATTGTCTCGGACTTAATTGACCTGTTCTGACACTTTTGATTTGTTGATTTTGTACTGTGTGAAGTAATTACATTGATTAGGATTAGAATCAAAGTGACTTAACCATAGAGAGTAACTATTGCATAACAAGCTGTGTACAGGAACTGTGACACTGCACCATTGACCAGAAGTGCATCGCAAATGACCTGATGTGCGCTTCAAGTGAAAAGACAGTATCTGGAGATCCAATGTGCATCTGGAGAGACCAGAACCATGGCTTGGACCCTACTGATGTCCAAGATGACATCTCTCGAAATATGACCTGACCTGATGACGACTGAGACTCACCCTCAGGGGACCCTGAGGACCTGAGGACCTGAGGACCCTGAGGACCTGAGGATCTGAGGATCTGAGAGAGAAAACCTGGGGAGTGATGTTTATATTTTTAAAATCATACATTGATGAGTGCTAAATGAGACAGATACTCATGATTCTTTCTTTTGTTTTTGTTTGTCGCTAGCTTCTGGACATTTGATGATCTATTGGACACAGCAATTTGCAGAACAAGAACCAGCCAATGAAAAATCGTCTATTGCTGATGCTATTGCTACAACCAGAACCACAACTGTGACAATGCAATATACATGTTAAGTATTCAGACATCTGACAGACAAAAACTTTAGTCTGGGAGACTGAGCAACTGTTAAAACTTTGAAAATGATAAAGTATGAGTATTGTAGCGTTTTATTAGAAGTCAAATAGTAGTAAAAAAGTAGAATTGTCCTTCCTTTGTTGTTCATAAACACATTTCCACGTAAGTTAAAATAGTAGCATACAATGTTATCCTTTTGATAGAGCAGCTAAAATATTAGAATCAGAATTATGTTACAGCCATTAAAAGTGACAGAAGTCACAAACTAGAAATATGCCTTTGCTCAAGCTGCAACCGAGCTTTGGAGTTAAAAAATAGCGTAAAAATAGAATTAGATAAATGCATCAACCATAGATGCTTTCAAAAATAGAGATTATTTCTAGCCAGTGCTAATATTTGAATGGTAAAGTGACCATTTCACAAGCATTTACTTCAAAAGTAGATAAAGTTCATTACAGTTGTATGTACAGTTTTATTAGATACTTGCCAAATTCACTTGTGTTCACACATGAGTGAATGTTGACAATGCAAAAAGTTCATGAGTGTAGCCTAGATTAAAGCCTAGATTAATGAGATAGATTACAACCAACAGAGATTCAAAAGCATTTAAAAGCATTTTGATGCATTTGGGTCTAGCCCAAAAACAAAATAGTAGATATTTGGATATCTTTGAGAAGTTTAAAAAGCTGTAGATTCACCAGCACAGATTAGAGAATCAAACACCATTGTAGAATAACTGACCCCAACCCCAAACCTAATTAGCTACTATTAGGATAATACTAATTTGATTAATGATGTACATTCATCCCAAACTGCCTGAGAGGAGGAAGTGACAGCACTTCCTGTTTCAACAAATGTATTTGGAAAACTGACCGCCATAATAATGTTAATATTAACCATTTGTCTTACTGTGTTTACAGTTTTATTCCTGAGAATGTAGAGTAGACATGGAGCAAAATCCCACTGATAATAAGCCACTGATAATGAGAGTGTAAAACCACAGAGAGATTTATTAGATTAAAATATATGTTTAAGAATATGGCTCAATAGAAGCAAATATGCAAACATATTTGTAAATAGATTAGAATAGTTTTAAACTATAGTAAATAGAGAGTAAAGTACGCAGTCTAAGATTAGATTAGGGCGGCACGGTGGCTGAGTGGATAGCACTCTCGCCTCTCAGCAAGAAGGTCCTGGGTTCGAATCCCGGTCGGACCAGGGCCTTTCTGAGTGGAGTTTGCATGTTCTCCCCGTGTCTGCGTAGGTTTCCTCCGGGTACTCCGGTTTCCCCTACCACTAAAAATATGTACAATAGGTCTGGCATGCGCCTCCTGTTCGGCGACCCCGCTCCCATCTCTGTGTGGAGTGAGAGACAAATGCCCAAAAAAATAATAACAATTGTAAACCGCTTTGTGACCCTTGTCTGTGAAAGGCGGTATATAAATAAACATTACTTACTTACTTACTTACTAGAAAGTGAAAACAATACAGTGAAATAAGTGAAGTGTAAACAATTAGCATTAGAATAAAAGTAGAGTAATAAAAGTGAAATTAGCTTCTAATTTGAGACTCAGCTCGTTTTTGTCTGTGTTTTGACTGAATCTGCTGAGTTCTTGTGTGTCCAATAGTGTTTGTTTTTATTTTTGATTTGTTTTTTGTTTGTTTATTTTTTCCCAGGATAGAGGATAAAATCCACTGATATTGATTGGATGATTATGAGTTTAATGCATACATTTTCTTTGTTTTTAATAATTTTTTAAAGTTTTTTTTTTTAGAATGTTTTTTTTCTTTTTCCACTTTATTGATTGATCAATTTGAGTGATCACATGTGATTATGTGATCAAAGGGGAGGGTGTTAGTATTAGATAGCAATATGGCCTACGTGCAGGACTGTACAAGGACTCTACAAGGACTCCATGTTATGACTATGATTTGACTGTCTCTTTGTGACACGTATGTCTTTCGATGTGTGACGTGACAGTAGCTGCGTTTCCATTGAGTATCAAATTTCGAAATTTGAATTTGCGCATCATAAAATGTCTAATGGAAACGCGCAAATTTCGAATAAACCACAGTTTTTCGATAAAAAGTGTATGCGCTTAAAATAGGTGGTTTTTTGGACGTATCGAAATTAAGTTTTTCGCAAAACGGCAATGGAAACACTTATTTCGATATAGCGGAGGAAGCCGAGCTGCTTTATTCAGTGAGTTTTGGCTGCGCTTCGTGTGGAGACTTGGGAGATACGTGGGAGAGGCATGGGGGAGAGACGGGGGAGAGGCATGGGGGAGAGGATGGGGGAGAGACGGGGGAGAGACGGGGGAGAGACGGGGGAGAGACGGGGGAGAGACGGGGGAGAGACGGGGAAGAGACGGGGGAGAGGCGGGGGAGAGACGGGGGAGAGACGGGGGAGACAGGCAAGACCCTATGGTTCTGTGCGCGCTATGGTCCGCGCTCGGTACATGACCACGCGCGTTCGCGGAGCTGTCAAAGCAGCCACAGTTTCTCCCGGGGTCCGAGAGGATGAGAGCCGCAGCAGAAGTCAAGACATTAATATATCTCACGTAAATCAAAGTGTTGTTTACTTCTGTTGCCATGTTGACGTACTAGAAACTAGTGAATAAACGCGCGAAAATAGTGTATACTTATTCGAATATGTCTTAATGGAAACGGCCGCTTTTGCGAATTACAGGTTTTTCGAATTTTGAAATGTATCGAAAAAGTTTTTGCGAATTATTCAATGGAAACGCAGCTAGTGACTATATAAACTGTGTACTGCCTTTATTCTGTCTGAGAGAAAGAAACAAAGTAAACCAGTGGAACTTGAGAGAAACTTAAATAAACTTCCAGAGTTTGGCACACCACGATCCGTCTCTGTCTGCTTAATCCTAACATGAGGTAAACAAATTGTTTTGGTCTTTTTCTGATCATGATTTTATAAATAGAATAACCTCAAATGTTTACAAAAAAACGCAGCGGTTAAAGAACCAGAAGCTTTCTCAAAGGTCGGATTTTAGTCATCCTTGTCACCCTGAACTTTTTTTTATTTTGAAATCCATCTGTTTTCTATAAATCCACAGGTTTGTGCAACAAACTCGTTCTCGTCTGCTCTAATCTGTACATGCACAGGTTGGTCGTCAATCATCATATGAGACCATAAGCCAATGAGCACAGGCCATTAATTAGAATAGGCAGATGTTGGGTCACTGGGGATTGCATAGAACCAATATTGGATGCAAAAATGTTTCCAATATTGGCACCATTATTTGATATCAGTATCGTATCAGTCCATTAAATAACGGCTTAGGTTTGGTGAGTCTTACCTAAAGAGGACTCCTTTGATGACTTGCCATGCATTTGGAGGTGGCTGTGGGGGTTGCTGCTGCGGGTCCGGTGCATTTCCAGCCGCCTGGACTGTTTGATCATCTGCCGTGGTTGCACTGCCATTGGTACTGACCTAAAACAAAGTGATAATTACAGAAATGTAGATGTAGACAGAAGTTTATAAATACATACATTTATAACAAATAATTATTAATTACAGTGTCATAATTTTACTTAATATCTGACTTATTCAATGGATTCAACATTTTCATATTATTAGCTCTAACATGTTTTGTCTCATTGTAACCATCTGCATGTCCACAAAAACTTGATTTAAATTCTGCCAACACAATGGCGAAGTCATGCCAAGTCATGGGACACATTCACAATCTAAACATCTAATCTCCTCTGTTGTCGCCAATACAAGGGGACCAGGAACTGGCCTCAGAAACAAACAATCACCTGCAACTCTTTTCAGATAACATTGTGTTTGAATTGTGGAATGTGTAGCATGTTTGGTAGTAAGGTTGATAAATGTCTTGAATGGCCAAATCAGGCACAATATAATGAACACCAAACACGGTCCAAATTAAGCTTGAAAAATCTAAAAACGGCAAAAAGAATTATAGGGGCCTCTACAAGAAGTCAAGATAATGATTTACAGTGTATATGACAATAAGGGATTAACAATTAACCATAATTTAGCTTGCACGTTTTACATAGTTGTAAATCAAAAGTTATAATTTGAAGGCGTTTCAAGAGTGCACCTAGATAAGGGACAAGTTTATCTAAATAGATTTATCCAGGTTGTGATCGGAACTGGTTTAACTCAAACAGAAATGTTAAATAAAACATGTTTTCCATCATGCCGTTAATGTGTCGTAGTGGTGATATTCAAATTATGGTTGATATGAACTCCAGGAAGAAGGTCACAACACAATGATTTTCAAAAGACGTCAAAGACAACAGCAGTGTACACGTAAACGTAAAACAACATAGTGTTTATACTAGTTATTAGTATGACAGTGCTGAAAACTGGCCTGGCTTTAGCTGTAGGCCTGTCGCATACTGACAACCATCCCTCAGACCAGCTTCTATCATCATTAAACGGCGAATGAAGCTAATAAACCAAACACAAAATTATGTATGAACACATTTTATGCGCATCTATCAAGTTGACAACTTGAATGAAGCCTGAATCCTCGGCCTCCGCATGTATCTGTCCACACATCGCAGAGCAGTGGGTCGTGTTGAAGACAGACCCATGACGATAACCCGCAGAATCAGTATGGTCTACTTTTACATCACTGGAATTATACTATGAGCATATCATGTGATGTTGAATAAATGTGCAGAGGGACAGGATAATCCCTGTGTTACCTCTCCGTTGGTCACGGTGGCTTTAGTCGGCTCCGTCTCCTGCGTCGCCATCTTTCCTTGTCCCTGTCTCGCGCACACACGGCAAGACTGTGCAAACAACGCGAGATTTGGCGAGAAACAGACGTATGCATGACGTGTACACATTTTAGTGTAATTATTGAAATATATGATCATAGGCGACATTCACTTTATTAGTTTATCAATTAGTATTTATCAATTCTCAGGATCCTGTAGTATATTCCTAACTTTAAAAAATATATTGCTTTAACAAATAAGCAGAAGCATAGTTGGACATGAAAAAGTTTACTTAACTTCAAAACTATTTAACCTTATGGCGTATTTGGGATGCATGCCAAAAGAATAAAATAGAAAAGATCACCAGATAGAAGTTCAATGAATTTATTTGTTTATAAGTGTTGACTAGTGGAGTTACTTATCACACAAATAGTCTGTAAAGTTAAACAATTCAGCAAGGGCATGTTACATTTCATCCAAACCATAATCTTCTTCAGGAAAGTCTCCTACGATCAGACTCAATGGCTTTACAAATGCACCATATTTGTTTGGACATTCAAAGTAGCGCTTTCCATCAACACTGCAATAAAACAAACCATTAGACATCTCATCTGAGACCTGATGACAAATAAAGACAGTGCAGTGCTCTTCTACCTTCCATCATTTTTCCCCAAAGGTTCGTCATACTTCACACCCACCCAGTGTCCAGGCTTGAAATCTGTTGTGCCTGGGAAGAAGAAGACATTTACTGTCACAGTGTCTTCTAATTGACACCACTCACTGTAAATTGCCAAGCGTATGAGCACAGTTCCGTCTGTATTTTCTTTAACTATTTAGCTTGTTTGTAGCCAATTCCAGTTTTCTATCCAAGCAGCTCAGTGCAAAGCTCCAGACTCTTGGGTATTGTAAAATCTCGTATCAACAGCATTTGACTTTACCAAATCAAGCATCTAGGCACAACGCAAAATTCCAACATGATCTGCTTTTATGGTAAGTTTTCATGTACCTTCCATATACACATTCCAATGAACAAAATACTAGAGAATACTTCATTACAGCTACATCAAACACACTTACCAACAAACATAACTGAACCAAGCTTGGTGGGCTGCCCAGGGACCACCACTTTACAACGACTTCCAACACTGATAGCCTCTGCTGCAACTCTTTGTTCCTCGTCCCGAGCTGCAAGTTCAGCTTTCTTTTTGGTCGTTTCTTCTTCATTAAAACGGCCGACACGTTGTTTTTTCATAAAATACCTTGCTGTGTCTAAAATGAATCAAATGCATGTTTTAAAATATTTTATCAGGGTCTCCTGGTAGAGCGCTTTAATAGTAAATTTGACTGATATGAATGATTAGATTATCCAAAAAAAAATCATCCCATAGTACTGGCTAAACCGAGCCTTATTTGCGTGTACTCACACTCAAGTCACTTCATTTTACAGTCTACGAGTCCGATTGATGCGTAAACATACCTGTTCGTTTTTCATATTCTTCATCTGGAAGTTCAAATTTGTCTACTTTGGAAACATCACTGAATTCTCCCAAAAGACCTCCACTTTTATCAATAACCTGTGCAAAAAAAAGCCGCCCATTTAAACTGCTTGTGAATATGATTTTTCATAAAAGGTTTTGTATCAGGGGTAAAATAAAGTATTAAATATAAGGTGGTTAATCAAACTTACATGTATCTTGCAATCATCATCCACAGGAAACGAACCCAGTAAAGCTTCATTATCTTCAAGTTTCTGTAGAAACTGGTCAGTAACACTGAACAACTCAAGCTCCATGGAAGTGGCGGCGGCACCAATAATCATTTCCAGCTTTCCCTAATTATCAAAGTTGGCAAATAGTATAATGTTCCATAGAAAAATTGTGTATCACATCTTACCTTCAATTCTGCTATAGTTATGCCCCTGTTAAATTTGCCTATAGACTCAAAAGACGAAACCGTGCTGGTGAGTCGCACTTTTACAATAGGGTTGGTAATAACGGTAATACTTTCCATTGCGAAGGTGCAAGATTTCTGAAAATGACAGTAACAAAAATGTCAAATCACAAAACAGAGAACATGTAGATTTAAACAGGGCTTTAGCCATCAATGTCAAATATGAAAAGTACATACAATTCAATACATGTAACACAATTATTTCGCTTAATTAGGTTGCAAAATATACTAGATATTTTTCCTAATACAGCTGATGATGCTATGTAAGGCATATACGCAGTCACGTTGGGCTGACGCGCCTAGCTACAAACTTACATTAGAAGTGTGTGGATCTTGCCTTCAAGTATAACCCTATCAAATAACTAATGCACTTTCACAAGTCCAACGCTGTTCAGGTTGTAGAAAAGGTCATAGGAGTGATGACTAAAGGCGACTGAAAGGCTGTAATATGTTGGGTTCTGGCGCAGATGTACAACAAAACCAACACTTCCTGTTACGCCCAGATCTACCATTTGCACCCGCCTACTAAACTCATGGAGCCAATCACAGCCCTGGCCTGTCCTTTAGCGCCCAATGAGATGGTGTTTGGTGAATAATATGGGTGGAAACCTCTCTGATGGGCACTTTTAAAACCCAATTAAAATCTGATGTTGGCAAACACACGACCATAGACTGTATACAAAGAAACGGTTTATCTTATTGAATAATTTTACAGTTTAAGGATTTAATAGTTATGCGAAACATTTGTGGTAATGGCTTTACATTGGGTTCCACTGTATTCCACTGTATAGACTAATATACACACACACACAAATACTGGAACATTTTGCCATAGGTATCTCGTGGCGAAATAAATGAAAATATTGGTAGTAGTTTTACTATTAAACATTTTTAAACAAGTGTGATAAAAGAAACATCTTCATCACGATATCAAGAGGGGCGTTGCAAAACAGCTGCTGAGAGCAGAATCTGCGGTTTGGTCCAGTGGCAGCCTGGGCGAGGGAGGGGAGAGAGGCGGAGGAAGCACTGCTTGGAAAAAGTTAAAAGTAAAATGGCTTCCTTGTCTTTGGAGTCTGTAGAACAATCAGCAAAGATCAAAGATGATGCACATGTAAAAGAAGAGGAAGATACTGGCAACGCCGTTGCATTGGGAAAACAAAGTTTACTGAAGCCGCAGCTGAGCTTTTCCACTGATCAAGTATCGTGTCTGTGCGAGGCCCTTCTGCAGGCGGGTAATGTGGATCGCCTGTGGAAATTTCTCTCTACTATACATCCTTCGTCCGAGCTGCTACGTGGCAATGAGACTCTTCTCAAAGCACAAGCTCTGGTGGCTTTTCACCGCGAAGAGTTCAAGGAGCTTTACTCAATTCTGGAGAGCCAGGACTTCCACCCGTCTAACCATGGGTTCCTGCAGGACCTGTACCTCAGGGCTCGCTATAAGGAGGCAGAGAGGTCCCGGGGCCGCAGTCTGGGTGCTGTGGATAAGTACCGTCTCAGAAAGAAGTTTCCCTTGCCGAAGACAATCTGGGATGGAGAGGAGACTGTATACCTCCTCAAGGAGAAGTCGCGAAATGCATTGAAAGAATGCTACAAAAGCAACAGGTATCCGAGTCCGGACGAGAAGAAAAACTTAGCCAAAGTTACGGGACTATCCCTCAAACAAGTGAGTAACTGGTTCAAAAACCGGAGACAGAGAGACAGAACGCCGTCTGGGACCCACAGCAAAAGGTAGGTCAAGAAAAAAAAACAAGTATACCACAAACGTCTGCACAAGCATGTTGCTTTGTTGTGAAATGTGAGCTTCAGATTCAGGAAACTGAATGCAGCTCGTATGTGAAGCGTGGGTGTCTCCTTAAGATACAGAGTCAAATCAGAACAAAGACATTCTGAGTAGGCCCATACTAGGCCTAATAACTATGTAATGTGAAAGTTAGGCATGTTCCCCAGGCGTTCACTAAGGCGATGTTTTCCCTCAAATACCACTGCAATGGGATTGTTCGAATATCTGATTGGGAACTACAGCAGGGCTCAGTTCATCCCCAAAAACACTTTTGTACAGACTGAGATGTAAATAAATAATGACTGTGGTTGCTTTATCTTCCCCAGCCCCTAGCATTTCTGACTCTTCAAGTATATATCTCTCAGGAATATAAATTCAAACGTGTTGCTATATTTATTCCACATTAAACGTCTGTATAACACATGAATATAACAGTCCGTAACTGGATAATATCTTTTACTTAATCTTCCTTTTTTGCACATATTGTAGATTGCTATGTATATTTTGCTGAAACAGGCTCTTACGGGCTCAAATTATATAGGGTGAAAAACTATTGTTGTAAAATTAACTTTATTTCATGCTATTTCTTTTTAGCGAGTCTGATGGTAACCACAGCACAGAGGATGAAGCCAGTGCTATGGAGGAGGTTCCTGAGCAGTTAGATGAGCCTTCATCGGTTATCTCTTTTTCTGCCGTTTCTGGGGACACAGGAGGACCGTTCATTCTGAATGGATCCAGCGGGTTTCTCACAACTCCCCAACCTATATTACTAAATAGCAATTCCCTTATTTCTGGTACGGGCGGAGGAGTCCTCCTCAATGGCCTGAACCTTGGAGATTGTCAAACCCTGACACTAAGTCCTGTTACAGGAAACTCTTCTTTGATAATAAATGGTTCTCAGGTAATGACAAAACTAAATGTACAACCACAACAGACGCTAACAGTAGCTGAACAAGATGTCCCTGTTGTAAATAGCAAGTCTACCATTGTTGGCACAAATACAACGCATGTCTCAAACCCACCATCAGTCATTTCTATGCCAATTAGGACCAATAGAGACAATACTTTGGACTTCATCAGTCTTCCTAAAGATAGTCAAATCAAACCTAATGTACTACATCAACATACTGAATCTTCATTTTTACCATCTCCGCCTTCTTTTTCTACTGTAAACGGTGCACCAAAGTTATTGCTTACTCAAACCACCAAAAATCAAGAACTGATCTCTCTTCCGACCTCCATCACATCGACAGGAACTGTCATTTCCTCACCTCTCTGCAGTCAAGAGGGAAACTTTGTTGTCTTTTCTAGCTCCCCAGTAACCACCTCAAACTCTGTTCCTTCATCCACTCCATCCACCCCTCAGGTCCTCGCTCTACCCCAGGTTGTTCCTTCTATTCAAGGCATACCGGTCTCACAGCTGATCCAACATTCTTCAACTGCACAAGGGCCCCAGTGTCCTCAATTGGTCCCTGCGTCACCACTTTCATCACAAACTTCTCAGATGCAAAGCACAATTCCTGCAGACAGAGTACTACATCAGCATGAGGCAACATCAACATTACCTGGAGTTGCTATAACTACAATGTCTTTTTACCAAGCTGCTACAAATCAGCTTTCACAACAATTAACACGTCAACTGGTCGACCAGAGTGGGCCAATTTCTGCAGTTGGAAAGTTACAAGTTCCACCACTTCTTTCCATTTCTTCACAAGTAACCAAAGGAACTCGTGCACAGTTAGTTCCAGTGTCATCTATGCAAACATCTAACGCAATCTCGTTTCCACAAGTGGTGCCTGCCACCCCGTCCTTGACTGTGCCTTCTGCTGGACCACCTGTACAGATTCTAGCATCCAGCCCCACTGCTCCTGGCTTTGGACAGTCCCCCTTAAGAATCAACACCATAACCCCAATTCAGAGTGTCGCCTCTCCTGCCAGTATAGCTCCTGGTGTGCAGCTGTTAAACTCTGGGCTCATTCAAATCCCTGCAACTACACCAGGTACTTGATTAACTATTGTAATGCATTATTGTGATCATTGATGAATTAATTTATATTTCTTTAGGAAACTTGCTTCTCGGTGGAGGCCCATTCTTAAGTGTCCAGCAAGGAAAGCTAATACTGACCATTCCAGCAGGAATTCAACTTGCAGGTTTGTCTTCAAAACCAGAGGTTCCCCCTGTGTCCACTAATGGGATTGGTCCTTCAGTTGCTTCACAGCCTTTAAGTATGCCAAGTTTAGCTAGCAACTGCCTGACAACAACTCCCATAAATGTTGTCACTTCCTCTTCACTATTCAATGCTGCAGAGACAATGCAGACTCCAAATCACTCTATGACTCTAGAGCATTCACTTTCCTCCGCCTCACAAAATACCCTCACTCCAGAGAGCATGCTAACATTTAGTCCCACATATAGTGGATTGATCTCAAATTCACACCTGGCTAATTCTGCCTGGAATCCAGCATCCAATCTTTCTCAATTGTTTGATATTCGTAGCAAAAACGATCTCCATGTTGACCCATCTTTGCTAGGAGGACTGCATGGAGAATCCCTGCTTCTGGGAAGCCCTTCTCCTGAGCAGGGTATAAATGCCGCATCCCCACTTGGTAGCTCAGAGGACATTGAAGATGAGTCCAAAATCCTCACACAGCTACAGTCCGTACCTGTTGATGACGATTTGGGTCTGTAGATCTTGCATTACCATCATCAACAAAAATCCAACAAGTGCCTGTTTAGACTACACTTTGTGTCAAGGTTTGTACTAAAATTGAGATTATATGCATTATATAGACTTCCCACTCAGAACACTAGTTGCCCACATACAAGTAATGAATATAAAATGGCTGCATTTAATGTAGTGTTACCAAACATCTGTTCTACCTCTTTGACGTCAAACTGATGAGAGCTTGGATCATCAAACTTTCCATCAAACTAAGAGCATTTTTTTGGTACCACATAGGATGATTATTGCATTGCTTAGCTTTTTTAAAACATGTTTTATTAATATTTTTTATTATAAATGGCTGTTTATCAGTCCTGTTTCTATTGTTTTCTCAGATATTCTTAAGTGCCTTATGTTTTATCATGTTTTAAACCTGCGATTCAAAGTCTATTAGTCCAAGATTTATAGATGTAGCTCTTCTGTTTGTATATTTTGCACATTACATTCATAGTGTTTACACTATTTTCCACATGGTTACAAAGGGTTTATACTATGTGTTGTAACAATTGTTTTTGCCAAAGCAGATTTTATTTTACCAGTCCCAAATGTTTTAGGGTTTGGACTGGTAAAATTAACTCTTAATGTATCAAGTACTGTATGTTCAGGACCATAAACATGAATTTCTAAATGTACGGTGCATTCATACTGTCAGTACATGCACTACTATAACTGTATGACTTTATGATCAGTACAATAAGCAAATCCTCTACATATAGTAATTGTTCAGATGTTCACCAAAGCTATGTATCCAAGGCAGCATGAAGCTAGTACATCTTTGGCAAGTACTAGGTCTTCATTTTTTATATAGTCGCCACTACAATAAGGAAATGTCCTGAAAATGAAACTGCCATTCAAAAGACGATGGTGGCCATCCCTCTTCATTTATTGTCCAAAACAAGTGTGCTTTTGATGTATTTAGCATAGTTTACTGAAATACCGGTACATTTACAGTTAAAATATTACTTTGTTTTTTACAATGTTTTTTGTATGCATGTGTCAATCAATTATGGTCTTACTTTCAATTGAGAAGGTCTGCATCATGGTCAGTGTGAATTGGATAGTTTTCCACTTCATTACAGATTAAAGGGAAATATATCTGAACTGTGAAAGGTGAGCCAGGTGCCTGGATATAATGTACTGTACATTTCTTGCCAACGGAGGACAACAATGTGTTTTGAAAGCACATTATATCTCGTTCTTGCCAAAACTGCAGTTTTAACCAAAGATAATGTGGTTGTTTTGAAATGCATTTTTATACATTTTAAATTTACTATTCAAATGTATATTTTTATATTAAATATTGTAATATTAAAATGCATAAACTAATCCTGTTGTTGGGTATATGAGAATACATGAATGTGAAGGCAATCATGCTGATGAAAAAACCCATTTTTCTTTTTGGTTCTACCTAGAAAATATCTTTACATTACGGGCACTACCTTGACAAAGACAAATCCATCCATCAGTCTTCTTCCACCTTATTGCAGTCAGCTTTCCGTCCCTCTCAGTATATGGACTGACAAAGTGCAGACGTCACCCATAGTGTTTGCTGAATTCAGGTGAAGCTGGTATGAACATAAGCTTGCTGTAGCCCATTCCCGTATATGGGCATTTGTTTTGATGGCCTGAATTTACACATTGAGGCGACATTTTGCATTGTTTTTATTAATATAGAGTATTTATATTTAGGTTTCTGTGATCTTTTCCTTTTGGCAATTACCCATTATCCAAAACATGTAAATTTATTTTTTATTGAAGTTATTGTTTGGGAGAACCGGAGTCCATAGATAAGGCGAGGGTAAAACCTGTGCTCACCTTTACAGAGATCGACAGTCTTTGGTCTAACTTTGGTCAAGTTTAGTATGAATTTCTTTACTCCACAAGAAAGCGTAGTCATGGCAGTATTAGAATAACCCTAAGTACTCTGCCAGAAAAACGGCAAGAATCTTGGTTAGATTTTCTACGGTGGGCCGGTGCATATTCTCCTCCGTGTCATCCAGTGTATGCCAAAACTGAGGGAAAGGTGTGGCAATAATGTGCAGCACAGGAACCCCTGCATAAAAGACAATGCTGAAAACTCGGGCCAGAAGATGGCTGGACATGGACAAGAACATTTTAACCAACCTCTGTGAAGAAAAGGGATATGGTCATCTTGAACAGGCCCCAGATACAGATCTTTCCTGAAGTAAGTTTGTTCAGAGGGATGTGAGGCCAGCAAACCCTGTCGATGGAGTCTCTTTTCTTAAAAATAATAAATCCTTAGAATATATAAGTTTTCCTTATTGTTTCAAAAGGCTGATATTTTTACCTGCTGAAGTGAGACGATCAAACCAGCGTGCAGTGGTTTCAAAGTGATTTAAGATGAGGGGATTGGGACCACCAAGCAGGTCCAGAAGCACAAGCAGATCCTTTAAATAAGGAGCAATTTGTGAATGCCTCAGTAAATAAAGCAGTTTATTACAATCACAATAAATAACTATTATTTAATAAAATGTTAATTGACAACTGATCACTTTTTAAAGAAATATTTATATCCAAACAACCTTTTCAATTATGATTTTACAATGTCTGTGATTAATGGTATTCATTTTAAAATTACTGTGCTTCACATTACAATACATTTAAACCTTACACATTTTAAAACTTGATTCATTAGTGAATCAGCAGCTATAGCCTCAAATAGTGGTTTTACTGCAAATGGCAAATAAAAATCAATCTAATGTAACACCAGAACTAAATATACAGTATACAGAGTCAGACGTAGCATGTCTGCAATCAAGCAGATCTTTCGTGCAAAATAGAACTTTTGGCCCCAACATCTTCAAATAAATTCTGAATGAACGTAGATAAATTCCCCACCACAGCCTGAAGCATTGTAGTGTGCATCGTAGGGTCCCCAGGATGAGGTGTTGCAGCCATCTGTTCAGCCAGGTGCCGAGAGCCATAGAGAGAATCACTATCAGTCCATTCTTCAAACGATTCTTCACCGTCAAAAAACACCAACTGAAGAGTTACTGGGGATTTCTGTGACAGGAAAATTAATCAGACATCAAGAACATCTTATGTCTTCAACATAAGAAGCTACAACATCGCAGAAAAGCAATCACACACCTGATATTTAAATGTTTTAAGCTGTGTATCTAACAATGTTACAAGCTCCAATATCATGGCACAAGGCACTGCTGAATCACTGGCACCCAGAAACACTCTCGTTGGGGCTTGTGGGTCTGAGGGAAGGGATTTAGAGTCATAGTGGCAGGCAAGGAGCAGTCTCCGAGGTGCTGCTGGATCCAATGTAGCCACAATGTTTGTGAATGTCACTTCTCCATGTGGAGTAGGAGACTGGAATGAGTCTAAATCAATACTCCAGCCTGCAGACAGTGAAGACAGCGTGAAGGTGATATGCTGGAAAGAGGCCATTGAATATGAATTAGTACATTTGTCATGCTTCAGTTTATTAAAGAAAATTGTGTACATGCACCTGCTGCACTGACAGACTGCCTGCTGTCCCAGGAAGTCGCTCTATGAGAATAGGCCTCAGATGTGTCTCCCATAAACGGTTTCCATTAACTTGAGAGGCCAAATGCTGAATGTGTGCAGTCGAGCATTTACTAGGCTTATGAGACCACTGCAGATACAAAAAATATGACATGTTGAGGCAATGGATACGAACTGAGAAGTGCCTAACTTTATCAATTTAACATGTACAGTAATTCTGTTATGGGAAGACTACACAATTTTAAATGAGAATTATATATTAGTATTATGAGCACTTACTCTGTCTTTGGTCCAATCTGTCTCCGCATGAAGGACATCAGTGGAGATGTTAGAAAAGTAAACCCCCAGCACCAAGGCCAGCACCAGTACCCCTCCTAAACCTAGCAAGAGCAGTCGGACTCGGGGAGTCCGCGGGCGGCCACAGTCCAGTCCTTGTGGAGGCGCCTTGTACCGGCGGCTCTGGCGGGACATTGTTCATGTGAGCGTGTCAAAGGCGACGTGTCCCAAGTCCCAAGAGCCGAGGTGCAGGAAGTTAAAAGTAATGAGAGACTTGCTTCACCCCGAGTCCATTTGCACAACCACTGTGTATTAACATGTTTCCCGCAGAGAGTAGAAAAGTAGATCACACTCTGGTCACTCGTCCCACACGTACCTTCATAGATCCAAACAGTGTGAACGAACACGTGAAGAGATGCACAGAACGAACACACTAGTTGAACATAAAGAGCGAGAAATGGACGTAAACTTACACTGAATGAAGTGTGGTGTTGATGTCGGTGAAACAGGCGCGTGATTCGGGATTTACTGCGACCTACAGCCGCGGAGTCTGAACGACAGTCACACGCCAGAGTCACATGTTCGAAATGACACTTTGGCTTTTGGGGTATAGATTTTATTTACATTAACGATGCGGCATCCTAATCGTTTAATGCGAATGAGTCTATTGTTAAAACTTGTGAAAGGAGACAGCTGAAAAATCGTTCCTGGTAACTATCAATAGTCAGAGGTAGTCTTGGTATAGAGCTAGTTTCTATCTATTTTACGGGGCCAATCCACATGAAACAAAAACTGTCAACTTGTTTGACAGAACAGATCAATTATTATATTTTAAACGGTGTCTAGAAGTGGTGACAATATTCAAAAATCAAAAAGGACTTTCAGACATAAGAATAATATGGAGGGTTTGCGAATATAATCATTGTTATTAATGATCTGGGAAACATTTGGACATTATCTTATTAAACAGCTTCTGCCCTCCATCTGAAATAACATTATACAACGTTTAACGTTGACGAAGCCAAGATATAAAGAAACGGTGGCCTTGTTTGACCATTTATTCAAGCTCTTACTCTTGCACCTCCTCAAAATTTCTCCTACGGGGGATCAATAAAGTATCTATCTATCTATCTAAAAGAGTCTTTGACCTCCCTCCCGCACCTCCTGCTCCTTCCCGCCTCCACCACTGCGTCACCTAGGCCTCTCGAATCGAGCGGAAGTGACGTAAGTTTGATCGCAGCCTATTGGTCCAATTTTACCAAGACCCGCGTTTTCTTCTATCTGATTGGTCATTAAAGATGCCCGTCACTATGTCTTTCCTGCTCTCATAAAAGCGTTGTTAGCGGGTTTTTGGGGCTCAGTGCGCGCTCTTCTGCCATCTGGACCAGCAGTTTCTCCTGTACCTGTAAACAAGTTTATTTCTGCATCGGTAGAGGTGCTGCACTACACTTGGACAGCATGCATGTCATCAAAAGAGGTCTGTGTTTGTATTAATCTGTTAGCATTACATAGCATCTGTATATCCTGCCTGTGTATCGTGTTCATTATTCTAATGGAAACTCACTCCTACTGTACTTTACATACATAAAGCTCTTGTTGATTTGATAAATTGAACCATTCATTTATCACGGAAGCGAGGAGTTGTGTATACAGTTACAATTAAAGTAAGATAACTCGTGAATGTAAGGAAATACCGAGACCTGTGACTCAACTTGTTTTTGGCTCAATGGCGCCAAAACGTAGGTAATTTTTGCAGTACTTAGAATGATTATACATTTTAGCTAGCGCTTAGTTTTACTGCTCCAATTAATGTTTTGCATACTTCCCCTCCGTTTATAAGATATTGATATATTGTAATATTATTGTTTTGCATGTGTGGACAATTTTTAGAATTTAAATTACCTTATTTCCAAATATTGTCTTTTATGCAGTGTATTGATCCTAAATACGGATGTTTTCTGCTTTATATTTATTGAAGAAACTTTATTGGCATAATCTAATTACCATATATTTTTTTTTCTCCCAGATGGACGTCAAGAGCGGGTCATGTTTGATAAAATCACCTCTCGGATCCAGAAGCTCTGCTATGGTCTCAATGCAGAGTTTGTGGATCCTGCACAAATCACAATGAAGGTGATCCAAGGGCTGTACAACGGTGTGACCACTGTAGAGTTGGACACTCTCGCTGCAGAGATTGCCGCCACACTGACCACAAAGCATCCTGATTATGCCATTCTGGCTGCACGCATTGCAGTGTCCAACCTCCATAAAGAGACCAAGAAGGTGTTCAGTGATGTCATGGAAGATCTGTTCAACTACATAAATCCTTTAAATAAGCGTCACTCTCCAATGATTTCCAAAGAGACCCTGGATCTTGTCCTTGCAAACAAGGACCGCCTCAACTCCTCTATAATCTATGATAGAGATTTTTCATACAATTTTTTTGGTTTTAAGACACTTGAGCGCTCCTACCTGCTGAAGATCAATAGTAAAGTAGCAGAGCGCCCACAGCACATGCTCATGAGGGTATCCGTTGGAATTCACAAAACTGACATAGATGCTGCTATCGAAACTTACAACCTACTATCGGAGAAGTGGTTCACTCATGCCTCTCCGACTCTGTTCAACGCTGGCACCAACAGACCCCAGCTGTCCAGCTGCTTCCTGCTGGCCATGAAGGATGACAGTATCGATGGCATTTATGACACACTGAAACAGTGTGCCCTCATTTCCAAATCTGCTGGAGGGATTGGTGTGGCAGTTAGCTGCATTCGATCAACAGGAAGTTATATTGCTGGAACAAATGGTAATTCAAATGGCCTTGTACCCATGCTAAGGGTATACAATAACACAGCACGCTACGTGGATCAAGGTGGAAATAAAAGACCAGGGGCCTTTGCGATTTACTTAGAACCTTGGCATTTTGATGTGTTTGACTTCCTTGAGCTGAAGAAGAATACTGGTAAAGAAGAGCAGAGGGCACGAGACCTGTTCTATGCCATGTGGATTCCAGACCTTTTCATGAAGAGAGTGGAGAAAAACCAGGACTGGTCTCTGATGTGCCCCAGTGAGTGCCCTGGGTTGGATGAGTGTTGGGGGGAGGAGTTTGAGAAGCTATACACTAAATATGAACAGGAGGGCAGAGTGAAACGGGTTGTCAAGGCTCAGCAGGTGTGGTACGCAATCATTGAGTCTCAGACAGAAACCGGAACGCCTTACATGTTGTACAAAGATGCCTGTAATAGAAAGAGCAACCAGCAGAATTTGGGAACCATCAAAAGCAGTAACTTGTGCACAGAGATTGTAGAGTATACTAGTGAGGATGAGGTAGCGGTCTGTAATTTGGCCTCAATCGCTCTCAACATGTACGTTACCTCAGAACGGACCTTTGACTTCAAAAAGCTTTCTTCAGTCACTAAAGTCATTGTGAGAAACTTGAACAAGATAATTGACATTAACTATTACCCAGTGCCTGAAGCGGAGAATTCAAACAAGCGCCACAGGCCAATTGGGATTGGTGTTCAGGGCCTTGCAGATGCCTTCATACTCATGCGTTATCCATTTGAAAGTCCTGAAGCCCAGCTGCTAAATATACACATCTTTGAGACCATCTACTACGCTGCCCTTGAAGCAAGTTGTGACTTGGCAGAAAAAGACGGGCCTTATGAGACATACCCAGGCTCTCCTGTGAGCAGAGGCATTCTGCAGTATGACATGTGGGACAAGGTGCCCACTGATCTCTGGGATTGGAAACTCCTTAAGGAGAAGATTGCTAAACATGGCGTAAAAAACAGCTTGTTGTTGGCCCCCATGCCCACTGCATCAACAGCACAGATACTTGGAAACAATGAGTCCATCGAAGCCTATACAAGCAACATCTACACACGCAGAGTCCTCTCTGGCGAGTTTCAGATTGTCAATCCACACCTGCTGAAGGACCTGACCGAGAGGGGGCTGTGGAATGAGGAGATGAAGAATAAGCTAATCGCTCAAAATGGATCCATACAGGTATGGTCTTATAAATTATCTATAACTTATGGCTTTGAGTAATAATTCTTACTTTATTCACAACAGGACATTTCTGAAATACCAGAGGATTTAAAACTGCTGTATAAAACGGTTTGGGAAATCTCACAAAAGACCATCCTAAAGATGGCTGCAGATCGTGGCGCATACATTGACCAGAGCCAGTCCCTAAATATTCATATTGCAGAACCAAACTATGGCAAACTGACCAGCATGCATTTTTATGGATGGAAACAGGTGAGACAAGATTTCACACTAATAATATGAAATTATTGGTTTTATTTAAAACGTCTTTTGCCTTCTAGGGTCTAAAGACTGGAATGTATTATCTGCGAACCAAGCCAGCTGCAAACCCAATCCAGTTCACTCTCAACAAGGAGAAGCTGATGGAGGTGCAGCCCAAAGCATCGGAGCAGGAGCTGAAGGAGCTCAACACAGCGGCCATGGTGTGCTCGCTGGAGAACAGGGATGACTGCCTTATGTGTGGGTCATAGAATGATCGCTATGTAATCATTAATAACTCCAATTATATTAATGTATTTTTAATATTTTGCCAATTAAAGATGTACAAACTGGTAATTGTTTAGTTCCAAGAGTTCTGTTTAATACCTCAACACATCAAGGCAATACACAACGATGTTCAAAAGTTAATTTTATAAAATAAAAACAATTTACAGTTTAAATGTACACTTATTACAACCCAAGAAGTTTGCATCTGATACAAAATACAGTCAGCAAAAACAACCTAATATGCAACATGTTTACCATGTTCGCCAACTGGTTAAAATAAATTATCAGAATATTTACTTGCCATTAACATCCTACTGGTACAACAATGCAATTATTGGTTTGAGTCAATTTGAACTAAATATTAATGTATTGAAATCATTTGTACAAAGTAAAAACGGACATGAAGTTTCTACAGACTAGCTGAGATGAGCTGTATTTACAACTTGCTCTTAAAGCACATACAAAAACGATCACATGTTTTGACAGCTTTGAGAACCTGAGAGTTCGAAACAGTTCCAGTCAGACCAGTTGTGTGCTCAAAGTACAGGGCAAGGCATAATTCAGTACAATTACTCAGCGAGATATCAGGAACGTCAGCTGAGAAATCTGTTCTTGCAATAATTACAAAAATATCCAGTTACCAACAAATGGAAACAAGTATTAAAATATAATCTATATACATTATAATTAGGCAAGCTAGGACGATAAATATGTCTGTATAGGCATACAAATCGATGATAGAAAACTTCAGTGTTGACTTTTTGCGTAAAAATGTACTGGTAGTTAGATTTGTGTGTATGAAAATATAGCATTTCCCGGCTTCGTACCATGGGTTAATTTCACATCATTGGGATGCTCTCATCCATGTAAACAAAGACAGAATGCCGTGGCCTAATACATTTAAATTTATCCTCAAACTAACTCTTCCATCTTCCACACAGAAAAGTGCAGTAAGTACCTCTGGTCCCAGGCTGCCAAAAGGACAGTTACATTTGCATTATGTAAGATGTGGCCACGTGATGAGCATTTTCCCCGATTTGCTCCAGAAAAAGTCATGTCAATTATACTCTGGTGCTCATAAATTTAAATGAGCGTGGCTCAGTTAATGTCAACACATGGTCTATCATGTGTCAGTCTAAGTTTAAGGCAGACAAATTAGTGTAAATCTTAGGATTGGGACAACTTTGCCATAAGGTGTGCAAGAAAGTTCAAGGGGGAAAGTTGGGCAGAAATAATTGTCCCATACAAACCATTTCTCCGTGCAACAATTCACTCCCTTTGTGAGTCTGTTCCATGTACAGTGTATCCCGCATGCTCACTTTCTACTTTATTGAGGTTGGTAAAAAGCAAACTGAATTTCCGCAGTTGTTCACTAGCCGTGTGGCTCTCCTCTTGCAGGCGTTGGTTGTTTTCTCTCAGATTAGCCATCTCTGCCAGCAGCACAACTTTATCCTTCTTCTCCTGTGCAACAAAGTTAGTTAAAAAATGTTTGCCTTTAACTTTTAGGTCCAATTGGAGACCAACTTACCCTTTCCAGATCATTGTTGAGTTGTTTTAACATCACCTCCAGATGGTAGAGCCGTCCAGGCACGTCATTTGGCGTTTCGTCACTGGCGACAGAACAAGTCAGAATCAGAATCAGAATCATTTTTACTGCCACGTAAGTATCAGGAGGTCACAGACTTGGAAATTGCTTTGGCTCGGTGCAACATTCAGAGAGAGAATAAAAAATAAATAATAAAAAACACACAGGAATAACTTTTGAATTAAAATTAAAATAGAGTTACAATTACTATATACAAGTGATATTAACATGTTTCAAACTATGTGGGATACATCAGTACCGGTCAAATAGACTTGAGTTTTTGAATAAAGACTATTTGACCAGTTCGGACAGAGAGGACCCACCCACTGAAGGTTGGAGTTGTCCGTGGAGTCTGAGGAGTCTGGAAGGGGACTGGACTACTGGCAGGTCTCAAATCTGGACCAACCAAAGGCTCATTTAGTGTAAAGAGAGACACAGATCTTTGTGCTGAGACAAAAAATATAAAACAAAACCGTTCAGCTATAGAACATTAAAACTGGCTCCTTGGTGAGACATTAGTATCAATGTACCTTCATAGGCTTTAGCAGCATCAACCAAACTGGACCACTCCAGCCCAGTGGCTGTGTCTGGAAGGGGCATCAGACCGGGGTCGAGCCTTCTCAGAGGAGGAACCTTGTCTCTCACTTCAGTAAGAGACAGTTCTGACGCCGACAGGAGGACTGCGCACACACGCATCATTATTTAGTAAAAGGACCACATTAAACCTTCGGGATGTGTAATCAACCTACTCTTCTTGCCCTGCAATTGGTTGGAGTGGTTGGTGGAGACTTGTTTGCGTGTGGGGAGTGTACAGGTAAACAGCACATCAGTGGGTGCACTCGGCTTCTCAGAGTTGGAAAAGCTCGCATCTCTGCGTCCACTGCACAGCGACTCATCTGAGAACGTACGCTGCAGGCTGCATCTCGGTGACTGCGAGACAGGGGCGACAACGTTAAGGCTCGGGATACAACTTTAATATTTATTTTTGTTATTCTTACAGTTTCTCTCTCTGGAGCTTCTCCTGGGTTATCCATTATAATCAACTTCTTCAAGTCATCCTCTATAGTGCTCTTATATGTTCGTCTTGGAGATCGCAGGTCCCTTAATGACGCACGCAATCGGGGCTGACCAAACACATTCTTTGAGTTTGTGTCAACTTGCCTGGAGACAGAGGAAATTCAAAGTGAGTGTCCTTTTACATCAGTACATATAATACACAGAAGCTTATTTGAAATTTTACTTTTTTTCTGATGTGCAGTCCTCCACTTGCCAGGTCGCAGGCCTACTTTTGCCGTATGAAGACTTTGGAGCAGAGCTCGACAGCACTGTTGCGTTGTGTTGAGATGAAGTTGGTGTAGTTGTAGCAGCTCGGGCAGGTTGCATTTTCTCAGCAGCCATGGACTTGTACCCTTGAGGAGTGTAGGCCCTGAGCAAAACAAAACACAAAATTAGCTAATACAGTAGGATAACAACAACATTCTCGACAGGAATAATGTGAGCAGTCCATCTTAGCCTAAAGTCAAAGTAACATTTAAACGAGAATGATGTATACTTTGGTGATTCTTGTACATCCTTATACAATTACTGTAAAGCAGCAAGTTTCTTGTTTTATTTTTGGATATGTGAAAGTGTGATAATTGTGTGTGCAATTTCTACTGCATAAATTCAGAATTATAAGGTTACCTTGGTTTATACAAGTCCCTCTTCTCAACACTGGGGCCTGGAGGGGGAAAGGTTCTTGTGTGATACCCTTTAGGTGACAACTCTCTCCTCTTGATCTCCCCCGTGCCGCTGCCACGTCCTGCTGAGAGCTCTTGGATGGCGTTGCAAGTGACTGTGCTGTGCACAATTTTATGTGGATGGCTGTTGGGCACACTCCCATGCAGAGCGTTGTAGTGTGTGGAGGCGTCGATGCCACTGTCATTGGATCCTCCCTTGTTCAGGTCTGGGTCAGCCTCAGACAGATCACCTCCTCTCTCCCCGGCTCCATCAAACCAGCGCTCATCACTGTGGTTACTAGAGGCATTACTGGACAGCGTATTGCTGCTGGAATGGCTGGAGTATTGAATCTCTCCCTGCAAAGAAGACACCACTTTTAAACAAACATCCATTTAATAGGAATATGAAAGATAAGGGAAGACTCACCTTAGAGTTCCTGTTTGGCGAGTCTTTCACAGAAGCATCCTGCCTCAGTCTTCTCTGCCCTGCACCAGCCTGTGCACGAGATGAAGAGGAAGGGACATGCCAGAGGGGCTCTATACAGAAAACATAGACACACGGGATTAAAGCAAATTACACCAAACCACAGTTGGCAAAGAGGATTAAATACTTATGGCACATTTCAACTCTGCTGTCCCCCACCAACAAACACACACATTACACTCATCTCATTCTCTACATGTTATGAAGTCAACTGTACCAGGTTTGCAGCGCTCCATTGTGCTTTCCTGACTTGTGAAGCCAGATTCACTAGAGTTGATGTCCACACTGAAATGGGGCTCAAAGGGGAGAGGCCGGGGCACAGATCCAAATCTGACAAGAGAAAAGTATTGATCTAAGACATGCACACTGTATCGTTGGTTTGTGTCGATGAATACATGGCCTGTATCTTATTCACCACTACTCAAACAGCAGTTCCTATAGTTAATACAGTCAATTAAAATCCTCCCAATAAGGGAAAATATCTAAGATAAGCCTGAATTGAATGTAAGAGTAATGTTTTTAACTGCTCTTGTTTTTTTTGTCCTGTTGTGAATGGACAGCAATTCTAAAGCTCTCCCACCTGTCAAGGGAAGGTTTGTAGCGTACAAATGGTCCCGGTGTAATTCCAGGGTGTGCCAGAGAAGAGAGGCCAGAAGACGGAGACGAAAAACTGGCTGATGGATTTCTGTAGGGCAGCATTCGGTCACCTCCTACAGGTGATTGGCAGTAGTGGTTTTCTGGGTAGCTTACTGGTCTGGGAAAGGAAAAAAGCAGACCAATGATTAAACCTGGGGCTGGACTAGGGGTGAGAGAGTGTCTCGTGCAGAGCGAGACCTCACAATTAGTCATGTGCAGCCAATGCACTAAAATAGTGCTGATCAACTTGATGCTTTGTACCTGCTGGTGCTAGAATGTGTGCTAGAATATATAGCATTTCTACCTTAAAATAGTGTTTCTGCTTCTACAAATTACTAAGACACATTGGGGGCAGGGGCGACAGTAGCTCAGTTGGTAGAGCATTGGCCTTAAGGCCAGAAGGTTGTGGGTTCAATTCCCACCTCTGCACCTTCTCCACCGACTCCCACTGATGACTGCTGTCGTTGTGTCCTTGGGCAAGACACTTAACCCCACTTTGCCCAAAGCCCCCACTGAAAGATCAAGGCTATGCTCACACTCAGAGAGCAGCCGTCCTCCTGTGGACTCACCACCTGCAGAGGGTCAGTGAGGGGCTGGTGCTATGAGACTTGGGTGGCAGCTCTGATTGCCACCCCCCTGACCCAGAAATGGATTAAAGGGTAGAAAATGGATGGATGGATGGACATTGGGGGCAATCAATAAACTTCAAGCTGATAAACTAAATACATGAGGGAGGGACAGGACATTGGACAGAGAAGCAGAGTCCACCTCTAGCCATGTCAAACTTTGATGTTGACATCTGTGCACTGTATGTTCTCTCATTCTGTATTGATAGCAATGATAATTCATACATACTTTCAAGTGGATTTTGATTGATTAAATATTCACTGATATAAAATCAAAATAAAATAACTTTTATGTGTTCAAGTATTTTTTCCTTTAATTTATCAATTAATAAACTAAAAATGAGAGAATCACTCAATACCTCTTTGGATTGCTATGTTGAGGCTCCCTAAATGGTATAGGCATCATTGCCTTGTGTTGTCGTGGTAACGGCGGAGGAGGGGGGCCCATGGGCGTCCAGCGCTGTGGATTGGGTGGGCTTTGGAAACCTGTGGGAATGGGGGCGCTGTCCCATTGCCACATGGGCCGAGGAGGGGGCCTGTATCCTGCTGCCAGGGGCTCCGGGTCCGGTTTATGTTCCATTGTTTTCATCTCAAACTCCTCAGTGCAGCCCCTGAGAAAACATTAATTCAAGAAAGCTCAAGAAAACAGCATAATTACACATACAATAACGCATGACATTATCATGTTAATATTCATCTACATTTTTAATCAGGAATAACATTTGGACATTACCCTGCGCCTTACAGAAGCCTCTGGAGGTAAAAATTTGGATTTAAACAGTATTTAAATACTTTGTGGTAGATTTCATCCTAATAATGGTCTTTATATTAATGTAAGAAAATCTTTAAGGGAGTGGTCGAGACAAAACCAGTGCCTTGTTAAATGTTAAATACAGATCAAGAATATAATGGGAGGATAATAGCATTGCACTATACTTTTTAATTTAATTGATTAAAATATTTTGACAAAAACAAAAGCAGGCAAAAAAGCAAGCAGGATCTGGTGTCCAGACAGGCCAATACAGAGAACGCAGCGTAAATATTAAGAAACCACGTACAAAAATAATGTCTATACAATTGTTGTTTGCAAATTATTCAAATAAGCCTCAGTCAACTAATTAAAACATGGAATGTTAAATAATATAATTTTGCAAATACAAAACCAATAACAATATGTTGAATTTTCACCTGAAGGTAGTACACAGAGGTGGAGATGTCCAGCCTCAAGTCGTGGTTTAAAACAGCCAAAAACATACATCCCATTTTCTCTGGTGCAGTACAATCCATTGCGGTGGCCAAATGAAGAGAGTGTAGAGAAACAAACTAACAACTCCTTTCACTCTTCCACCCACATCTTTCAGTCTGGTGCGGAGACACATCCTTCTCACAGAACACTCCTCTTCCCAACTACACTCACCAGTCTTACACTTACTCTTCTACCTCTTTGACAACATCATCTTTCTATTTATGGGTTTAAAGTAAGTGTTTCATACCAAAACATTTTTTTGGAGAGCCCAAAATGTCTAGACAAAATTGTTGACTCACCAATACCGAAAACTATAACCCTCAGGGAGAGTCAAAGTGAAGAAGGGTTTTTAATGATAAAATGGGATAAAACTCCTATTTTATCATCAAAAAGATTTAAATTTCTAGATTCTATTTTTAAATGGCCAATCACTATGGCAACAATCTTTGATTTTCATCATTCTGAAGTTTGTTTTAAATACCATTTAGATTGGTACATTACATAGGGCTGCAAAACATTTAACCCAGATAAACCATCTTCCCTAAGAATGGTAACCCTAAATATTTTATCAAAATAGTTTGATTTTCTGTAAACCATTTGCGACCCTCACCAGAAGGGAGAAAATATAATTTGGGAACCTTTTTTCTAAACCTACCTTCGAGGCTTTCCTTCTTCAAAGGGTGGGATAATGACCACTTTGACTGTGACTGAAGTCCTGAGGAGGTCAATCATCTGATCGTGGGATAGTGTCACTGCTGCTACTTTGCAGATCTCCACTAAGCGACTTCCTTGCCTCAGCCCAGCCTGCCAGGCAAAGCCATACTCCTCAACCTGTTAACCAAACACAGTAATTGAACCTCTGCACTGGACCAGAGCAGACCACTAGAGGAGGACGGCTCATACCTCAGCCACCGTCCCATCCAGACGCACATGGAAACCCAGCTGTCCAAGTCCATTTCTTCTTAAAGTCATGTCAACGGTCTCACATCCCATGGTTAAAGACTGCTCAAAAACAAGCAAAGATATGTACAATATGTTTAATAAGTGTAACCAGTGTAATAGATTCAAAAAAGCACTAATGAGGATTAGACTCTACATTCACCATTGAAAATACAAACTAACCTTTAAGCGCTGCACAATTTCCCTGATGTCCTGCGCACATCCTTCTGAGACTCGCACCGAGATGTGGTCGCCTCTACCATAGAAAATCTTCAGAGAAAGTCTCTCTGGTGTCCAGCCGATCACATCATCGCAGAAACAGTTAAATACCACGTCTTTAGTAGAGCAGTCTGTTAGAAGCACAAATTCTGAGGACAAACCCAAGGCACAGGGAAGCTCTGTTCCTCCTCCACTGAAGTCCTGGGCCTGGACTCTCCAGGCCACTGCTCCAACAGCTCCAAGTTCTGCTCCCTCTCGAGCCTTTGAACGCTCACGTTTTTTCGACGCCAAAGAAATTAGATTATTCAGCTTTCCCACCGAGTCCATTGGTGTGCTGCTGACATAGTTTTCTGCCAAGTCACGGAGGTATTCTTGCCGTGTTCGTGTTGCCATAGTGTGAAACTTCTCAGATTTATGGGCAGCATTTTCTGCATTGATAACTTTGGCTAATAAAAAATTGCGAAAGATTTCTCTGTCACGAAACACAATGCCACTTGGAACAGGAGGCCCGAAAGGTGGAACATCCTTCATTCTTGTAACAGCAACACTAAAAGCATCAAAGTCAACATTAACATGTGAACACACCATCATGATGCTTACGAGCTTTACCTGTAGCAGGTGTTTTCAGAGCAGGGGTCGTGCACTCGAACTATGACAAAGACGTGTTGGAAGTGGGAGCGTATGTTCTGAGGAGTGAAAGGCAAAGCTCCAGGTTCTTGGAAGATTATAGTCACAATGTCGTTGCCTATGTGTCTTTTTCTGAGAAGCTGGAAGAAGACAAAGGGATAAATATGTATGCTTAATACATATGTTCCAAAGTTAATCCTGTAATTGAAAAGTGATATTTCCAACAATACTGTTAATTTAACACTGTGTTCATCCTGTATGTATGCTAAGCCTGCCAATGTTCTTCCTCTACAGTGAGAGTGTGAAAAAACAAAAACAGTTATGTAATCTGTTCTACTATGGACTGGCACAAAGCTACTGCAAAGAAAAGCCTTTTTTCATCCACACCAGACCTGTTGTAGCTCTGTGACGTTTTACTTTCAGATCTGTAGTTGATCTTAGAGGGCTTACTTGATTTTAAGTCTTAGCAGTCTTTTCAAACTGGAAAAATAAAGGTTGCAGACTATTCACAAAACAATGCTGCCACCTAGGGGTTTTATAAAGCAACATAATAAGTCACAACTAGGCCTTAATTACTATCACCTACAGGTCTGTATACATAGTTCCCACATGACGTCACTACATACGGGGATTTGCCGACCCGGCGACATTTGTGTTGGCATTCTGTGGGCAAAACAATAGAAAAAGAAGCTGAAACGTGTTAATGTCGTGATAAAGTTGAAAATGGTCATCTCCTGCTGGGTCAATGGATGTTCAAATCGTGCCGGAGGTTCCGGTAAACTTGGATTTTACAGTATACCCATCATTAGACTTCATGAATGTGAGAAGACTAAGCTTTTGTCAGAACAACCACGGAGGCTATGGCTTGCGATGATAAACAGGCAAGAAACTCCCTCAAAACACGCAAGAATATGCTCGGAGCACTTTGTGTCAGGTGCGTATCGTATCTTATAATGTGTTGACAGACGTAATTTACTCAGTACTAACTTGTGTATGCCGATAGCTGGTAACTTGAGAGTTTCATTATTTAGCGTTAGATTACTTTATTATGAGGAGGATCGGTGTCGCGTCCGAGGCTCTCGAGGGCAACGTAAATGTATTAAATAGATAATAATAGTTCTATGGTGGGCTAAAACAATGTTCACAAACAGCATTGCTTCTGTAAAAAGATCTGTGTCATAAAATAAACTGCTCTTTACGCCTGGAAAAATCAGTTGCCCACCATTCACCAAAACACACGGTCAAAAACGCGGAAATAAACAATAACAGCAATCCAGAGTGTCCGTGTGGCATTAGCATTAATTAAATTAATTGTTAATATAATTAAAATAATTAAATGGAGCTCCAACTGGTATTAAATCTAAAGTTTTTGAGAAATGTTTGCATTGCTTGTTAATTTTTGCTGCATAATTTGATCAAATATGTAAAACATGTCCGTAGCACGTTAAACTGTGGTGCCATTGTATTAATATACAATTATTTGCTCAAAAGTTGCCCTTTTTTTCCAATTTGCGTTTGAATATCTACATTTATTCTCATTCTTCTGTTTAATGGAATGCACAAACACAGCAGCGTGCCATCAAAGATGGCGTCTCCGAGGAGGTCATGTGACATTCATTGGTCTGTGGGAACTATGTATATTTTCTTCAACCATTATACCATTTTGTTCGTAATAAAGTTATAGATAAAGAGGGTAGAGGGTGTAGAAGCTGTAGAGGGTTGAACTATATTTTTACAGCGGAGGCCTTTTAATAAAATGAATACATTTGTAGAATTGGTTTACTCAAAATATGCTGTAGTTCTTTGAACGGCATAGAAGTAGTTTTGACGTTATCATCTGCCGCAAGCTTTAGTCCATCAATATGTGTTATGACAGGCCTCGTCAGCATGATTCTTATTGCACAGATTATCAGTATCATGTCTTTTGCCTTAAATGAGAAATGGAAAAGAAATACATTTACCTGCTGTGGGTTGTTGGGCATGTATGGTAGCATGGTGGATACATGAAACATGATTTCGTAGCCTTGATAGGAAGTGTACAGAGAGTGTGTGCCAGTGGAGTCAGCTGGATGGGAAAATTTGATTATTACTTAATTCAATAACTTTTGTGAATAAGGCATTCAACATACTTTTTGTGTCAAGTTGTGCAGCATATTTGGTAAATCCTTTGAGTAACACCTGCTCTCCCAGCAGCTCCAGGAATGCAGCGAAAGCAGGGGACGCCTCCTCATTGTTGTACATCTCCTCTTCAGTGCTCTGCCCTGCGCGGCATAGCAGCACACCAACCTTGTGCTTTTGACTCAACTAAAAAACACATATCACAAACATATTACATCAGAGCACAACATGAGCAACTGTATGGAGGTTTTGGATCTGGTCTACTAGTCATCATACGAAAAATAAGGTTTCTAAAGTATTGACTCATATATCTCACCCCTTGTTCATCAAGTTTGAGGAGCTGCTCTATGGCTTTGGGGGTTCCCAGGGAAAGCCTTAAACAGGACACACTGAGCTCTGGGACAACTTGCTCCAGAACCTCCTTCAAGGGCAGTCCCCGCACAGTGCCGTGTCGCGAGGTCGATGCGACTGCATCTTCTAAAATAGATCCTCGAAGAGTGACCAGCTGTAAGAAAATACACCAGTAATTTCAACTCATTTATCAGTATAATAGCAAAACACAGCAGAAAGTCAGTTCCCACTCTCCTGCAAACGGAGCGCTAGAAGGAGATTATGGAGGACCAAAACTAACGTAGAGCAGTCTCCACGAGGTGATTGATTCCGTCTCGCTGTCTGTGGCCTGCCCCTTCATTTGCATTGCTTTGGCAGGCACGAGGGTCCGTGTACTTTTGCGTTCAATACATTTTCTATTTTTGAAGGGAAAAGGAAAATCGAAAAAAGGCTATTTTGCTTTTTTCAGGCACACAGCAATATACAAAAATGACCATTTTGGTTTTTTTCATTGCTTATAAGACAAATATATATTATAATAACCGCATTTGGGAACTAGAAAATGCAATAATTAACCTTTTTTTAATATGTATTTAATACATTTTGGCGTCAATCGATTACCCGCAAGTGAAACAAGTTTTTACAAGTTCCTTCAGTAAAAAAGGAAATAAATGAAGATGCGAAGAAAATAAATGTATGCAGAAAGATAATAAAGAGGACTTATTATTTCTTTGGGCAAAAAACTGCAGCTAAATAATAATACATATTTTTTTTAATCGCTACCTTTGAATGAACATGGTGATAACTAAATGCTGACAGAAAATAATAAAGCTTTATCAAAAATATTTGTTATTATACAAAGTTTTTTAGTTTGATCAGATCTTAATCTGTAGCGTTATATTGATAATAATTTGCAGATTGTGACATTTATTTATTTATTCATGTATTTATTATTTTGACTTTTGAGATTAGTTTTGGTCCTCCATAGGAGATGGATACAGTCTTAAATTATTTTGTATATCTTTTGTAAGAGAGTGACTACACACCAACAGTATTTCTGAATCAGTTTTAATTATTTTATTTCTTCATGAATGATTCCAAATACCTCACTCGTCCTGACAATTAAGCGATACTGGTACTGGTCTTTGAGATCTTTGGTGTCGTCCAGTTTTTCTCGCCGGATGCTCACAGCTACAGGGCCCAACTTCTCATCTGTTCCAAAATAGTTGGAATGCTCTGGGGAAATTCAAAAAGGTACATAATTTATATTGTGTGTATGACAACAGGCATTTTCAAATTACAATTTCTCAAAATTAAAATTTTGAATTTTGAAAAACAAAATTAAAAGAGATCAATATTGAACAGGAACAAATTCAACCATCAGACTGAAAACACAGTTCCTGTAATGATATACTGTAGTTTCACATTGTAAGTTGAATTATAGAAGTAAAGCAACTCTTGCACAACATTCTAACTTTCAAAGTTTTGCCTGGATATAGCATGCGTTACACTCTACCGTGGAAAGCCTTGTTATGACATACGAGGTAATGAATGGTGAAAAAGAGGGAAAGAAGGCAATGGAGTTACCTTTTCCATGAAAGTAGTCTCTGTAGTATCGGGCCCCTAAGTCTACATGTTCAATGCAGTATTGTTTGAGTATTTTAAGTCTGGTCACTTGCTGTTCAATCGGCACTTCCAGCACAGAGACACTTGCATTACTTCGCCTAAGCCAGCCTCGTGTGACCTCCCCACCAGTTTCCCCTCCTCGTTCTGAAGACGAGCTCAGAAAGCTGATATTACGTTCCCAGTAGTTCCCAGTCTCATTGAGAAAATGGGGGCAGGACAGTAGCATAGGGTTTGGGCTATGTGTTCCAGTGGGCCCATCCAGAGGGTCCAGCCCCAAGGATGATCCATAGGATGCGGGGTCAACACTTAGTGGAATATCTTCAATGCTTGAATAAATGTGTTCATTGGTAACAACTGATGATTTGGAGACAGATAAGGAAACAGAGGCAGCAGATGCTCCTGTTGCAGTGTTCCTTCTCTGTGCAACATATCCACGCTGAGCAGCGACTTCATGAAGGTCAAACAAGATACTCTGTGCATCAAAGTGAACCAAGCTCTTTGGACAGACCCACGGTCTGTAGGAGGCGTCTAAAGCACCGCGGCCATCATCCATTTCTCCTTTCCCTCCATCAAGCTCTCCTCGGCTCGAGCTCCGCAGTTTACGAAACAAAGAGGAAGTTCCCAGTGATGACTCTGTTCCGCCACTTTTCTTCCTTACTCTTTCAGACCCATCCCTCCTTCCGGTCCCTCGCTCGTCCACACTCGGGACTGGTGACGAGGAGGAATGTAAAGGTGCATTAGGTGGAGAGTCTGGCGTACTCAGGAGCTCCCTGACACGAGCAGGAGCAGAGCTGCGCTGATCAGGCCGCTCTTGATGAAACTGATTGAGCATGTCAAAGAAACTCTGCTCAGGAATGCCTTGAATATCGATGGAAGAAGTGCTTCCATACTCTCTGAACAGGGCCCCCATGCACCCGCGCCCCTCCACCTGAAACAAACCAGTGAGAAGGGTGAGAAAACAGTAAAAATGCAATGACAATATTTACACAGAAAAAACCAACTTCATTCTCATCTTGCTCGCTGAGCGTGACCTCGCTGTTGGAGCGTTGCCGTAGAGGTGGAAAGACGCGCAGGCTTAAAGGAGAACCCCGGTCCATGACAAACCCTCCACCTCTGAACTCCACGTCTTTTGATCGTCGCCTTGGCAACCTTGCAACTCCTCCACGCACTAGCCCAAGGTCTGATGAAGTAATTGAGGACGAAACAGAACTGTCATCCCCATTGTGGGTGGCAACACCTTTACCATTTTCCAGCAGTGACTCCCTGGACTGAGCACGTCGAGGTGGCCATTCGGCAATGCGGGCCCGCACTCCCATTTTGGGAACAGATACTCGTGGTTGTAGGGAGAGGTCCATGGCCATGGGACCCGAGTGCCCATTGGGTGCATGGCGAAAGGGCGTGGGCGCCTCTCCGCCTCCATCCAGGAGGTCTGAGGAGGTGCAAGTCACCCCTCTGTCTCTGTAGCTGTTCATAGCACGCCAGGGGAGCTCAGGGCAGGACAGGCACTGTGTCCGAAGGGGGCCAGCAGCCCATATTAGATGGGGTGCTGGGAGAGAAGACGAGCAGAGGCCCTAGATGCACACGGCAGATGTAGCAATAGTCCTTGGCTCGTAGAATCATGCCTTCACGAGACAGGGACTTCAGGGCTCCATCAAAAGACCAGTAGAACAGTTGCCCTTTTTTCTACAGATCTGAAAGCACAAAGAAAAATAGGATTTGTTTTCTAACACATTTCCCACAGACAGTTAAGTTGCAGTAAATCATTATGAGCAAGAGAGAAATGGTAAAGTGACTTGATAGGGGATTTATCTGAGGCTAAACTTCCCAGAGCTAACAAAAATTGCCCTGGAGAGAGAAAAAGCATCAGTCGCGGTGGTTTCTTTCTAATTATAATTTGATTTTCACATCTAAATATATATATATATATATATACATATATATATTTATATATCTATATAATTAATTTGTGTTTTTTGTGTAGTTGGGGTCACATATAAAGAATAGAAAATCCAACATGATATCAGTGCTGGAGGGCAGTCTTCAGAGAGATGTATGGAACACAATTTCCATTCAAAATACTTCAGGTCATTCTATATCCTTCAACCCAAGTCAAAACTGAAATGATTACATGATTGAACATAACCCTGTAGGCGTATACAATGACATATTAATGATCCATTAAAAGCAGATGCATCATGTCTGTTTTGTTTTGTAGACCCATGTGCACACGCTAAAGGCTCCAGTTCTAACAAAGTCCTTCTTCATCCGGAGAACTATCCTGTGATCTTCTTTGAGGACCAATCCCAGATCATCCCGGGCCCAGCTGCAGAGGCTGCAAAAAGGCTGCATTGTACAAACCAAGATGCACCATGAGAGAGCCGATGGAGTAGGCCTTAGAAGTTATAATGCATGCTGCTGCATACTTACTGTTAAAGCAGAGATTTGAAAAACATTGTCAAACTATAAATTACATTTTAGAAGGAATTCTTTAAAATGGCATGTAACTTAGCACATCTAAATGATGTTACTATTCTGAACGCTAAGACCACTAGGTAGCATTACGAGGCGTGTCTTTTCATTAAACTCTTAGACCCCCTTTAGTTCATTTGCTTTTCTTCCTGCACTCCTGTCACATGCAGCCCAGCACAATGCCAGCCCTTCCCAATCACCGCAAACACACAGCAAACTTCCTAATTACACTAGGACAGAGCTGGTAATGACAGAGTCAGGAGAGGATACAGCTTCCACAGGAATTCGGTGTTCAAAAAAAGTGTTTTTTAAAAATGTGAATAAAGCTCAAAATCCACATTGTTGGTTCATGCATTGTGAACACTCTAGGGGTCGACCAATTATAGGCTGTCTTCTATTGTGTATCATCCAAAACTGCATGGGTTCAGGGCCCTACTTGAACACTCAAATTACATCAAACCACAAAGATAGAACTTTGTGCTTAAAAATTGCTATGTGAATTCAGTTTCATGTAGCGCTTTTCTGGACAGTCAAAGATGCACCACAACATGGCATTATTCATTCACCCCATACACAGAGATCATAAACTAATACTTTAGCCATAGAGATGAGAGAAGCGAGGCAATCAGTTTGTGCCATTGGCCACTTCCACCACCCTTCACACACCAGACTCATACTATAGATAAATAGGTTGCAACCATAGACTGTATATATTAACGGACAGAGTCACGCCTATCTCCGCTGTTCTAACTAATGGGGCAAAAAATGTGCTCTACTGGAGCTATCCAAAATGGCCGCGAGTGGTCCTGCCCACCAGAAAATTCATTTGAACAAGAAACTTCAAAAATTCACAGCAAGTAAACTAGAGTGGACCAAAAAAATCCACCCCCCTCAGCATTGACACACATGTGGAACGGAGCTTTGGGCCAAGAGCCAACTTTTGGTCCATCCTGTAAAGACGTTTTTGAGAGGTCTGCCAACGCTATGTGTTAGCATTGGCTAATTCTTCTTCTGGGTCCACCCCCATCGGCCCGGGGTGGTATTGCAAGCATGTCAGCGCACGTCATTTTGGCCACTTTTGAGCTGGGACCCGCCCCCACTGGTAGCAACACAGTTCCTCTTTAGTGTATATGTGCCTAAACAAATCACTGTCTGATAAAGCCAATGTATTTGTTAGTATTAATTTAGTCTTATTTAAACTATAATGAGTCTTCAATGCATAAACATGAGGATTTTGAGCTTGATTCTGAGATTCTGTATCACTATTATTTTGAACACCAAATTCTACAGTTTTATTTGTATGCAATGATTAATCAAAATATAACTGAAGCCCTTGTTTGAGCTTTGGCTGTATCTGAGGAACAGTCTCCAGGTTTAAATGACTAAATTAAAGTGTGTATTAGTCTGAGATAGTTTCAATGACAACCATCAATGATCTGGGGCGACAGTGGCTCAGTTGGTAGAGCATACCCCTTTAGGCCAGAAGGTTGTGGGTTCGAGCCCACCACGGAACCTTCTCCACCAAATCCCACTGATCTCTGCTGTCGTTGTGTCCTTGGACAAGACACTTAACCCCACATTGCCTGAAGCTGAAGAATCAAGGCTGTATCGTCAATGACAGAGCAGCCATCCACCTGTAGACTCACTACCTGCAGGAGGATCAGTGAGGGGCTGGTGCTCAGTGAATTGGGTGCAGCTCTGACTGCCTGCCCCCCCCCCCCCGACCCAGAAATGGATTAAGGGGAAGAAGATGGATGGATGGATTTCAATGGCTGACAAACGTATCTACTGCATTAGTTTGTTTTCGAACCAGGTAAAAGTTAGGTCTGTTAGAAAGGAAAATACTACTATTTGGTAACAACAAAGCATACAGTAAGCGGTTTCTCTCCCTCTCACATACACACACACACAGGGTCATCTGCACAGACCTATTGTTTGGCAGTTGGAGCAGAGATGCCCTGAGGCAGTCTTCTGTAGAGTCTGTGGCCTCTGCATGAACACACACGCTCACAGATCAGAGATCCACAGCAGCAAAAACATGACAAGGAGAGACACAAGTGACGCATTTTGGAGGTGGTGGATTATTCACAAATTATTATTATGAAATTACAAATTTTAGTGGCTCCGTCTTCACCTTTGATCCCCTTTTGGTTAAACTATGTTTTTTAATAAAAATTTACCAGAAATGAATATCCAAGCAAATGTTAGATAAAAGCAATTCTTTAGTAGAAAGGCCTCCAAGATGTTGAGTACGAATGTGGTAAGAAAAATGAGCTTCAGACATAATTTCCACAATGAAAATTATGGATATAAAATAGAGCCTAAAAAGGTTTTGGCCTTGGGCTGCTAAACATAGTCACATTGGCAATGGCGAGCTGAATAAAAGTGACTTAAAGCTTAAAGTTGCACGGATACATAGTAAAGTAACTGTTTTGAACTGGTATTCTATTGTTTTAAATACCATAATGAATTTTCAGAATGATGGTATAGAACTGGTTGCACAATGAATGGATCACAGACAATACAGCAAACCAAATGATTCTCAGGATATTAAGGATGGCTATGCTGCTGGTGGTTTCCACAGAAACAGAAAGGTGCATCACAAAAGACAGAATGTAGGCGGCGGGCTACAGTCAATCAGGACCCAGCACTTGAGAGCCGAGCTGTAAATAATACTTAACAAGAAACACTGCAGAACAATGCAGAGGCTCACACTCAACTCTGCAACATTATACAGAATTATAATTGTCACTGAACTGTCAAGGAATACTGAAGGATACAAGACGAGGGGAGGAAATGTAACCATTAATCAACAGTTTAGGTCCATTGTCATAAGCCCCCATATACAGGGGAAGTATGAACAAGGCAGGGATGCAGTGAACATTTCAACAGATGGATCATGACCAAAAAAGCCATTTATGAAATATATATCTTAGTTATATGCTTGCTTCTTTTCTTTATGTGTTATTAGACCCAGAAAAAGACAAAAAGTCATCAACAAAAAACAAGACTACATTTTGATCATTGATATTGTTTGCGGCAGAGAAAAAGAATAGATTCCTTTTTCCAACATTTGATTAATTACATCAAAGAGCTCTGTCAAAGGTCATTCAAGTTTAAAGTGTTTTCAAAACCGATGCCATGCATGTTTTTCAAGCTGGAAACGAAGTCCTGTTTGTTTACGCAAATCTCTAAAGGCCTTTATGGCAGGTGGCGCAACCGCCTCATTCATTCCAAGTGAAATAATCATGGAACAAGTGTTGTTAAAGTCAATGGTACTATGAACTTTTTTCTTTTGTCACTGTACCAATGAGCATCAACGTCCTTCTCTCTCTTCAGCAGAACCTGATATTACAATGGCCACCTTGTAATATCAGGTAAAGAACCAGATTCCCTGCTGGTTCCCTGCATGCATGTATGTCTTGAAAAATATGTATTTGTATTTTGGGAATCTGTTGGTGTCACAAGATAAATGTCCTCTTTATATTCAGTATATCTGGTCAAATCCTTTAAATAACATCTAAACTCAGAATAAAAGGTTCATGGGGTATGAATACTTCAGAGTACTAGCTGTAATACCACAGCCAGTTGTGCTTATATTAAATTAATATTAATTAAAAACTAATGAGAGACAGTATGAACTTTTTTCACAACAAATGTGAAGTGACGCCATTAAACACTACACGCAGTACGCTCACAATGGCTCTAGAGCAACGGGGTCATCACACAAAGAGGGGCCTCAGTTCTTAGACCCATCTCACATACACTTGGCCTTATAGACTATTCACTTTTCAATGCTGCCATTGAAAAACTGCTCCCAGAGGAATGGGCCCGCATTCACTGGCAAACATTTCAATCCACTCCAAACAGAAAAGAGTAGAGCATTTTAAATGACGAGGAATGGAGTTATGGTGGTTATGGAATGATGTTGAGCCCAACAAGGGGAGTCAGATAAGACAGATACTGAGATACAGTCAAAACAGAAGATTTCTGGGCGGTGTTC